ATAGGTGATCGAATACTCAATATATAAATTGAATTTTCTCTATAATAATTTTGGAATACTTATCTACCATAACTGTCTATAAAATGTGAATAAAACTAATATTTGTTGTTTTCGATAACATTGTAGCTGGACTCGGCTTACAGCTTGCGACTCATTTAAGTTTGGTACCTATCATAATAATTGATATAATACGTGAAAATAATAAATTACAAAATTTTGGCAACGTCACATAAAATATTTTATGACTAATCGTGTTCCTAAAAAGTTATATGCTTAAACGTATTATGCTCAATGATCTTTTTACGGCCAAATCAATCCCAGCCTACTAGTGGCTAACATCTTAATCAAGTCCTGGTTACGAATGAAATACAAAGCGAAATACCATAGTGCATGATATTTCCAGATGATATAATTTTGATTAGAGAAAATCTGGAAGAAGTTAATTTTAAACTTGAGAAATGGAGAATAGAACTTGAAGGAAAGAAACTATAAGAATAAATATAATTAAAACAGAGTACATAGATTATAGAGTATGTGTTTAGAGGAACAGGACTATAGGCACAATCAGGGAGATTGTTAAGGGGTCTTTAGCATCCTCAAGTTGAAAACCTAAAAACCAAAAAAAACCAAATAAAATTTTTTATAGTAATGACTAAATATTTTATAATTAATGAGCAGGACAAAGTACAGACACCTACAGCCAATAACGGGTATATTTGAAAAATAATGTTAAAATTTTTATAATAAATGTCTATGTACATAATTGTAAATGAAATGTGTAGTTGTTTATTGTAAATCGTGTAAAGGGTATTATGCGGCCATAGCCCCTATGGGTTTTCGATGTGTCCATCATTTTAGCAGCCCACAAAAAGAGATCAATGTATTGGTTATTTATGTGAGACTATTTTTAATTTTTTTTTTAGATTCTAAGTGAAGCGAGGAATGTATTAGTTTTACAAAGATGTTTATTTTTATTTTTTCTTTGGACAACTTTTCTACCGGCAATTTTGCTCCGATTTACAATGATAGCAATTTTTCTGAAAGGAAATCGGACTGAATAGGTACTTTAAGAAGGTCATTTTTTGACTTTATCAGGATTTTTTCCAATAAATGAAAAAATCGGGAAAAGTATGGGAAAACCTGAAAAACTCATTTTTAATGAGTAAGCCCTCCGATCACCAGATGTGTCCTGACCATTCTAACTTATTTTTTATTAAGTAATGTCGTATGTCAGCCTTTTGTACAGTTGCCGTAGGTTTTCATTGGTTCTTTTTTAGAAACTTTTCGAAAAATTGCATACTTGCAGTCCAAATATATTCGTAGTATTTTCCGATATTTTCCTTTCATAACTCTGTGGTTTTCTTTCATCCCACTGAGTACTTGACCACGTTTTGCATATGTATATCAGGCCATCATGGTGTGTAGCATATATGTGTAAACTAGAGTTGTTCTTAGTTGTAAGAGAAGAAAATGAAAATTAGAATATCTGATCCAGGTAGATTAATTTATCAACTTGTTTAATGCTATAAGAAAAGAATCTAGCTAAAATTTCATTATGATTACTCACCTCCTTCATGTCTCTTAAAAGAGTTGAAAAATGACCAATGAGATTGTAAACTTTAAAGAAATTTTATTGTATAAATCAGAATTTATAATAAAAATGTCTTACAAATAGTCTCGAAAATAAATTATTTTTTAGCGAAAATAAAAAAAAAATTCAAAATTTTGGAAAAAAATGTTTTTATTGATATTTAAATATTCTTAACATATTGTTGAGAATATAGAAAAAATGTCTTTAAAAATAAATGTCTTAAATGAAAAAGGTAATTTGAGAATATTTTATTGGTTTGAGCAGTTTTTACTTATTGTTTTCAGAAAAAATTTCTTTATTAAATATCATTATTACAATCATGATTTTGTATTATTTCTTGGATTTAATCTTTTTTCATGCAGATCTATTACTTATATAATAACCCAATTTAAAATTCTTTTCATAGTTGTTTGGTTTTTCCTTTTAAATTGATACCTATTATTATATCTATCTGGAAATTTATAAACAAAAACGGCTGGTTGAGACTTATAACTCAAAATGTGTCTCGTTTTATACGAGTATTCTGTTTTTATCATTATTCGCAGTTAGTGTATGTCGAATGAGCTCCAGTACTTGTGTTCATTTTTAATTATTTTGCATTTTAAATTCGTATATGTCAAGACAATCAATTATTTTGGTTGGTGTTATGAAGAACCAAATTACTGATATTAAGCTTCCATCGAAAAGAGATATTTTTAGTGTTCTCTATTACAATATGCGTATTGTCAATTTTAAAATTACAACTTACATTTACAACTAGTAGAAGTCTTCTATTTAATGAACGTAACATTTTCTGGGCAAAAAATCGTATACCTAATCACTAATCAGGATAGATCAAATTGCGTGAATAAAATTAAAAACTATATATCGAATAGACAAAATAACCTCCCCAAAGTATACAATTTCGACCACCAGGCGCATTTCATTTAGCTCAATAATATTAGCAAAAGGAATATATTGCCTTAAAATATTGTTGCATTTTTGTGAACAGTTTAAACTTACAACATTAGAAAAACGAAATGTACAAGAAATATAATGTTCCATTGTTACTTAATATATAGACGCGGATATGTACACTCGATCCAATTGCATCTCTCCGTTTAATGACATTATTATTATTATTATTTTTTTTATTAACTATAGGTTAACTAAAATGTACTAAATTTAACAAAAAACTAGGTGAAGTAGCAATACAAACAAATTTATCAATTACTTGTAGTATTTAAATGAAGAATATGTTGTGTATTTTCATTGTTTGATAACCGCGTTTATGGTAAAACTAAATCCAAAATGGAAAAATAGATATTAGAAATGAGTGAAGAAAAAAATGAAATTGATGAATAAGATGACTAAAAAAAATTATTTTACATTTTGATGATGTTATATATTTTTGTAAAGATCTTCCGTTTGAATTATTATTTAATAAATCAATCAAAATTGGTACAACAATTTCGTATTTCAACGGAAATTTTATACAAGGACCCAGGTTTATGTGAAAGCTTATATTTGTTTTCCGCACTATGTATAATGTGTTTACTGTTTTCATTTATATTAACTCCCAAGTATTTGAAGTCTCCTACCTCTACAAAAGTAGATTCTTCGATACAAAGAGTATACCTTTTACTATTGTATTCCTAATCATTATTATACATTTTCTTTTCTTTTTTTTTTTACTATACTATAGCCTCATTATGCAGCTGGATTTTACTAATTTTCTTGCACATTCCTTATATCTTAACATCGTATTTTGCTTCTCCTAATAGGATAGTATAATTTGTATAGACAAGCAATATGTATAAAAGGTCCCAATATTTTCATTTCTTTGAAGTCAGGTATATCACACACCATCTTATCCAGTGCTATATTTATACGGTATAATTTAATAACTATTACGAGTTATAAAATATGTATATACCTAAATTTAATTTAATTAATTAAGTCATTGCAATAAAAAATATATTCTGTAAGTCATATAGTTTGTGCACTATGAGCAAAAATTCGATATTTTTTATGATAGGTACTGAGTGAAAAAATCAGAGAATTTCCTCACTCAAAACATAGGTTTTCGAAAAAATAGAAATCGGAAAGAGAATAAGGAATTTCTAAAAATTGTTCTAATTAAGTACCATCAGTCGAAAATCCGCATTTTTAATGAATATCATGAAAAAATGAAAACATTTTTATAAATTAAAAGAGTGTTTTTTAAGAAAAAAATCACATCTTAGTATAATTAATAGCTTCTGCGCTATACTCAGAACCTAAAATATAGATCTTATGGCCGTGGGGGCCTTCGAACGACGTTTATCGAACTAATTATCCACCACCACCCCTCCCCCTATACAAAAGGTATATTACTATACCCACTGTTTTTAAAATGTTCAAACTAACCAATCCTATATGATTGGTTTGCAACAATTTCCATGATTCTATAATTTTTTACGTTCCTCTTCCTACCTTCTGGTATAAGAGTTACATTTTTGTTCTAGATTATTCCGTCATATTCCGTGTCTCCATGATTATGTTTTGCGCGTGCGCGGTATCGAAACACATAAAAAAGTATAGGTGTACATATATAATAATTCGAAATGTGAAATAATTCTTAGAAGGAATTGACGATTTTTTTTTTTTTTTTTTTTGTGTCGACTAAGGGAATTTTTTTAAAGTATACATTATATAGTTACATATATATATATGAAATCGTTGGCATTCGAATGAAAATCGTTTATTATATTATATACTCATAATAGTTGTAATGAAAAAATAAAATAGGTGAAAAAAAGTTACAATTTATAAAATATTATTATGTATACGTATTGTATACAAGTAAAATATTATACGGATAACTGCATCCGAGGTGCATACGCTGTAGTTCGTATACTTAATCGTTTTTCGATTTATATATAATGCAACATTGTATTTTAGGTACACGTAAATATATTAATATTATTGATGCACATATTATTATAACTATTGCAGCGCGTTATTACGTCAATTGAAGCGATCGGCGGTACTCTATAGTATACAGATATTAATAAAACCACGTGTACATATTATTAAATTATTATACATTATATAATATTTTTATAACCATGTATATATATATATATATATATATATTATATACACAAACATATATATATATATATAAACATGTAATAAAATGTAAGAAAAAAAAATAAAAATATGTTCGTTCGCGGCTCTAGAGACCGTCGTCGCCGTAGCCTAAATAATTGTGCCGACTCACGATTATATGTACACGCGCACACGCCGTACGTGGTCAGCGGGTCGTGGTGTACGCGCGCGGCCGCGGTCGGGGCGTCGTCGCCGCCGCCGCCAATGTCCAGTCTGTGGGCGGTGACGTCAGCACGGGCTCTCGCCCAATGAGTGCGCACGGGGACGCGGTCGGGCGCGGAGAACGCGCCGCGGTCGCGTCGACCGTTCTTTAGTCTTCACTCACCCTGGTGATGTGTACGAGATATCGTCTTCGTTGTCGTCGTCGTCGTCGTCGTCGTTGTTGTCGTTGACTCGTCTGCAGCTGCTCGTCTGCCGATTACCTCGCAGTGAAGCGCGTCCGATAAATTATTACTTTTTTTTTTTCGCGAGTGCTACAGGCCAAACGCGGTGTTTTCGATTTTTATTATCTTCGGGCAAAGTCTTATTTCGTACGTACTAAAGTAGGTTAATATTTTTTTTTTATAATAATTGTTGTTTTAATCGCGATTGTTTGAAACGACTAGGTATAATCGCTACAATACAATACAATATAATAATAATAATAATTATGACGGATTTGATAACGTGTGCGGAATCCTACCGACCGTTGTCATCACTCTTCTAAGTATATAATAACGTTTTAACATTAATATTCTTGTTTTCTTTTTTTTTTTTTCTTATATTAATATTCGGCTCGAAATTTCGTCGTTTTTTAGACCCGACGCGCGACGTTGCGCTTTGCGAACGCGAGCGACCAATTCGAGAGATCCGCGCCGTCTCCGGGGATATTTATATGAGCTACTTCCCGGGCTCCGGCGATTTGGCCGGTACGATTGCTGCCGGGACGTACACCTTTGACGCGCACTCATCAGCAGTACCCAAGGACAGAGTAAGTAAAAATTGCGCAAATCAACATTATTATTATCGCCTCTATATTATGATATTCGCATAATTCACCGACGATAACTGTATAACTCGGTAACCATACTAACTGTTATATTTATTGTTGACTATATATAGTATAGACAGTAATATTATATTATTCTTTTAACGATTTCCTAATCGTCGAATTGATAATAGGTACAGGTATTTGTGATAATATATAATCCGGTATAATTTTAATTGTGGCTGTGCGTATTTTTAGCTATACCTATTAATTGCAAGTTTGCTGGTTCGCATTAAGTATATTTATGGTCATACGCGTAATATCATAATGAATAATAGTCGAGAGTATAGTATATACCTATACTTGAGTCATTGTTACGCTGTTTTGTTATAGTGTATACATATTTACTATTTTCATTATTAGTCACATTACTCATATAATAGCGTTTAGTTTGTGTTATTTGTCGTCACGATACACTTTCATTTAAAATATAATATAGGTAGTTGATATTTTTCAAAAATAATATAATTATACTTAACGCGGAAAAAAAAAATCTCCGCTTGAATGAAATATCAAATAAAATGATTATACTGTCCTATATTCGCAATAATTGCAAGGTATACTCATGTTATCTATAACATTCTAAATAAAACGTAGTTTGGTTATTTTTCGAATGCGGATACCTTTATATACCTACGCATATATACGTATTCTAAACTACTTACCTTCATAATATACAACATAATATCTATATTTAATTTTAATTTTTATAGTTAAAGGTATACCTACTAAATGATTCGATACTTAACCTTGAGTTATAATCTTTATATTTGTATGAATGCAGTTTGTAGGTATCATATTATATTATAATATGTATGATATTATTCGAGATACTATTCGTATTATACCTAGTTTCGAGTTTGTATTTTGGATTTAATAAATAATTAATAATAACACCCTCAGCTACAACCACATTGTTTTCAGAACTGTTTTATAAAACAATAAATCCATACAAATACAAATCTTTAGTTATACCTATCTATAATATATTAAAGTTTTGAAGAGAAAACTAAAACTGTATACTTTTGGTATATTTACGTATTACCAATACTATTATTAGTCATAATATCAATTTATGACTAGACGTAATATATGATTAAACGCTATTATTGATAGAAATCGAAAATCGGAAGGAAAAAATATCTTTCTATCAACGTCTATGATTTGTAATAATATTTCAATTTCCTAAAGATAATATATATATATATATTGATTTCTTTTTCGCATTCGATATCTTAAGCATGTGTTATAGAGTCGTTAACCAATATTGGAATTTATACTTAATTTGTATTTTAACTATTGAATTATATCGGCGGTGTGTTATTATAAAAACTTGTCGAAAATAGAAATCGATCGAGTATAATATATGATACGAATAGTACGATTTCTGGAACTATTATTCGGAAAAAAAATTAGCCACGCGAAAACGTAAGACACACGACACGATATATGTATATCAATAATATAGCAGTGACATCATCACATTGTGGCTATTACGAAATGTCCTATTCAAATTTGTTAGAAGTAAAAAAAAATCTAATTTTTTTTTTAATTGGTTCAATAACGTATGGTCAACATTATTTTCTGAAAACCCATGCCCTAGCGCATGTGACATAGATATGATATTATATTATAACGCCATCATAATGCACTCATTGCACAAATAGTTTTTTTTTTTTAGCGATCTATATAGGTATTTATTTTTCCTTTATGATCCGTCTATATATTATAATTCTATGTAATTAAAAAAAAAAAAAAAACTATAACAAGAACCAAAATTATTATTAAGTATATTTGTTTACTGTGTTTCCCAACTACTAAGCCAACTACATGAAAAATCAAAAAATGACCTAACCGACTAGACAACATTTTCCACTAGGAATCACCCTGAAATTTATGATCAGAGCAAGATTTCTGTTGGAAAAATTGTTAATCAACAACATAAAATCTATCACATTTTAGACTAAAAGAAGAATTATACGAGGTTAGACTATTTAAAAACAGGACTTTCATCTTATTACTTTTAAAGTAAAAGTTTTCAAACTTATACTCAAACTTAAACGTTATTACGGTATCATAAATATTAGACTTAGATTGAAATAGTTTTTCACTCTTTTTTTAATAGGAATATCGACAGTGGTGCAGCCAGGATTTTTAATCCAAGCACGGGCTATAAATACATTTTTGCCTAAGTCATAGGTTTTGTGCGGGTGTGACCCCCTCCCCTCCAAAAAAATATTTTCGACAATATGAGTTTTTATATAATACTTTCAACATACAATTTTAAAAAAGAATGTAATAATCGAATGAGAATATCATAATATGTGTAATATCTATATAGATATATACTATGCTATTATAGTAGCATAACTTTTAACTATAAAGCATAACGCATTACATACAATATAGGTACTTGCACTTATATAATAGCTGGTACCTGTACTTATTACAGTAGCCGCTCTGCAGGCAGCTGCATCCTCCTAGGAGAATTTTCTAGTAAAGACAGTTATTATATCATTTGCATTAATGTATTTTTAAATTTTGAACGAAGCGAGGAATGTGTTGGTCTTATAATGATTATTTTTTTTTCTGTGAACAACTTTTGTACCAGAAATGTCTCGCTTTATGCTATAGTATATTTTCTGAAAGAAAATTTTATCTGGGTGGTACTTTAAGTAAGTTATTTTTTGATTTTCCAAGCGGTATTTTATAATAACTGGGAAAAACCGAGAAAAAACTTAGGAAAAATGGAAAAATATTCGAAGTGTATTATTTTCAATTTTTTTTTTTTTTGTCATTCAAATAAAAATATTCGTAGAAACTTGAAATTTGGAAAATAATATTTATATCTTATATTTGCTAGACGTGGTCAAATTTTGAAAACATTTGAACCATTTTTGAGCTATTTATAGACATTTTAATTTTGAAAGTTTTTTACGTAATTTTTATTGAGTATGTTTTTCACTATCTCGGAAAGTATACTTTTTCCGGAATTCGTTTTCTAGAACATTTAAGAAACAAGCTGCTCTACAATTTTGTATTAATGTTATTTTTCAGGCAAAATCACTACCTTCTTTTGATTTTCAAATGGCAACCTATATTAAAAATTCCATAAATAGATCAAGTTATTAGTTAAAATTAGGCTGAGGGTTAAAATTTTTAATTTTTGTCAAGCCGTTAACGAGATATTTCACTTTTAAATATAAGTTGGAGGAGAGTAGTGGTGTATTATTAACATGACCCATGGGTAGGGGGACCAGGGGAGGCTACGCTACAGATTTCGATACATTTTTCAAAATTTTGATCCTTGTGGTGGCAGCATAGAAAACAATATTTTCTTAAATAAAAAATTCTATAGTTATTTTCAGAACTACATTCGAAATCCTACTGTTTTTCAAGCAATTTTGGACATTTTTTTCTATTTCAGTGATTGCTAAAGATATGTATATCTAGGTATCTAAAATTGTAAAAGTATAATTTTTTTTTCGATTTTTCAAGAAATTTAAAACGTTTATTGTAGTAATTACTTAATTATAAATAGGCGATTTTATGATTTTCTATTAATTTTTATTTTTTATTTAAGAAAACTTATAATTTGTACAGTTAGCATAATAAGTGATCATAATGATATTATTTTTATTTGATTTCGTATGAAAAAGGAAACCAATCCAATAAAAAGAACCCAACGTGAGTAAATGTTTATATTTATATTAAATAATTTTCCTCACGATACAATATTTAAATAACTAATTTTAAATTTCCTTTTCAGAAAGTAACTTGGTAATTGGTATATGTAGGGAAGTGATACAAAATCAACTTTAAAACAATTTTAGAACCACACATATCTATTTCAAGACCGAAGTTGGGGATTAGTTTAGGGGTGTAACAATTTTTTTAAATAATTCAAAATCTTTTTTTTACGCATTTTACTAATATTTTCTTCTTTTAAAACATTATTTTTAAATTGTTTTCTTTGTTTGGTGATTTCGTCATAGATTCATATTTATTAGTTATTTTTATTCGGAGCTTTAAAAAACACAATTATTTTGATACCTACTTTTTGAGGAAAATATCTTTTTAGGTTTTTTTAATAAACATACAATAATTTAGAAGTGCATGTTAAAGCAACTAACTATAGTGAAAACACCTACCTATATGCATGTATACTTAATTTAATATATTATTGCAAACAAAAAATTATTCTGAATATTTTACCATTATTTTCTTTATTTTGGTTCAAAATTGTACTTATTTTTAGCTATAAATATTTACAAATTAAACTGTATTAATATTTAGAAATTTTTGTTATTTTTAAGGAATTTTATTATGACATTACTCCAAAACTTATTGTTCCTATAATCAGTAATAACAACTTTTTGGGGCTTTTTACCGGGCAAAAAAATAAATATTTTTCGGAGAGGGGGTCGTGACATTTTTTTCATAAACCCAAAATGCTACCAAAAATCTTCCATGTTGTTTTCTAGCTTTTTTTTATTTGAGCAATAGTCTTCTTAGAAATCGTGTTCACAAACAATAAAACAAAAAAAAGTACTAATATACTGCTGATAGGTGATGTGTCACAGTTATAGTTGGAAATTGAGAAGATAGAATTTATAAAGTTATTTTATCTGTGAACAAAATACGATTCTGAGCGTAATATTTACGATGTTTGTCAAAATTTTATATTGAAACATTTATAAAAAAAAATCCTCTTTACTTAAATTTGATTAAAAAATATTACTTGAGAGTAAAATTTACTCTAAAAAAACCCTCAACCTATATACGTATATGCTTCGCTCGGAATATAAATTGACCACGTTATGACAACAAACAAGAAAAATTGGGTTTTACAGTTTACTCTTATCATCTTTCTTTTTTTTTCTGCAACTTAAAAAGTGTAAATAATAATTTTTAAAAAAAACCGTTCATGGAAATGACAAAACAATTTCAGATACCCGAATTATGATTTGTGAAGATACTTTTCTATATAGTCTTTAGACAAATGTTTTACTTAATTTAATTTTAGGCTAAAGACTAACCAACGTTTACTGCCAATTTTAAAATGATAATTCATAAATTGAAGAAATTATAAATTTTTTAGAATTGATTATTGTTTTTATATTAAATTCATATTGTATAACTAATTCTTGCCTACTTGATTAAAACGACTATTTGACTAGTGCTAGTAGATAATATATTGGTAGTTAATATGATGTGTGTTTTTATTTGTATCTGGATGATATTATTTTTATTTATGAATCAAAAAAAATCACATATAGTAACCGGATCTAAAAAAATGATGATATTAGTGCTAAGCGGGTTTAGTCTTGTTGGTCATTGTTGTTATTATACACATTACACAAACATTATTACTAACTGAAAATGGCATGCACTATTATTTATATTGTGCAACAATGCAACATTCTTAATAAAATAACCTTCACCGATTCAATTTTATCTATTTTAGTACATTTTTCGAATATTATCTTATTACAAATAGATTAACCGAATATATTATTATTTTAGGTAAAAATATTCGTCCCAACAAATTTCAAAATATTATTTTATTTAATCAAAATCGGATATAGTAATATTTTACAAGGAATAATAATATATTAGTAATAATATACGAAGTCGTAATATTCTACTATATTTATTTTCAGCAGCTAACCATACAAAAAGATTTTTGTTTTTATACTTTAATTAAATTTGTTTCAATCCTTTTTTTGTAAAATATTTTGGATCTATTTGACGCACTGAGAAGGTCATATTTTCATTTTTCAAGCAGTTTTCATTATAATCTGGAAAACCATAGAAAAGGGACAAATTTGCGACAATATACAAATTAGGTATTTGACATTTTCGAATTTTTATTTGGTTTTATGTGGATAAAATTGTTTTAGCTGAAAAGAAATGCTTACAAATTTAATACGTGATTTATTATAAGTTGTTCTTAGTGAAAAAGAAAAACATTGAGTGGCATGTGGTAGTTTTTTTTAATAAGAACTTTAGTCTTTAAATACAAAGTTTAACTAAAATCGTAAAAATGACGGCATTTCAAAACATGTATAATTAAATTTCACTCATCGATTTTTGTTAATAAAGGTTTATAGTTGCATGAAAATATTAATTAAATTTAATAAGTAACTAATACTAATAGGGTGGCTGTCATATTTTACTATAATACTCCAATATCCAGTGGTAGAGACTACCAGTCAATTTTCTATATCCCAATCAGCAATCTAATGTCTATTTTATAAACCTGCTACAGGCGTCAAAATTATTTAGCTATTTATTCATATTTGAATTCTAAACTGTATCAGTGATACAGCACATAAAACTTAATACCGACCACCCACTACCCGTTAACCATTTACTCGTATAAAAATTCCCGAGAGCCAGAGACAACTATTATTGTTCTTAAAAGTAATACTAATACCTATACATTTTCTACGCCAAATATAGGTACCGATGTTAGCCATTATAAGTATCTTACAGTTTAGGTACGAAATATTTCAGATTTGATATATGCTTATAGTTATATGCTTTTCTGAAATTCGAAATATGTACCAGCATTATCATATCATATCTCCCCTCCTTCGTGGGTTAAAATATTATGCTACGCTCATTCAAGAAAATTACAATTTGTTTTACATGAAAATATTTATATATTTACTAGTGTATATCTGTAAACGTAGAAATCCTAGATTAATCACTGCATAGCAGGTCCTTAGTTTTATTATTGCAGGGTTAAATAAATCGAAACACTGATATAGCAGCAAACAATCCCAAAAATAATCAAAAAAATTAGGAATACAGAAATTTTAATAAAATCATTTACGGTTTACTTTTTATAATAATTTGTTTTGTTTTTTTAATAACTTTTAGTGCATTTAATTTGGCTACAATTTTCAAGATAAATCATTTACTCATTTTGAATTATTTTTATAATATACTTGTTTCAAAGTAACATTGATACTAATTCAGTGCCGAGTCGTTCAACCAGGAAATTATAAGTTTATTATTCTTTTCCATACTAGTCGTGTAAACAATTTTGCTTTGCATGTACAAATTATAGAAGAAAACAAAATTGTTTGCTTAATCTAACCTCTACCCATTAAAAATTAATATTGTTTTGAATATGATTGTGTTATATTTATCACCCTAACCTTTAAATAATAAAACCTTATGAGTCAGTTAAGAAATTAAGTTAGCTCAGTTGTTAAACATTTTACAGTATAATATTCTAAATATGGTAGTTAAGATAAAATCATTAAATTAGTTTTTAATTGGTGTTAAGCTATTTAATATTATGTTAATTAATTTGTTAATCCTCTCCCTTTATTAAAATGTATTAATTATAACTATAACTTATAATAAATGATAAATAGGGCGAATCTTTTATCATGAACCAGTAATAATTTTGGAGGATTTAAATTATTTTGTTTAAATTGAAATCAATAATATGATTTTATCGTGCTATATCGCGTAAACCGGACAGGGACGTATTGAAAAATTCGGGACAAAAATGGAATTTTATCGCAAAATGTAGGTATGCTATGTAGTATTTGAAAGTGATTTCACCCCTTAAAATAAGAGTGACAAAAATAACTATTATGTAATATTTTAAATGATCTAAAAACAAATTCCTAAAAAAGTTAACGCTCTCCGAGATAATGTGTGTCTTACGTTATGTTGATCATCCTGTTTATTAATAATAGTGATGATAATAATAATAATAGTACATTTTAGTTTTTGTTCGCAAGTCGCAAAATATTGCTGAACTTTTATATTTTGGTAGTTAGTTATAAGTTAAATCTATCTTGTTAACCACTATCTACAACTGTAGTACCGTATAATCGAATTCATAATAACAGCCTTATGCCATAGGCATTTTTTTTTAAGCATTTAGAACTATCCTTTCTAAAGTGGCTTTAATTATGAGATAATTTAAATTTTCAAACTTTTCCCTTTAGTTACACTATAAGGACTATCTTTATGTCAAATTTCACGTTTCTACCCATACGGGAAGTTCCTTATAATTTTGATGATGAGTGAGTGAGTGAGTGAATAACAAAAATGCGTTATACTCAATGGTGTTTCCATTAATTTATTTGAATATATACTGTAACACCCATTTTTATATCTTTCTTATGGATTACCTATATTGTTTATAGAGAAAAAAATACCAATTATACAAAATATAAATTAAAATTACTAAAACAAAATACTCCACATTTTTAAAAATAAAATACTGTATTATGTATCATAAAAAAATTATAAAATGTTCAGTTATAATAATTACGGAAATAAATAAAATGATTATTACTGTTTCGGTTTTAGTGACATAATAGTGGTGTGAACAGGTCATGATAATAATATAATATCATGACTGATTTTAGATTCTTAGTGGAGCGAAGAAGCTTATGAATTTAAAAAGGTTTTTTTTTTCTGTGGACAACCTTTCTACCAGAGATTGGAGGTACTTTAGGAAGATCATTTTTCGATTTTCTCAAGATTTTTTTCATCAAATGTAAAAAACCGAAAAAAAATGGGAAAATATAAGAAATTTTTTTTAGCTACTTGAGAGTATACGTAGTATACCCATGATTTTTCAAAAAAATGTTGAGAGTATACGCATATACACCGCTGGGTATACTTACCATGAAATTCTCCCCTTTTGAACAGACTTAACTAAATGGCTAAATGTTTTATAGTGTCCTAATTTACTTAAGCTTAATTTATGTTTTAAATTTCAAAAGTCCATCTTAAGAGGAACAAAAATATGAAAGCGAGAAAAACTTGGTAAATTGGCTCTATAATAAGAAAATTTACTGAAATTCTAGCTGAAACTTTGCCTGGGCAATGCCGTATGCTCAGATAAAGGTTTAAAAATAGTTATATGTAATATAATAGCTTATAATATTACCTGTTTATTTCTCTTTTAATTTTAACATTATGTATATTTCAGAATATTATCAAAAGTGAAACTAACTATCTTCAAGATGTACAAGAAGATTGTTTTTACACCGAACAAAGTACAATTATACAAAGTAAGATTTATATGATTACAAATTAGACATGGAACTAGGATGTAGGTATCATTAAAATTTGCCAATTTCTTATTGTAAATAATATTTTAATTATATTGTTATCTATTCGTTGATTTTAAATTAAGCAATAAAGTAGTATAGCTTCCAGATGTAGTTATCAAATCAACTTTCTAGGAATATCCGTTTTAATTTTAAAATGTATATCGATAGTATAAACGCCGTATCGATAAATTATATATCGCCGAAAAATGTTCAAGTTTAAAATAAGATTTTTTGTTTGTGGTTTTGTAAAAAATGTATACATTTTGATTTTATATTTTTTACTCTCCGGGCACGTTCTTGATGATAGGCGAAAACCCGTGTGTAATCGAGTTTAAATGTTGGGGAAAAAAATGTTCCATAAAAGTATTGTCTACAAAATTTAAATTAATTAATTATTGATTTTGGATAAGAAAATCAAAAATACTATAATAATGCGTAGAGGCAAAAAATAGTTTTAAGACACACTTTAAATTATGCCACGGTCACACGGTGATAGTTAAACGTGATATTTGCTATCATGATAGTGGAAAATAAGAAAATAAGAACTAAATCTTTTGATTGCGAAGCTTAGCCCGGAGTATAATGTAATAGATCATGTATATTTGACCAAATTTGGTTTAAAAAATCATTAACAAGTAACACTACAATAAAGGTAAAAAAATAAAATGCGACTGAATATAAAATCAAAATGAAGAATACATAAAAAATGTAACCATTTAATGTATATCTAAGAGAGTCAATTTTTTTTAATAGAAAAGATCGGTCACGTTCAGGGATTTAATGAATTTTCCCGAAATTAGAAAAAATTTTCTCTAAAACGTTCGTTAAACAAATAATTTGTTTTTAAAACTACCTATCGAAATGTATATAGTAAACATTTTAGTTTAAATATATCTATTATCTATTTTATTCACTGAAAAACTTAATTTAAAACTAAATTAAATAATGTGTAAATATAAGAAAATCAGCAAATTATAATATACAGTCGACCGAATCTTAAAATTTAAAACATGTGTGTTATATTGGGAATAAAGTTAGCTAAACAATAAAATATTATTTTCTAAAAAAAAACATGTAGGTACATATATTTATATATAATTTGTCTGTAAAATATCATGTGTAATATTCGCCTGAATAAGTTTGTTTCTACTTTTGTTTTATTATTATTATTATTTCTTTAAACGTGAGTGACCCGAGTGAGTGGGTGCGGTTAAAAAGTTTTTTTTATTTATTTTTCTTATTTTTTTTATATAGTGGTTCAGAATAATGTGTCAGACGTGTAGAGGAGAGGTGGCCCAGAAAAGGCGGTTTCGTCACGTTTTGATCATAAATCGGTGGGGAGACGGGAGTGGAGGTATCAGTAGTCCTGATCAAGAGGTGATGGGAGAGGGGCGTACTTAACGAGGACCATTTTAATGATCTGTTAAACGCCGTGGCTAGTTCCTCGAATAGAGTCCAATACGACGCCAACCACTAGACATGGAATAAAATAATATATTATTTTTTTATTTTTTTTTTTGTGTTTTAAAATTGCATATCAACATAGTAGTATTAATATTTCATTACTACAGATGATATTTTTACAACAAACAAATGATATAAAATCGATAGAATATAATTTACATATTATTATATGGGTACCTATGCTTAGTATGATAAATGAATTTGTTTTATTCTTTATGAAATAATAAATAATAATAATATCAAAATTATAAATACGTTACTTAATAAAGTTGAAAAATCGCGTGTCTTGTTTGTATTACTAATTTTTGTAAGACATCAGACAGAAATTTAATTCTTATCTTTTATAAGATCGTGTGTGTTTTTTTTTGTTTTTGTTTATTGTGTTTATATAAATATTTACGTTAAATACTCGTATTTATAGTTTTGGAAAATATGCTTTCGAGTTTTTTACGACATAAAATCGAAATGACCCTTTTTAAGCCAGCCGCTGCGTTTATACTGTTGAATACGTTATGCCTAGTTTGTTGTTTTAAGGTTTTTTTACAAGTTATAAACTATAATGTTATAAGTTGAAAAGGCAATAATTTCGCAATGAGTAATATTTTACCTAGGACTCTATTCTCAAACTCGTACGAATAGAATCCGTATACGAACTATATACTTACTGTATTTCTATGAAATACGAATAAAAATATAAATTTTCAAACTATGTACTCGTATCCATGTACGCAGGGGTGGTCAAATATGGGGGATGAGGAAGACGTATTCCTCCCATTAAGTCATTTTTCTTAAATATTTATAATAATAAACAGAGTGATTATTTAAGCACGTAACTACTCACCCCATTTGTATGGTTAAATTACGCATACATTCAAATTCTGATATTTGGAATTTTTATAAGTGTAGCGAAGGACGATATTTTCGAATACTTAGATTTTTTGCAACACTTAAGAAATATTCTGTGATAATACCAACTTTAGTTTTTCTAATGAGAACCTACATTTTTAATGCAAATTGGCAATCGGATGATATGTCTAAAAACGTTGATATATTTTAATCGAAATTTGAACAAAAAATATCTGATTTATTCTATTTTAAGTACTAAAGAATAATAACTGCGTGATTCAAAACAAGAAATTATCTATACACATGAAACAATTGGTATTCAATCCCCATAAAAGAATCTTATCCTTAATATTTAAAGCAGAATAACTCAGAAACTCGATTCCAATACGTCGACATTTTGAAAAAAAATTATTAATTTGCATCAAAACATGTAGGATCTCATTTGAGAAACCAATGTTCTTATCACCGCAGGATACTCCTTAAAATTACTCATTTAATGACATTTAATGTTATGAAAAATCTAAGTATGCAAAAATATCATCGTCCACTGCACTTAAAAAATTCCAAAAACAAAAAATTTAAATTTATGCAATATGAGCCGATTTAAAAAAAATTACCCCGTATATTATATGATATCTTTATAGGTATAACAAAAAGATCATTAAATAATAACAGTGCTTAAAAATTATCCTTTCATCCCCCCCCTGCCACCATGACAAAATCATTTAACCACCACAGCGTATACGTAACTTCGTCCGGAGGAAAATGATATTCCAATAAATGAATTAATATGGCAACGTCGTAATATATTTAATTTATTATTGATAACGTATCAGAGACAATTTACTTTAAAATTGTCTTATCACTGTCAGACAATTTTCAAGATAATATCGGGTGATATTTTATCTTAATACTTCTGTTATTTCAAAATGATACCTTATCGTGGCGGTGAGCAGACATCATTATTATTGTGGCTGTACAGACGAGATAGGTATTTACTTTGATAACTCATTCTACTTCTTTACTTCAGACAGCAAAATGTGCATATACTTTGTGTAATATTATTAATTATAGGGAAAATATATGCTCAATAACAATAAATATTTTAGATTTTGAGATGCTAAAGTGTCATTTTGTTCCATAGAAATTTTGATCCACGGGAACAATTTGTTCTCATTTGTTCTCATTTTGGGATTTTTGTTCCATTGTTCCAACAATATTTTGGTTCTTTTAATATTTTCACACACATAAAACAGAACTGTCTGTTGCTTTTGAAAAAAAATAAAAGTGGAACTAAAAACTATATATAGTGTGTTTAGGAGTTTCCATTGGGGATGAATAGGGTTGATTAAAATTGTTATTTTTGACTAGAGAATTACATCACATCTTGAATTTAAACTATCAGTTGTAAGTTATGAGGGGCTGGGTTTAAATGTGATAAATCTCCCCCTCTTTGAGCACGTCCTTGGTGCAAGTTAGGTGTCTTTGGGAGCCCAAGGCAATGGAAATGTCGGGACCTTCTCGTAAATGATCTGACGTTTTACCAATTAATAATTTTAAATTAAATTGTATTTTCAAAAAATATAATTTGCTTATATTAAAAATTATACAAAATTTATTTAAGCTTGTCTATCGTATATATACATATATATGTACAGAGTGATTCACTAAGCGTAGAGTATCATTTGTGTGACAGCACGGCACGTGGCGTTTTATTAGTACTCCACTATTTTCCTCCTACCTAAACTTAAAAATGGAATATGTCGTCAACGGGTTGACAGAAAAAAAAATGTTAACACCAAATTGTATTTAAACTAATATTAAATCTCTTTATGTATTTTTTAATAAAGGTTCTTCTTTTAAAAACCAAAGTTAATTTATCATATTGCAATATTATTCAAATTTGTGTTTACGCCACAGGAGACGATATAGACATAAACGCAAATAACACCAATGAGGACAATAAGCGGCCCAACTACTTTCAAGACCCACATCATAATATTTCCGTGCACGAAACGTCTACGACGGAACTCATGCCGTTAACGATTTATCCCGCGGAAAACGATTTACAGTATAATAAATTGATGAACTATATAATATTATCTACTATGTCTATAATATACTTGATATAATATAATGTTATTATTATTATTATTGTGTATAATTAAGAGGACGCGATACACTCATTTGCAGTCTCTCTCGTACAACATAGGGAATCTGCGTTAGCGCTTTTCATTATATAATATATTAGAGTGACCTATTATTTAACTTAGAATGAGAACATTAACTGTACAACCATTGCCGAATGGTTGCCAGTGCCATTTAGATTTTGAAACGAGTATATAAGCATTTTTAAACTGTGTTAATTCGCATAATAATATCTCGCTTTAAAATTAAGCTACCGTAAAATACTTAGTTGTTGTTCTTATACCTTGACGTCTGATAATAACAGATCGATTCAATGTAATGTATTTCAACTAACTACACACAGTTGTCCCTGCTGAACGCGAATTTGCTATGTCGTACGCACGTATAAGACGGAGACAATACACATGCGGGTATCACGTACTCTTAATGAAAACCAAGTACGATTCGTATATTTGAATACGTTTAGAAACAATGGCGGTGTACTTACGGGCGACGTCAGTAGCAATACGGTTACTTCGTTGGGGTCTCCGGAGGAACGTTCGCCGTCGTCCACGGACCAACAGCAACAGCAATCTCAGCTGCAACCCGCCGCTGCCGCCGCCGCCGCCGTGGCGATTTTGCCCGCAACCGGCTCGAGTAAACCACCGTACTCGTACGTGGCTCTGATCTGCATGGCCATTCAGAATTCGCCGTACAAACGCGTCACGCTGTCTGAAATTTACAAGTACATCACGGCCAAGTTTCCGTTCTACGAGAAGAACCAAAAAGGTTGGCAGAACTCGATACGACATAATTTGTCGTTAAACGAATGTTTCTTGAAAATACCAAGAGACGGCGGCGGCGACAGAAAGGGCAACCATTGGGCTTTGGGTAAGTACAAAATATATCTAGTAAATTTTTTTTTTCTACTTCCTATTGCGGTCAAATACTTCTATAGCTTTCTTCTGATCACAAATAAAAAGTTTATTGGAACACATTTTCACAAATATAATGTAAACCGAAGGGCCTGTTTAAAAAAATTGTTGTTTCGGTGTGTACACTATACTCGCACCATCAAATATGTATAGGTATCGAATCTACATAATACATTTGTGAAGTAAACACTAACGCTTTAAAACGAACAAACCTAAAGCTGTATTAAAGAAGGGCTAAAAAGACTATAACCCAGGGTCCCTCCAGAAAAATGTTGGAATTTTAATTTGTCTACAATTATCTCATTAATATAACTCAAATAATATAAATTTTAAAAAGACCTGATACTGCTGACAGATGTATCACTGTTGTGTGTGAGCCCTTGAGAATGTCGAATACATGCAGTTATCTATAATTTATATCTATATGTAACGATAAAATCATTGCTAACGAATTACGATTTTCGTACAAATTAGAACTTTAAACACTCATAAAAAAACCTACTAAATTACGCTCAATTTTTAAAAGTACAACACATGATAACTTCTGGTACAATTTTCAAATATTTTTGCTCAAATAAAATAATAATTTAGTCCAAATAAAACATAAAAAAAACTCTATAATATCAGATGCCTTTCAATAACTGAAATTCGCCCCAGGTACTCTATGAATAAAATTGTCGGACTAAACAAAAATGATTGAAAATTTAACAGGAGGTTCATTATAAGTTGTACTTTGTAGTAAAAAAAAAATTGAGTTTAATATAGTACTTTATTTTTTTACGAATTTCAATATAAAATGTTGACGAAATTCGTAAATATTATGGCCTTTCAAAACATGTACAACCGAACTTAGCTCCGAATCATTTTTCGTTAGCAATTGTTTATAAATAAATTCTTCTCTATGTTCTACTTTCCCAACTTATACCTACAACAGTGGCCCGTCCGTCGTGCGAAGCATATCTATTTTTTTATTATACTTGTATTATTTTATGTTTAAGAGTCAAAAATATCAATATGTACGCCGTATATCATACGTGTCTTGTAAATCTTAAAGAAAATATAATTAATGTTTCTGTTATAATTATTTTGCTAGTATTAAAGTAAGCAATACTAATTTTCGAGCTAAGTGCAGTGAAAAAATTGGATTGGTTTAACGAGTTAATGAATAAAATATTCCTTAAAATAATTTGTTGTTCGGAACAACAATGTATGAAACGCTCAAAATAAAATACAGATTACAGTACCCTTTGCCATATTATGCCACTTTAAATCCTGATCTCAGTAAATAATAACTAATAAGTCCGTAAAATCTTCGAAGTTCTCTTATATTTTAGGTATTACCGTTAGGAATAATATTTTTAAACAAAGATAATGAATAATAATACAACGAGATCTGTTCAAAACGTCATACTATTTTAGTACCTACCATTTTACAATTAAAATAATTTACATTAAAACAAATTTTTTATTTATATCCACATTTAGGTCATCGCTAAACTATTTTTTTTTATAATACAAATAAATAAACATGTTTTACCATTTTTTAAATATTATATAGGTATTTTTAAAATTCTATTGCGCAAGACTATAAAAACGTTTTATACTCGTTTAGCTAATAAATTGTATTATAAAATATAGAATTAGTAGTCTATCAACTACCAACTACATAATATATTTTAAAATATTCAACGTTTCTATACAATTTTTCCAAAACTTATAATAATGTCTTAACTAGTTTTGATCGCGAGCGATAAAGACTATAAAATTGCATGATTTTGTTTTGTTTGTTATTAGTTTATTACATTGAAACGACAGCTGATGGTTTTAACAATATGTAAAAAACTGCTGCTCTGGCAATATCGAAAATATGATAAAGATTTGTTTGGGTGAATTGTGCTTAGCTCACCAAAACACAGTATTCATTACGTTTCAATAATGTCATTATGCTTTTTATTTATTATTATTAGGCCTAATATTATAGTCCAGGAAAAAATTTGAATTACCCGCTTTATAAGCACTTTTTATTTCAACTCCTTTATAAACCGTTTATGTTAGAAATACTACTAATTATATTATATTATTATAATATATTAATATATATTATATTTTAGAAATGAGTTTTAATTCTATATAGGTTAAAATACCATAACTTAGTTAATACTTAAATAGTAGTGAAAGAAAGTGCCAGGTGATTCATTTAAGTGGGTACACTCATTATCTCGGAAAGTATAACTTTTTCCGGAATTTGTTTTCTAGAACATATAATAAACGAGCTGCTCTATAATTTTATATTTATGTTATTTTTGTCACCCTTATTTCGGTGGTAAAACCACTACCTACTTTTGATTTTCATGTGGCAACCTATATAAAAAAATTCTATAAATACATGGAGTATTAGTTAAAATAAATTTGTGTGTTGCAGTTTTTGATTTCTGTCAAGCCGCTTATGAGATATTCCACTTTTAAGTTTAGATTGGAAGAGAACAGCAGTGCATTATTAACAGTGGAATGTCTCAATACTCTTTCTATTTATGGCATTTTTAATATAGATTACCGTTTTAAAATCAAAAGTAGGTTAGGTTTTACTCACAAAATAAGGGTAATAAAAAATAACATAAATATAAAATTGTAAAGCAGCTGGTTTATTAAATTTTCTAGAAAACAAATTTCGGAAAAGTCAATACTTTCCGAGATAATGAGTGTACCCACTTAAATAAATCACCCAGTATATATGAAAAAATTATTTTTAATTATTATTTTATTATTATTAATTATTATTTTAATAATTATTCATAGATATTACGGCTGTTTAGAAAAAAAAAAAACAAACATAAAACGTAGTAAGATATAAATTAGAAATTCGGTTATTAAAATATTTACTGTCACTGTAACTACTCTAATAAAGAGACAGACAGTGAAAATCACTATAGAATTCTTTAAAATGTCGTATCATTCAATACTAGAGAATACGGGATGTACCATTTACTAGAGATTAAAGTAGTATATTCAACGGAGATACTGCATAATAGTTTCTCAATGGGATTGGAAGCTATGATTTTATATCTTTGTCTCACACACGTGCGACATAAGATTTTAAACATTTTCTATTTGCAACGTACCAATTGATCTAGGGAAACGATAAGAATTCTGAAAGCAGATTTGAGTATGTCATCAACTTTACTGGAGATCAAATTTCTCACTTTTTTAATTTTAATTTCTTCAAAAATTAAAATATTCTATTTTTTTAATTACTTCTTTTTTAATACTTCTAGAATTTAGAGAGACAAAATCAAAAATGTGGGAAAGTCGATTTCAAGTAGACTTGACATATTCAAATCTGTTTTCAAAATTCTTATCACTTTACTAGATTAATTGGCACGTTGGGAATAGAACACGTCTAAATTCTTATGTTGCACGTATGTAAGTCAAAGACAGAAAATAATCGCTTTCAATCTCTTTAATACACTGATTTCCAAATATGTAATATTTATTCTATGTACTAAAGTAATGATTTCAAAGGAAAATATAGATAGAAATTGAAAAACTAATTTTTCAGACACATTTTTGGAAATATTGCTTGTCAAGTCTTATATTTAGGTTGGTAATATAGGTATTAAATTAAATTATCTATCATTAATAAATCGGCCAACAACGAAATAAAAAAATATAGATAGGTAGTTCGTATTTATATTTTTGATTTGCATAAATTATTATCATTATAGTTTTCAATAATAATAATAATAATATTATTCAATTTTATTTTAATTCGATTTTTCAAAAACATCAAATATCAACATTTTTAATGGGAATTTATTAAATTAAATTATTAATTTAATTAAATTTAACTAAAATATTTGTATTCACTTAGAAATTAGTTTAAAACTTGTGCCATGATATTGAATATCATTCCTCACAAGTAGGTATTAATTATGTAATCATGAATTACACTAGATTCTTTCTGTAAAACTTTGAATTAGTTGTATTCCAAATAGGTAAAAACGTAGGTATAGTGAAGTTTTGAATGAACATAAAACCAAATAGTTTAATATAATTTGAATAATTCAACAGTGTTTTGTTTGAATTCTATTTTTGAAAATTCTACCAGCGGACGAGCGTTACAGATTACCAAATAACCATAATACTATATTTATGTTCATGCACTCGTGCATTATTTACATATAAATTGGAAAGTAATTAAAATTACAAAAATCTGATAACAACAAAAACGGTACCTACAACGATTTTTACTTTCAAACGGTATACTATTACTTATGTAAATGGAGGGGGGCTGTATAAATCGAATAATAATATACAGAAACATGAATTAACATGTATTATTGAAGATGAATAATATTCGTGTATATCAGTTTCAAATTATACAACCTTTTGAAAAGAGAATTAAAATACATAGTAATTCATTTTTAATGGATTAACTTTATTTAGTATTATTTTATATTTATAGTATTTATAGGTACCTAGTGAAAATTAAACGATTATTTTTATTTATTAAATGGCAATTATGTGGTTTTATATCTTTTGTAACATTTTTAGCACGCTATTTATACACATCTTTGTAATTGTTCTGGACAAATTTTAAGTTATAACCCTTCAATTTTAATTAAAACTTATTTCATTACCGAAATTTGTAATTTAGCCCTGACTAAGTTATCAGACAAATTAGGTTTAAGGTGGCAGCCCCCCTCTCTCCAACACGGACAAATGGATCTGGACAAAGAATTAATAAGGTTAGGTATTGTATTTATTAGATTTATACATCTTTATTTATACATAAAAATATAATGAATCCAACTTAAGAAGTTCTGTATTACTTTAAATTAAGTGCACAGGAAATTATTATATTTTATTCAAAAATTTTAATTAATCGATATACCAACTGAATTTTTATTAAACGGAAAAGAAATAATACTAATGAAAAATTGTTCAGGCGTCCCTGTCGCTATGTAGTTTATTTCAGTTTTTTGTCCATACAGGAAAAAAAAACGATATGTTTTACGTATTTGGATTTTTGACGACGAACACAGTTTTGTATTTAGTATCTTGTGTATAATGTGATAAATAATATTTTTAAAAAATGTATCCTAGTGAGGAATTGATTATTTTAATATTGATCCCTTTTCTATTTTTACAGAACAAAACTCAGTTTTTGTTATAAACCTTTTAAATTCTGAGCGAAGCTAATAATTCATTGATTTTACAATGATGTTTATTTTTTGATTTATTTTTTGTGTGCTATAGATAATTTTTTGATTTTTCTCAAGTTTTTATAATAAATGGGAAAAAACGGGAAAATGTAAGAAATGTATTATTTTCAAATCTTAAATATTACGGCCTATCAAAACATGTATAATCGAACTCCGCTTAGAATCGTTTTTCGTTAGCAATGATTAATCATTGCGTACAAATATATATTATATATTTTCTTATCTACCTTCACAATTTCTCTCCTACAACAGTAGCCCGACTATCGTACGAAGTATATCAGTTTGTTTTTTTTTTTTTTTTTTAACTTCAAATGCCAGTCTTCTTATTGTGCCCAAAAATTAAAGATGCGTTAGAATTTAAACTATAAAGTCAGTTAAGAAGACGTTGTAGTCGCATCTACTGTCTCAGTCCAACTACCGGGTAATATGCAATAATAATGCTTACGCAGAATAAGTAAAACTAGATTAATTTTATTTAAAGTAAAAGTACATATTTTAAAATTTTGTTCTTTATACATTTTCTTAATAAGTTATGGTCTAGTTTTACTTATTTTGCATAAACATTGTTTTTACGTGTTACCCGGTACTTGAACTGAGACAGTTGATGCGGGTATAACGTCTTAATTAACACCGTCTATATGAGTATATATGAGTTACTCTTTTTATGAGTTTATATTATGTATGTTTTTGTTTTTCTCTTGTTTAGTGTTTATAATAATACTCATAATGAGCTACCGCCCAAAGCCTAATTCGTCATTAACTTAGAGCTTTAGAGCTAGCTAACAAATTTCGTGAATAATTTTACATTTACTTACAATTAAAGAGTTATAACTTAAAATTTGTCCGGAACGATTCGGCCTTAGTGGGGGGGAGGGGGTTAATTTCATAGACGTAATTTATTCGAGTGATTTAGTTAATATGATTTAATAAATATATATTCAATACTAGTTAACCTACATGAATTCATTGTATATTATATACTTGTTTCCATTTATTTCTTTTTTGTATAATCTAATATTCGATATTTAGATTTACATTGTATAATGTTTTGTGTAACTGTATTTTTTATCTCGTTGGGGTGTTTAAACTTTATGTAAAATAAATAAATATCTGTAACTATTATTTAATATTTCGATTGTCAAAATCATTCGATTATTCCCATTACTACCATTGATGTCACCACTCACCCGTGCCATCACGTAATATGAATTAAAAACATTAAGCAACTAGCGTCCTCATGGTATGCTATTGATCGGATATTCAACCGCCAATATTTAAATTAATGTTTTTAATATTATTAAGAATTAAGACAGACAAATTAGTGTTACTTTTATGCAGGTAAGTGTATTGTGTAGGTATAGGTCAAGTATCATGTAATTTTGTAGTACAAAACAGACCACCGCCACTTTTAAGCGCTAGACTTCTAATTTGGCTCATAAAGACAATGATTTCACCATATAAAGACTATGGTGCTACACTCAATTCGTGGCACATTCAAACATTGATAATTTTCTTGACAAGCAATATTGTAAATTGAAACGTTTGAGGTTATGACGGTAATGTTCTTATCAGCTTCCCTTCATCCGTCTATTCGATATTACTAATAAAAATCGATCTAGAGATACAATTGATCTGACATTATCGATTTTTAAAATCGATTAATAGACTGTACAAATTTAATTTAAATCGCCCATCACTAATTCGTGCGCAGGAAAATAATATTTACATAGGAATGTTATTTGTATAGAATGTTATAAAACAATGGTTCTCAGACTAGCATGCAATTCGCTTATTCAAGTCCGAGCTCATGACAGAGTTTGAATCGAAAATGAATCCAGATTTATTTTGCAAAACTATGTCGGATTGGTCGTAGGTGACCTACCTAAACAGTGCGATGTGAAAACGTCTACTTTACAATATAACAAAAATATGTTATAAACCAACGATTATTATTTTGTTAATACTTTCCGATTATGACGTTCCTGTGTTATTATTTTCCTGTGTCTTATGCGTACCCTTAATTATCTATTTTTTGAAGATAGTATTTTTTTTGTAAGTATTTAAATGATAATTATATTTTGCTACGAAAATTTTACTAGATTACACAGTACTTAAAGTAGCCAATAGAGAATAATTATCTAAAAATAGATAATTAGTACCTATGCAATTTTTCTTTTTAAATATTCTTCTAACAGTCAATCGTCAGTGCATAAGTACCTGCTTTTCGTTGCTAGTTTTATAATAAATTAGTTATCAATATTAGATTAATAATTTTATCTCGTGGACATGAAAAGATAAAATAATATTCTTTTCGATATAAATATGATTAGTGATTAGCGTTTAACGGAAAATGGTTGAAATGTTTAAAATAGATTTGGATCCCAATTTAGATTCTTTTTGTAGTAAATTCCATGACTAAAAACCCAAAATCATATAATATTCGCTAAAATAGGTATCGAGGATTATTAATTTAAAAAATATTAAATCAGTGCCTACCAACAGTACCAACCCTATATTATTACGTTATGAATACCTAAATTATATTGTTTATTTACTTGTCTCGTCTTCTATTTAATTGTTCAAACCAAGAAGTTATGCGAAGTATAATATTTCGTTTTAAACGTGAATTCGGTTAAGTAGGTAGTTATAGATCGTATTTCATAAAAGTCATGGGCTGTGCATAAAATATTTAAATACGATAACATTCTTTGACCTATTATTTGCATTATTTACATACATTTAATTTATTATGAAAACCCGTGTCTATATTTTTAGTGTGTCAATGTAAAAGTTTATTTAATAGATTTTCTACATAATGTATTTTGAACACATGTAATAGAATTGGTAACAAAATAATAATTACTAAATTCTACTACTATATGAATTCTGGGGGTCTTATGTTTTAACAGTAGCGCCCAGAGGATTTTCAAAAGCCAGCGCTGATATATTTTTTGGAACAGCCCACTTGCGCCCAAACTATTTTTAATAAAAACGCGTTAAAACCGGGCAACGTTGCCGACCTGTATGCCGGAATACAATGTCATAATTGAGGTCTAACCTTTTATCACATTTTTATTTTTAGGGTTTACGTAAAACGTTATACCCTTATCGATATATTGGTGATTTTATCTTGATTGCACTCCATGACGGTTCACTTTGTGAATGCGTTGTGCAACGTAACACAACTTGCAAGCACAAGTTCCACTTGTAAAATCGTGTATGATCGTGTTAACAATATTATATTGATTACGTGCAAATCTAATTTAAACTTTTTGTGCAATATTATAATACACACGTCATATTTGGCGATGGTATAATTACATACAAATTAAAAATTGTGTTTTAAAATTTGTTCATATGGTCTAAATAAAGTATTATCATAGTATATTTAAATAAACACGTATGCAAATGGAAAGTACCCAAATCATCAACTAAATCAAAACCAACTAATATTAAATTATTTTATTTATTTATTATTACAACTACTTACTATAATTGTAGTATCTACATGTATATCTGCATAATTAAAGTTTGCCTATCATTGTAAAAACAAAAATGTGTCAAACAATTAAATCGAATAAATATTTTAAAAAAAAAAACGCAAAGCTGATATGTTCGAAAACCTACTTAGATTTTTTAAAGCATTTAATAACTAGTAGGTATCCTGTGGCAATACCAATTTTGGCTTTTCAAATGAGAACCTATATTTAAAAAAAGAGGTGATACTGGGGATGAGAGTGGCCACTGTTGTTGGTAAAAATTTGGAAGATAGGATACATAAGGTTATTTCATTTATATCTGTAAGCAACGATAAACCATTGCTTGACGAAAGACGATTCCGAGCACAGTTCGTAATACATAATTTGTAGTGTCGTAATTTTTTTTGCGATTTTCGTTTAAATTTGATTTCAAAACGCTTATTAAAAAAAAAAGTCGTCCGATCATTTTGGAAACTTTACCACATCTGGGTAAGTCCAATATAAGTATTATGACTAAGTTTCAAGTCTTTACGTGTATTTATAACCGAATTACAGTAAAAAAACTTCTAAAAATTAAAATTCCTTAAAAGCTCAAAAGTGGCTCAAAATTCTTGGCGATGATACCGTGGTGTCCTATGAGTTTTTGATTAAATCATTTTTCTGGTAGAAAACGTCGTTCGTGTTTTTACAAAATAATGAAATCGTGAAATTATACATTTTCCTACGTTTTTTCCCACCCAAGTGCTATTATTTAAAACAAGGGATCGAAAATCAAAAAATAACCTGTTTAAAGTTCAATATAGACAACTTGAGCTTTCATAAAAGTTGCTCCGCGTAAAAATCGGAGCAAGTTTACTAGGAAAAAACGTGTCTATAGACTAGAAAAAAAAACAAAAACAACCAATAGCTCCCCTCGCTACGTTGAGAATCTAAAGTATTGAAATTTCATTAGAATATAATATGAAGTAGATGGAGCACTATGAAAACACTGTTCACCGTGACGATGTGAAAAAAATGTTTTTTAGCATCCTATTTATTCTTCGTATTTTAGTAAGTAGAATAACTCAGAAACATCGATTTAATTTTGATTGCAATCTTTAAATATTGGCGTATATTTAAAGAAAAATCATCTGATTTATAATTTTTCACTAAAACATGTAGGGTCTTATTTGAAAAACATTGGTTTCGTCACACTTTACTACTTAATATGTTGTGAAAAATCTGATTATTCTAAAATATCGGTTTTAACTACACTTAAAAATCAGAATTTGAATATATGCAAAATTAAAAACGGAATGAGCGTGTTTTATCACCATGTATATATAAATATATATATAATAGGTTCAGATTATTATTGTAAAATCGATAAATAAAGATTCCTGTTTACATAATATACATATATATATATTTTTTTATAACCGACAGTACCTAATTTAATGTTGTTTTATTATCTAAAGAACGTTATAATATAAACTCAGTACACGAAAATGAACAAAACAAGCAATTCAATCCCTTTATCTATGATTTTTATTATAATACACCCACAGACTGTCTAATTTTAAATGATTTATGAAACACAAGTTATAATAATTTTCCTTCACGTAGTATTTTTTTATTCTAAATTTAATGTACTTATTTTGTAATTATTCAGACCCAAAATATGATAATATGTTTGAAAATGGAAACTACAAAAGACGACGAAGAATGAAAAGACCGTACAGAACAACACCTTATAGTAAACCTGGACCCTATTTTGGACCAGATTATTATAGTAAAGGTGTTGTAGGACCACATACTACGAATTTTGGTTCAAATTCAAATATAACACCGATATTTGATCACAGGTTTATACATTCATCAATAATTATGTACAGTTAACATTGTGTAAGGTACCAATACCAATCTATTATATATTTCGTTTCAGTAATAATTGGCACATATCAGCTTATCCGGCAGTTCCTCAAACGCACCAATTACATTATTCCCATCAGGTTGCATCATCTCAGGTAAGTGGTATTTTAATTATTTTGTCATTGTGTCTTCATTTTAGATGATGAACGGAAAGAGCAATTATCTGATATTTATAAATTGAAAACTGTTTATTTTTATTAATTTACCTACAATTATTATAATCATATGTTGTAGTTGCAACCAGTGCAGTCTGTTCAGATCTCATCAATGAATCATTCAAATTACAATCATTTACCAACATCAATGTGTAAGAAAAGTTTGTACATTTACAGACAGGGTCAGACTAACTTAATTCACGGTTTTAAAACTTCAGGCCAAGCGCCAACTTTGACCAACAATTAATGAAAATAACAAAATTAATTTTTTTATACAAAAAAAATACTAGTATTATGTTATTATGATAAATAAATAACAACAAATAAAAAATCTGATTTCGAGTATTTTTATATTGTTGCTTTTGCAAGCACTTATTTGAGGAGGGAAAATGTGTGATTGGTCACTCTGAATTTTTTTTTTGTACAAACCTATTGTTATTAGTGACTACGCTCTTTACAAAACATACAAAATTGTGTTTGTGAACTGAAAGATTGCACTAAGAATTTAAATTGAAATTAATCCATATGACACTTAATACATGTATATTGTTTAGAGTATACATCATTATAGTAATAAATGCCAAACAAATTTAAAGTTGTACTAAGAACCTTCAAGAATAGTTAAATTTTTGTCCGACTAGCCAAATTATAGATGACAGGCCAGTACTCCTCTGTTTACAAATTAAATTAGTTTTTGTTTACATAATTTTAGTAATTACAAGTAATTTTTAATCATTTTTTGTGAATTTCTAATGTATGCTTTTTTAAAATAATCTATTATACGAAATGTATGTTATTTAAAGTTTATCTTAACATATTTTTTAGCGAGTCAGAGTCATTTTAGTGGATCATATCCACAATGCCAACGTCGTCCTCAACAGGAATTTTCACCAGATACTACTCGTCAGTATTCTTCGTATTGGGCCACATTAACATCAACTTCTTCGCCGGATCATATGCACTCTGGTAAAGAAATTTAAATTACATATTAATAGTTACAACATTCGATATAAAGTTTCTGTACTTAGGATCTGAATTTGATTTTATGAAAAAATTTAATCTGTTTATTTAGTAAAAGAAGAACATATGAATCTTATGGAAAAACCACAAGATACTTTGAACCTTGATCATTTTGAAGCACAGCCTCCAAATGTAGATTTTGAAGTAACAGATTCGCTACAAAAATGTTATTTGTGAAAGAAGTTTATAAAATATATTTTTTATTTTTGGTTCCATAGTATATTTTTTGTAATGTAAGTAATTCAGTATTAATAAGTAACAAAGTAATATAACAAGATTTTTGTCTAAATTTAAAGTTTATATAAATATTATTTATCGCAATACTAATATTTTAGTCAGTGTTACTAAGGGGAATTGAATGAAGAGGCAGATTGAGATTTATATACCTACTTATGATTAAAAATCTTCACGTAGGTAACTATTTTGTTTTAATATAAATTAAATATTAGGCGCCTACTTTTTTATTTTTTGAATCACTTCTCAATATATTGGTTTTATTTGTGTCATTCAATTTATAATTTAGTATTTGTTGAAAACGATACAAATTGCATCCTTGTTACTTAGACATGTAATTTATGTATGATTCTTAATGTTTTGTTTTCAATATTGAAATTAATTTACAATAAACTGAAATAATTTTTATTATTCAGATAAAAGTACCTGTATTAATTGATCTGTAATCTATGGTGGTTTTGTTAATTAAATATTTTATTATACCTACTATTATTTTAGGGAAAACAATACTTTTTTATAATTTTAACTTTAATTGTATTTAATTTTTATACTTAAAATTACAAGTACAAACAAAAATAAATATTTTAAACTATGATAAAATAAAATAAGTCTGCCTCTGATTTATAATACTATTTGTATTAATTTTGTATTTTTATATTCAAATTAAGTTTTTTTTTAGCCTCAATAATTTGTTTTGGTAACTACTTACATTTTTATTATATTGTTTTAATGTAAGTATACTAAAATTTATATTTAGCAGTTTGTGATTTTAAATATTAAATTTTAAATACAAAATTTAATTTAATTATAATAATTATTATTTCTATAAATACATAAATAATCTATAAATCATATATTTTATACATAAAATTTAAAAAATTTTATTTTATTTTAATATTGTACTTACTTTTATTGAAATTTCCAATTTATGTACCAATTTTTTAAGTTATTTTTGAGATACCTACATATATATTGTATAATTTTAAATTGGAAACAAAATTGTTTTTAAAAAATATATAATATTTATACATAGGTACATATTCTATGTTACATAATATATTTTTTAAAAAATACAATTATTTATGTTTTGAAAATACCTAATATAAAGTATGTTAAAAAAAAAAAAAATAAATAAAATAAGAATTCAATGAAATAATATATTCATGCATAATGCAAAACAATTTTTCTAATTATTAAGAAAACTGCTTGGATGGAAAATCAAAGAATGAATTACTTATTCACCAACTATATCCAAAGTGCTAAAAAAAAGATAAATTATCATTTTTTGATTGAAGTACTTATGGTAAAAGTTTTTTAGACAGAAAAAAAACATCAGTAAAATCAATATATTTTTAATTCTGTTTATGTTAAAATATCAATTATTTCCAGTATAGATTCAAATTACAAATGGGTGTGAGTGCCCATCATCGTGACCTCTCGTACTATCTACTTTGAGTCCAGTAACAGGATTAACTTAAATTATTAATTTTTAATTTTCAGTAGAAAAGACTGTAAAGAAAAAAAAAATATTAAACTAGTGGAAAATTAAATAGTTTAAAACTTAAAACCTGTTGGGTGGAACAGTCATGAAAAACAAAGCATTATTTTGTATACATTATTTAGCGTAAATCAATTATAAATATAAGTTATTAAAATTAATTAGGTGTTAATATTCATATGTAAAAAATTATATCAGAAATTGTATGACTAACTTTTGTTTTTTGTATTATCAAATACGGTTACATATTTTTTTTTTTACATAAAAGAAGTTCTATTGTTCCATTAATTTATTGTGTGCTATGACTATTAGCCATGAAATGTAAACAATTTTAACATTTGTAAAAATCTTAAAAAACACATGTATTTGGTTTTGTGATGAAAATACACTTCAGGGCATTTATTTTATGAATATTCACTGTGTCTACTCACTTCTCTCTTAATAAAATGCTCAATGACTAAATCTTTCCAACTAGAATTTTGAACTCTCCCCATTGATTTAGATTTTAAATTTGTATAAGTATTTTTCTGGTATATTGCACAACTATTAAGTATCTTAAATTATTCGAGATATAAGAAAATAATAAAGAACATTTATCTATAATATTTTAACAATAGTATGTTGTATGCATAGAAAACATTTTCTTCAGATTAAATAGTTTTAAGTTTAAGTATACTACATAAAACAAACAAAAACAAAACTTAATTTGTTATCGTTTTTTTAGTTTTTACACAAATAATAAATTACTGACTAGGCAATAAAATTACAAATGATAAATGTTCTGTCTTATCAACTGGTATATTATTTCAATAATAGCAAGGGGAGGATTTTTAAAAATTTACTTCATGACTGTTACTTTTTTTCAATTTGTGTGACAATGCGGCATGTGTCATTTAAATAATTCATATTATGAACAATTGAATATTATTTAATAGTATAGATTATTAGTTTTCAATCATCACTTACACATAGTATTGATGAAAATCAAAACCTGTACTGAATGTACAATAAAACTTCTACAATGATATTTTTTTTTTTTGTCTCACCGGGAATTAAGTATTATCTTAATTTGTAGGAAGATGATCTCTGTATAACAGTGACAATATAGCCATGAAATGTAATCAACTGCATTAAAATATATATATATATATAGAGAGAGAGAGAGATTATCATTCAAAACAAATATATTAAGCTTAATGAGTGATCTTTCTCTGATTAACAGAACTTCTCTAGTTCTAGAAGTCTAGAATTTCTTAAAACAACGAAAAGTGTTTTTATATTAAGGGTTTTCAAAAACAATAAAATATTTTCAATATTAAAATAATATACTTTGATAAATTCAAACTAAGTTTTTCATAAAAAGGCTATAATATTATAATACAAATTTTTAAAATAAAAACAAATATACTTTCAAGATATACATACACACAAAAACAATGGGTATGAAATAATAGATTTAAATAACAAAATATTAATTTAAATTATAATATGTATACAATATTTCACCATTATGCAAATATTCTTGGTATCAATAATTTTGAAATCTAATACTGTTACAAAATATATATTAAATGTACTGATCTGAAATTTTAAACAAAAAATAAGTGCTAAAGTCGTGATTTAAAAATATATATATAAATGTTTCATAACTTAAAATTGGTAAATAAGTAAAATATTAATAATTGTTTTTAAAAAATAATACATATATTCAAAATAAAATATGTGACATCTGAACACTTTTTTTTTGTAATTTTAAACCCTAATTTAATACTATTTTTATTAAAATAATCAGGTAAGTACAAAAAAATGGAATGGGGAGGGGGAATATGTATTTGTGTGAATATAAATCATAAAACAAAATTAAAGTATAAACAAAAGATAATAATATAATTTCCATTTTAAATATAGTAGTAATTTTACAGTTAAAAGCCAGTAATAGACTTATACTCGCTATAAAGTGTAATAACAAAATAAATACAAGCTATTCAAGAAAAAGCAAAATCATCATCATCGTCATCATCAGATAATTCAGCATCAATATTAATGCCCTGTAAGATAAAAACATAATATTATATTCAAGATAACAAAAAAATAATACTATTAAATTTACAGTTTTTACTATTATCATCATTGATAAATCACTGATTACTATTAGCTAGTACTATCTATTTACTACTAAAAGTTTTGTAGGAATAAATGGCATACATAATTTAATATAAGATACCTATTATAATACTTTAAGTGTTAAATACAAATATTTTGTTGGATTAATATTTAAAAAAGAAAATAACATTTTTACTATTTTATTTTGATATTTAACAAGAAAATATTGAAAAATAGCATATTTATAAAACTACAGCATAAATATTGTTTGATATTTTTACTAACCTAAAATGAATTTAATAGAATAAAACAAAAATAATCGATAACAAATTATATCCCTTTAGTTTCCACAAAATCTAAAAATATAACCCCAACTACTAATAAATGTAGGTTAATTATTTTATCAAAGTATCTTTAAGTTAGGTTGACTGACAAGGATATGTATATTATTTGTCACATTATTATTACTATAATTATTTGAAATATAAATGTATATTAACTATTATTAAAAAACAAGTACAAAAATATAAAGAGTTTAAGGGTTTAAAAATGTCAAATCAACTAAATTCCATTTTGAATTTTTTCTGTCTTTTCAAGGATGTAAATACCAGAGTAAATAAATAGTATATGTTAAAATAATAGTTACTTTTATTCTTTTTGAATTTAACAAAATTTTTAAATAGTAAAATTAACAAACATACATAACAATGAACAATCATTAAAAAGTTATAGTATTTATCGATGAATGTTGTGAACACCAGATTTCCAAATTTCATGATTTTCCCAATGATAATTAAGATGGCCATGATTACTAAACATTTGTACACTGATAACCGTTAGTCATTTGCACACTGGTACTTATGGTATAATTTATTTACTATTTGTTTATTTTAACTATTAATTGAATTTGTGATTTTTAACAAATTGTTTAAGTTCAGAATAAAAAGTACACAGTCAATTTACTAAAATAATAATCAATTAGCAAAATACGGTTACAGCCTGTTGAATAATTATAAATGCTTTTCTCTGAACTTAAAACAATTATTGAAAATCATGTATTTAATGAATATAAAAAATTGACATTTTCAAACGAATAATTAATTCCTTTAAAATGACTTGAGATATTGCAATGGGCATTATCTTTGTGGGACACCTGTACATATAAAAAGTGTCTAAAGTATTGCCATAAATAGTTTATAAACCACTTAACAAAGAATTATGAATTAAAATTAAAATTTAAAATATATTTAAATCATTTAGTCACTTTTTGTATGACAGCGACAAGTTGATTGTTTAAAATACGTTTAGAAACAATCAATCAACTAATAATCAAATCATTTATTGATGTAAAATCATTTTGCTATACTATGTACATTATTATTTTTGTAAGTATTATATATATATTTCTTAAATTAAAAAAAGTGTTAGTAAATCTCTATTGTTATTTAGAATGGACTTAATATATTACCGTTGATTCTATTTCATCAAAGTTCATATTTTCTAGCATTTCTTCTAATTCTTTATCTGCATCTTCATTATCTCCATTAATCATCTTGAATTCCTCCATAAAACCAAATCGTGGTAAATTAATATCATCTTGTTTCTTATCAACATCTAAATATTTACAACATTAATTAATAAAAAATATACAGCTGCATTAAAAAAAAATCATAATAAGGAAGTAATAATTTTAAACAATTGTTGCATACAATTTGGTTCTAAAACTCCTGCTTTAATGTCAACAATTTCTTCATCTAAACTAAAACTGGGTTCTTGAGTTTCAGCTGTTTTCATTTCTTCTAAACAATTTCTTTCATGATTCATCTAGAAACAAATTTGTATTATAAATATAATATATTATAATGTACAAATTAGTTTACATATAGTAATACATTTATATTTTTTGTGTAGTATTTTATAGGCTTACAGGCAACTTTGCATAAGCAGCAGCGGGTATCTGTCTTTGCCTTTCAGTTTGTAGATAAACTTCTGTCTTTAATGATTCCTGGTAATGAGGAAATAAATTTTCATATTCGTCTGGATTAGCTAACGATTCACTAGCTTTAACATTTGTTTTGCTTAGTGATTCTTTCCACAATCCAACCACATAAGACATTTTGCTTGGTAAATATGATCGAGCAAAAAATGCTGCTTCTGGCAATCTATCAGTGTCTATTAATAGTTGCAAACATTTGTTTAAATCGCCCAAAAGTAAGTATGATAGGAATGAGATATTATTTTTTCCATTTGAACTAGTACTTTCAGCTAATTTTTTTACCATTTCACTATTACCTAGGAAACAAATGAATATAATAATAAATACATTAATAAGTAATGTATATATGTAATGTATAATGTATATATTAACAATACATACCAGAAGATGTAGCTAATAAAAGTAATCCGCCATAATCTTGAGCCTGATGAAGACATTCTTGTGCTAATTCAAGATCAGCTTGTGCTGTGGCTAATTCAGAAAGTTGTCTCCACTTTTGAGGACTAGATGCTTCTTTAGCAAGCAAATGTGCTTTAGCCAAGTCTTGTAATTGTATTGCTAATTCGAATTTATGTTCGACATCAGTTGATACAGCTAATGCTTGTTTCTTATAACCCTATAATCCAAATATTTTAATTAATAAATGAAATGAAATAAATCTACAAATTAAATGTAATATAAAATGAGAAGTTTGAAGTTTATAATGAATATTATAAGATATTAAATAAATCTAAGTTTGATCTTTTTAAATCACTAAAGCGTATCCACATATTATTCAAATTTAATAATTGTTAATTGTTTAATTCTTACATTACCTGTTTTTCTAAGAAATGAGCCACACGAGTCCTATATTGAGATGGTACTGATGGTAGTATACGATCAGCAATATCAAAATCTTTTCTCATAACAGCTGTTTGATATTCTAATACAGACAAAAGAAGACTATAAGAAACTATGTTGAGTTCCTTGTCACCTAGGTATAGTCGATTTTCTTTAGCTACATATCCTAGAAGATACATAGTGCGGTCAAGATGAGATACAGTGACAATTTCTCCTCCCACATAATAGTTGATCCTATTTACACCATTGGTGTATATGAAGCAATCACCAACCCATAAACCTGTCTTCACAACTTCTTGCACTTCTCCTAAAATCTAAAATAGAATTTATAAGTAAATATTTACATATTAAACTTAAATTTATATTATGTTTGTTACTTTACTTCAAAAGCATCTTCGAGACCATCAGAACCAGCAGCTTCAAAATTAGATGCTCTTGCAGCGCTAAGGACATTGACATCAAAACGTAGTATAAAGTATGCTTCATCTGTAGCAAGACACACTAATTCACCAGATTCTGACCAGAATACATGTTTCGGTTGAGTTTCAATTCTTCTTACCAAGTTGCCATTTTCCCAATCAAATAAAGCTAATCCAGTAACAGATTTGACACCCAACAAGTAACCACCAAAAATACCATCTGCTCCTCCTTCTGGTTTAAAGGATTTCTTTTCTTTGAAGTTTTTAAAGACTTTGATTGTTGAAGAATTTTCTCTGATCGCATATTCAGAATCAGAAGACCATACAAAATCTTGTGCAGATCCAAATGCTTTATTACGCAGGGCCATAGATGTATATATAATATACTCTCCATCACCACACACAACCAAAAATCTACCATTCGGGTTATGAGATATTGACTGTGGATAAATCTCACAACTACCCATATCTTTGACTTGTATAGGTAAACGTTCACCGTCTTTGATATCAGTCCCTTCTGTCTGAAGCATAGCTTTCAGGTTAGCTTGCTGAATTTCACTATGACGAGCCCAAACAATTTTACCACCGTGAACATCCATTGACATAGCTGGTTCTTCACGACCAACTTTAACCATTATGCTACCTTCATCATATCTAAGGAATTATAAATACTTTGATTTTAGTTTGTTTACAAGATGGAGCCCTTGTAATATTTTACCCTAAAGCAACATTATTAGAACCACGTAGGCAACAAATTGTCCATACACGTTCTAGCCCATAATTTAATGACGATTCTAATCTGTAAGTTCCAGAATGCCAAATTCTAACAGTACCGTCTTCAGAACCAGTTAGAACTATTGGAAGTTCTGGATGGAAGCAAACTAAAAAAAGAAAATAAACATTTAAAAAGTGTGTTAACTCATTGATTATTAATAATTACCGGCAGAAATATTTTGTGCATGGCCTTCTAATGTCTGCACACATGTTTTATTTTGATAATCCCAAATTTTAACAAGTCTGTCATCAGCTCCTGATATCAAATATGGCTTATCTCCAGCATGGTAATAATCAACACAATTAACCCCTTTTTCGTGGCCTTCTAAAGTAAAATTTGGCGTTGAAGAACCAAGTTGCCATACTTTAACAGTTCGATCTAGTGAAGCACTGGCAAAAGTATTGTTATCTTTAGGATTGATCATAATTTGCATAACATAATGTGTATGCCCTTCGAATACTTGTTGGCATGCCCATTGTTTTTCCCAATTCCAAAGTTTGATTAACATATCATCTATAAAACATTCATGTATTAAACATAAGTACTTTCTATATTTTGTATTATATAAGTTTAAATTTAATACATACCACTGCTGGTGAGTATAAATGGTTGTGAAGGATGGACGGCTATACTTCGTAAATAATCAGAATGTGCATCAAGCTGATGCACACGTTCCAAAGTGTTATAATTGATGACCCGCAATTGCATATCATCTGAACCAGTAACAATCCAGTTCTTTCGAGCAACAAAGCGAGCTGCTCGTACAGGAAGTTCACATACCTATTGTAAAAAATACCATAATAAATAATTATAAAATATCTTTTATCTTTACACTATATCTTTCTATGTAATACATATGATTTTGTATTATAAAAAATTAATTTTTTGTAAAGATAAATTTATGGTGGGGACTGAGAGAATGAACTAAAATCAACAAGAGTTTGAATTTACAATAATTTGAATTGATAAAAATACTAATTATCATTTTTTTTAAATTCTAATCATTTGAAACTTTTTTTCCAAACAGGCAGTTAAAAATACTATACTATTATTTTAATTTTAATATTGATTCAAGATTATTATAGTTCAATTTAGTGCATTTTGTATAGGATGACAAGGGACTGAACACAATGTTTTTTTCAAATAAATACTGTTTCATTGTCATGTCAATTAAAGAGCATTTAATATTTTTTTTTATGTGATTCAAATATATGATAAATAATCAGACATTTTTCAAAATTTTGCTATATACCTAGTTTATATAACCTCAATGAAGTTTTATTTAAATACTATATTTTAATTTTAAAAAAACTTGTATTATTTCACGGTAAAAGGGATTTAAAAATGTAATGTTTTATTAAATCCTTTTTTAATTTACATAGTCAATCATTAAAAGTTTAAATAAATAATAATTTTTAAAACTGATGTTTCCTATCATTGAAAATTTAGAATACAACCCATTCTGTACATCAATATTATTGAAAAAAAACTTATGTAAATAGTTTTTCTTAACTGTTACAAACAGAAGATTTATGTTGACATGGTTCTATTAATATATATATATATATCAATTTTTAATAACTTTCTTTGATAAACCAGGTGAAAACTTACTTCATAAGATTTGATAAGTGTGGCAGTTTCATGGTTCCAAATATGAACATTTCCATTGTATAACGATGCTAACATCCATGGTTCTTTGGGATGGAGATCCACGCATTTCACACGATCTGAACGAGCAGTGAGCTTACGTTTGATATCTAAACGTAAAGGCTAAAACGAAAAAAAAATTAAATGTTTTTGAAAACATATTTGCAGCAGCAGTTGATGGGTATCAAGTAAACTCACCATTATTTTTCTTTAAGTGTTACACAGTTTTTCGAAATTTTAAAACATTTACAAGAACGAGTACCTATTTGTGTAAATTTGCACTCAAACCTATATATTCTAATCGATCAGTAATTAAAAATTAAAAATTAAAATTAACAACCTATCACATACAGTAAAAAAATCTAGTGTGTTGTAGAGTGTTGTCGTCGGCAGTGGACTGTTATCAGCATGTCTTTACGGGTTATCAATGACCGCGGACGTGTACCGCCGGCAGTCACGCCAACCTATGGACGAGCTGAAAAAAAATACTAAGGTTACCATGGTTAACCGCCACAACGGTAGCAAAAAAAAAAAATAGCCGCGGTTCTAAGGAAGAAGACAATGTCTGTGAGCAACAGGTTTACAGGTTTTCAATAGTTTTCAATTTTTGATACTAATAATATTATGTATGTAAAAAAATTTAAAAATAACAATATTTTTAATTTACCTACGGCGTGAGTGCGTCACTCAATAGTCAGTATGCTTACTACGCCACTCGTTTTTGTTGGTCTTATTGTTTGTAGTACGGCATAAGATGTTTATTGTTGTTGTTAGTTCGTTGGCAACACAACGGAAACGCAGTGGTAGGAGATGCATCCCAGTAATGCTATGACCGCAATAACGGTGGAACTAGTCGCTGGAGACAGTAGCCACCTCCAGTGATAGATTTACAGATCGTTGACGAAGTGTTTTGCATTTACAGTTTTCCGCGGCAGTCGATTCCATTTGTTATACCTCTTGTAGACGGTGACTAATACCTATGGTGTAGTGACATCCGGTCAGCCATGCAATGTCAGTTTAGCGGTATCGGATCTATGGCGGACAACAGGAAGAAAACCACCATCAGCGACACGTTACCCAAACCGGGAAAGGTCAACTCTGGTAAATATTATTATCGTTATCTTAAATTTAATTTTCCTGTTTATTTTTTGTACCCACATATTCACTTTGTTAGTCAATTTAGTAGATCTCTAGCTATTTTTGCCCATATTTTTTGTGTACAATCATGTCCTAAATTCGCTCAACAAAAAAAGTGGTGGGTGATTTTATATTTTTTGTGACTTTCACTTTTCAATTATTGTCTTGGAGCACAATAACACATCCGTATAACTTTATTATTAGTCTAACAATATTTTAGTGATTTCGTTTTGGTCCAATAACAAATTTATTCCAATTTGTTAAGATATAATCAACTCGTTTTTTTTTTTTAAATTAAATTTTACCTGGTTTAAGATTCTAAGTGGAGCGAAAAAGCTTATGGTTTTAAAAAGATTTTTATTTTTATCTGTGCGTAACTTTTCTACTGAGTCTTGCTACGATTTTTAAGTGTAGAAAGCAAATCTGAAAGAAAATCGGTGTGAGGATGTACTTTTTAAGGAGATCATTTTTCGATTTTCTCAAGAGTTTTCTCATCAAATATGAAAAATCGATAAATTAAATAAATTATATAATACCTGTTTAATTATTTTACCATAATATGACATATATATTATATGAGATGTCAAATCATTTTTAGTTCTAAATCAAATATAATTTGATACATATAATAAATATAAACAATTTATATTTTTTACATTAAGAGTTTTGTATAGATGAATTACATGGAAACCATAAGATTTACAAAGAATAAACTTCAAAAAGGAGTTTGACATTATAACAAGTGGACTAAGAATTGGATTAGCTGCATTTCCCTGAATTACTATACCATAAATACAATGGACTGTGCTAGAACTAGGGTAACTAAATGCAAAAACATTAAATTGAGAATATTCTTAAGCAGTTTAAATTTAAAAAACAATTTTTGTACCATATCTACTACATGATTTATATGTAAAGAACATCTTAAATTTTTATCAAAAAGCACTTCCAGATATTAATTAATTCAACATATTCAAGTTTATCACATTTACAGAACGCTAAAGACCTATTAACAATATGATAAGTGAACTTTTAAATGATTATAAATCAAACTTTTATTATTATAAATATCAAAATACGTCTATTTAGACTTACAAATATTTAGTTCTAGTAAATTATTTTCAAACCAGTTAACCATATTTTCTAAGCTAATCACAGCTAAATTAATTAATTCTTTACTCAAGGTACTACTAACTTTAATTAAATTATCGTCAGCAAAACTGATAATTTTAGCATTCAAGTTTAAACCAAAAAGACCATTTATGGTATATATTATCAAAAATAGTGAACCTAAAACTTTTACTTGTGGTACGTCATAGTTTATAGGTAAAAAATTACTCAAATCATTATTGATCCTAACAACTTGATATCTACCAGATAAAAAATATGTGAATAAATCTAATGCTCTAATTTATAATAATTTAATAAAAATAAACTAGCCTAATAATAAATGTGTTTTACACAGTATTCAATTTTGTCCACAACTTTTAGAGATCTGAAAAAAAAGTTATTGAAGATTTCTTAAAATTCCATGTAATTTTAATGCAAAATACCAAGAGCTCTCGGTGGCACTTATAAATACTAAAATAGAATGCCTTAATTTTGAATACCTTTTTTTTTTTTTTTGTAAAAGAGGCATTTTTTTTTTCATTAGTTAACATGCAGATTTACGGTTTGTAAATGTATTTTAAACAATTCAACATAATTTTTAAAGAATTCGGTAACCTAGTATATTATGCTTTTGTGCAGAAACCTAAATAAATTTTATTTATAAATAGTTGACATGGCATTTTTAAAATTGGTTTGTTTGAATTCATGTTTAAATTAACAATAGGTCGTAATAACTATACAAAGATACTTATTTCTTCTTTTGAATTAAATCAATCATCATCATTATCAAAAAAAACTCATAATCTAAAACTTGGTCCAAAAGGCCAGTTTAGCTTAACATCTAAATCATTACCGGTATTATTTTACTTCTTTATTCAAAATTTTACTTGAAGCTCTCTGAGTATGTTTTTAATTTATCTGACTGTGCAATGTAAATTTTATCTTTTAAATATAGTAAATAAATATATAAATAAAAAATGTACATATAAAATAAAAAGGAAGGATCTAGATGGGACTTTAATGTATATCTATAAGCAATGATAAACCATTACTTACGAAAAAAACGATTCTGCGCCGAGTTTAGTTGATAGTGATGTTTTATCAACAATATATATGGCATTTTATAGTAAAAGAAAAAAAATAATTAAATAAGCTCCATATGTTTTCTTCAATAAAATTTGTTTAATGTTGTATTGATTTTCCTACATTTTCCCCATGTTTTATCCAGGTTTTTCACTTTTTCTGGGAAAACTTGAGAAAAATCAAAAATTGACCCCTCTAAAGTACCGTATCTCCCTAGAGAAATTTCCCTTTAAAAACATTTCTATCATTAAATGTTGAAGAAAAATAGCTGTTAGAAAAGCTGTGCACAAAAAAAAAATGCCGTAATATATTTTAATTAATCTACATTTCTTTTATATTTTTTTTCGATTTCACCTTTTACCTTCAATATGAGTTTAGTTAGTCATAAAAAATTAATTTAATTATCTGCAGGAATGGAAGTTAATTACTTTTTAAGTATTCTTATATGATTTTATAAAAAATAGTTATTATATTGATGTTTATGATGAGATCTTGGTATCTTATGATGTTATAATTTGCTATGTCATTTAAAGATATCTTAATTTTTCTATAAGTTTAACCTAATACAACCAAAGACTAGCATATTTTTAATCAATTAATTGTTATAATAAAAGTTGTTATTTATCTTTAAATTATCCCTAAATTCTTTAATAAAGTCTGATTGTTAATCTATCATACCATTATAATAATCCTAACCTATCATAATATTATAATTATTACCTATTATTAATTACTACTATTGATATTAAATAAGTTTATTTTTTCTTAATATTTGCCACTTTTCTCAATTATTTTCAAACCATGTCAAACACTTTCATCCTTGTCTCTGTTATAATAGTTTTACTTTTAGCCCTTTCAAAATGGAAACAATCTCTGATCCATTTAAGTAGATACACTCATTATCTCGGAAAGTATTAACTTTTTCTGGAATTTGTTTTCTAGAACATTTAAGAAACAAGCTGCTCTTCAATTTTATATTTATGTTATTTTTTGTCACTTTTATTTTTGGGAGAAAAACCATTACTTACTTTTGATTTTCAAATGACAACCTATATTAACAAGTCCATTAATAGATGGAATATAAAATAAATTTAGTGTTGAAAATTGTGATTTTCGTCAATCTGTGATATTCCGTTTTTAAGTTTGAGTTGGAGAAGAGTAGTGGAGTATCATTTGTGTGGCAGTATGACATGCGGCGTTTTTATAATGATATCGCTTGATATCTTCAGATTTCTTATATTTTTAGTACATTTTTAACATTTGAAGTTTTTAAGGCATATAAATATCTGACTTACCAATATGTATTTCAAACATTTTTGAAAAATAAATTTATAATAATATAAATAATATATTTATTATATTTTATTGTATCAATATAAAATAAATAAAACCTCTAATTCAATATAAAAATGATTAACTCAACTTGAACCAAACTCAGTCTTCTTCTTCTTTGACTTCATCCCAATTATTTGAAGACTGCCACCCTCATCCTAAACTTCCACTTAATCCGAGACCCCACATTGTCTTGAAATAGAAATAGACTTGCCATCCTCTTATCATTCTTAATTGCATTCAATCACATCTTTTTCAGTTTTCTTCTCCCCCTCTTTCTTCCTGTACCTATTTACATTAAAATTCTTACTGATTCTGATTCATCTATCCTCATGACATCAAACCATCTTATGTCTATTTTCTTTTTTTTATCCACTATTGAAATCAGTTTTTTTTTATTTTAAAAAAATATAAGAAAATCATAGTAAATTTTACATTAGATAAATTCAAATCAGAACAAACTATAGTTTGTTACTATAAATAGTTGAAGTTACAATGGTTAAATAATAATCATGTCCATAAGACCATAAATAATAAAGTCTATCTTACACATTAATACAATTTCTATTACAAACCTTATTTAATATTTCTATAAATTATTATAATTTTCGTTGGAAAATAGTATAATTACTATTACCTTTATTTACCTCATATACCTTTAATAAATGCTGTTAAAGGTATAACATATAAACAAAACCTAGTATAATATGTTTCTAAGCATAATAAAAAGTATTTTTGTTTATGAAATCAATAAATTGAATTTGTATAAGTAGTAATGTAAATTGGTAATATTACTTTGGTAAAGTATTTTAAAATAAGTAATTTATCGGTTAAGTAATATATATAAATTATTTTACTACTTTATGAATATTTAATTTTTTTAATTTTTATAATCATATTTCATATATTCTGAATTCGGATATTCATATCATCATATACCATGTTGTATAGTTATATTTATTATTTATTAGTGTTTGGACCAAGGTGTATTAATCCACTTTGCCATCTTGGTTTGGACCCTTTGGGGCTGATCGTACGGATTAGTGTTAACTGATAAATAAAAATATTAATATATAAATTACAATTTATTAAGTTGTTATAGGTTATTAACTTTAAAACTCATTGATAGAACTTTACTGTTAAATGAGCATTCGAAAATATGGGAAGAATTTGTAAAATGCACAGTCACTGGACAACATTATTAATATTACTCTTTTTATTAAATTGGGTAATAAAAAATAAATTACCAGTAGATTTACAACACTAATAATAAAGGATATTTTCACTTGGTTATCAAAATAATGATATACCACTAAGGTTAACTATCAAATGTAAGAGACAAAAAATATGACCAATAATAATTTTTGATTTAGATATCTAATAGGTACATCGTACATGAACGCTAAAATATAATTTTGTTTTTATTGAAAATCCATCTAATTATATACAGAATCAATGTAATACAGTTTGAAACATACAAGTTAAGTTATTTCTACAGTTAATTTAAGTTGATTCTTCAGTGATCTTTTTTTTTGTATCGAGTTCTGCTGAAGATAGTGTATATTGTTTCAAATATTGAACCAATGTTAACTGTGTTTGTCCTATGCTTTGCAAACAATTATTATTCACTTGATTTATTACATGAATCAGTCTTGCTCTGGCATTATCAATATCTACCAATTTTCCATATTCTATTGTTTGGTCTTTACTTAATAACTTTCCATCAACTATGCAAGCTAATAAAATTAAATGTGGCATTTTCTTAATAATTTTCAACAATTTTGGTACCTGTGTAGTACTGCTATATACCATTGAACTGTGTGATTGAAATAATTCTAGTACTGGAGCGTAATTAGTTTCAGCTAATCCTTTTTTTAAAGTACTTCTACTATAAATAACTTCATTCATTCCTGCCATTTTGAAAGTTTTGTTACATTTAAAGTTTATTTCGCCCTTCACTGGATTCTTATGAAATATTGCAATCATTGCACTCTGTTCAAATATTTGTTTAACTTCTCGGGCTAAAATATTTTCATACGGGTTATCTTCAATGTTTTGTAATTGTTTGAAGCTGGTTCCAATCAATGGTACTTCCAGTGGTTTAGGCCATGGATACCGAGGTCTTGCAACTGCTTCAATGACAGCTCGATAATGATCTGGTTTCCTGGGTTTCTGAACATTGATTTTTCTGTATCGTACACTGATGACGTTTGGTAAAAATCCTCTGCTACAAATTGGTTTAGTTGAACAGTTAAACATGGTTTTTTTGGTTTTAATATTATTGTTTAAAATTGTTTATAAAGAATTATTTATAATTCATGTTTTAAGTTACAACGGGATTAAAATTATTTAAAAACGTTCGATAACCAATTACATTAAACTCTTAAACCCTTAGTACTGATAGTAGAACGATAAGTCGATAACCTCAATTCTTTTTTATTTTCAAACAATTGCATATACAGTGCAGCCACACAATATGTGCTTCCATTATTATTGGTAGTGTCATGGCCGACATCAAAACAATTTTGTTATTTTGTAATGTTTAATATTTGATTTTTATCCAAAGTTTGAATAGGTAAATTGAACGAGCATTCATTTTTCTCTGTGCATTTGAATAATTTATTTTGATTTTTATTACATTCAAAATGGGCTGAGGCCCAAGTACAATCTACAAATTAAATATATATTTAAAAAACATATTTTTTGAATCATTAACATTGCAACCCAATTCTTTGAGAATTTAATACTTAATAATTTTATTAACAATTCCAAATTAATTATTTGACTATTTTAATTTCCACCTTGATCTATTTATAGTATAATAATGTAATATACTACAGTATTGTTTATCATAACAATTAATTTGTTCGTACTAATTATTAATTTATTGATTTAGAACAGTATACACAATAATACATTGCGATTGTAACAAATCAACCTCTTTACGGATTATTAGTTTTTAATTTGGCATTATTCTAAATTAACCAACTACATAACGTTATTCAATTAGATAATGCAAATAATTAAAAAAAAAAAATAGGTTTGGCGGGTATTATATATTTTTACTAATTAAATTGCACCTAACAATGAATATATACCGTATAAGATAGATAAGATAAAACATTTTTGTATCTGTAAAATTATACAAAAACTGTTTCAGATTTAATTTACTACCTACGACGTTCGGTGAAGTAATTAATATTAGATTCGGAAAAAATTAAATGCATCTATATTATACAATATAACGTTTCCATTTATCCATTGTATCAACCCTAAATATTATTGTATTTTTAAATTGCATTTTTGTTAACAAAAAAACTTGGGAATATTATGAAAAGTATTGGTCCTTACCGGCTACTTATGATTTTATATTTTTTATATATATATATATCTCTAGATATTCTATAATATTATGTTCGGTTATTGTGATTACACGAGTAATATAACAAATGTAAACCTATAACAATAATATATAACTTATAACAATAATATAGCTGACAAGCCCAGCATTGTAATATTATATTATTATGTAAGTATATATTTTTATATTATTCAAAAGTGGTTGGTAATATTAGTTACTACGCTTACTTACACACACACACACAACATAATAATTTTTTTTTCTGTTATAATATATACACGATTTTCGTCGTATCGGTTGTATAAGTCGTTGTGGGCGTGCAAAATTGTGTTGAGTCGGACGTCTGCGCCGAAAAAATCATATTTATATTGTAGACCGTTATTATAATAATATAAATGCTTACAATATTATACTATTTTATTTATGACCGTTCGAGAAATCCCATCTATTATGTTTTTTTTTTCTTCGTAATATTATTTTCTACTCTAAATTCTTGTAAGCTAGTCGAATGTCTAGTTTGCTGAGCCTTTGTATCTCTAAAAGCTAACATCAAATGAACAATATGCAAATTGCTCTATAGCTTCGTCTCGGTTCGTCGGTCACGGGACAGGCGCCATGACCGGTAGTCTGAGCTGCTGCTCGTGATGACGTCGTGCGAGGAAAGGGGTCTGGCCGGCATTCCATAATAATAATAATTTTTGTAAAAATATTGTACGCGCTCACGGTTTTATTATTATTATTACAGTACGTACTACTTTAATCGTATTTTCTCATATTATATTAATTGTATTATTGTAAACGTTTTTCGCCACTTTGAGCCGGCGCTTTACGCTCATAATAAAAAGCTATAGGTAGAGTAAAATAAAATAAAATTAAATTTGTGTAGTACAAGTACACGAAGTCGTTTTGCTCTATCGAAAAACCATCGAAAAATAATAACATTTATATAGCTAGTTGTATAATTTGTTAATTATCTGTATGTGGATATCTATTAATATATAAAGTGAAATATTATTGTATAGTTTTGGATTTTATTCGTCACGCGCGTTTTTCGAACCCGTGGAATTTTTGACTTTTTTTCCCCCTCACAGTTCGCTATTCGTTTCGTGAGAGAGGGAAAGAGCGCCGCCGCACCCCATTGTCGAAAACCACCTGCCGCCCTCTGAGCAACAGCCAACAGGTTGTTTTGTCAGTTAACGTACCACACTACCGCCATGTCTGCACTATAATATAGTCTGTATGTATTTTAATAGTACAATTTGTGTTACCTACTTAATTTAAATAACTTATTATTTGATTGTGGGGAGTGTGTAAGTGAATGTATAATACCCACCGTAACCTATAGTCGATTATCATTTTTTTTTTTTTTTTAAATTAATATTTTCTTCATCATTACGTTCGTGGTATTTTTTCTAATAATATTTTTCCATGATGATTTATTATAATTCATAGTAGGTATATACAATTACAGAGAAACATTCAAAATATTAACCGGTTGGTAAACCTGATACACTCTCGTACTCACGCACGCACACATCAATTCATCCAGGCGTGAAACCATTGTGACTTTCCATTACAATGAACCTCATATAGGTCCATTTTTTTGTCGTTATTATTTTCTCACAGTTTATTCACATTCAACAATAGAGATGGTTGCTGACGCGCTCTACAGGTACCCATTTTGTGGTACTTATTTTAGACTTTTTTTTTTTATGTTTTTAAATCTCATTTGTTTGGTTGTAAACGAAGTGAAAAAGTAGGAGGAGGAAGGTTAGACCTCGATATTATTATTAATGATCATGAAAATTTTATTACATTATTAGACTCATTTTAACCAATATTATTTTTTAGTGTGTAAAGAATGGTTAGTCCACGAAGACGGTGCTTTGGCGTATCATTTGCAAAAATTGGAAGGTCAGTCTACTTGCTTTTGTATTTTTATTGAACCGAACAGTTAAGATAATTTCTATAATTTTACAGTTGATGAACATTACAATGGAAATCGATCACGTAATGCCATCGTTCGTCAAGACTTACCTACTGCTAAAGAGGAGCAAAAGCGCGAAATACGAGAAGCTGAAGAACGTTATTGTTCGTTTATCAAAGAGCAGTGAGTAAAATAGCTTAAGATTTAATTATTTAGCCTCTCAAAAATACCTATAGTTTTATGCATATCAAATATGTCAAAATATTATTTGGATTTCAGATAAATTAGAAAACCATATTAAAACATGGAAATTTAAATTAACATTAGGTATAACTATTTATTAAATTTCTTAAAGATACAATAATAATATGTTTTATGTTTGAATTATTATAATATAATATATAATATTTTATAAATATGTTTAAATTGCATAAAAATAAATAATTGTAGAAAAGTGTATATATCTATTGCCGATACATATTTATGTTAACAAATTTGTATATTATTTATTTTTAGGGAAAAAAAAGATCTCAAAATTGCTTTAGAATTAGCTGATCAGTTGGCAGCTCAAAAGCAACCTACTGAAATTGGAGTTAGGACAAATCCAATTGGTGATAGACCAGGAATATTAAAAAAACAAAGTCAACCAGAATTCACTAGAAAGTAATTTTTTTTTTTTAATTAAGGACTATTTTAGTTATAAAACAGTATATGAAAATAGATATTTTCAAGTTACCAACATATTTTGAAAATTAACACATTAAAAAATAAAATAAATCAATTTAAGTATAATAGATAAATTGAACTTCAACTAGATATATTTATAGCAGTCTGCAAAATTTCAAGTACATGAAGTTTCATTGTAGTTAAGTATAATTAAAAACAACCAATAACACCACCTTGTTTCATTAGAATCTTATAGAATACCGATTTTAATTCTTGAAAATAAAATTAATTAGGTTATAATGTTTATACAAAATACATTTTATTTATATAGTTTCGTAGAAACTGATGAATATACAGAATTTGATATTGATGATATTTTGCATGACATTGATTACGAAGAAGAAGTTAAACGTAGAATCCAAGAGCAGAAGGATGCTGTGAGTAAACTCCTTTAGTTTGTATAAATATATATTATATTGTGTGTTAAAATCTAGTCAATGTGTTTGACGGGTGTAGTCTTTAGTGCACGTTAATATTTACAATCGTGACTAGAGTTACACTCGTCAAATTCATCAGGCAAAATAGCAGTGGATCTAAAGTGGTAAATAAAATGTTAAACGTAATACATACACTAAACAATTTAAAACAAATAAATGAATATTATGCTTATATAATTCTAAGGAATTAGCAAAAAGATTGCAAGAACAAGAAGGACGTTCCCTGTCTATTGAAGATCGAGATAGATTAATTGCAATTGAAACCCAAGACTGTGAATTGGCTAAACTTTTACAGGACAAGGTAATTTAGGGTTTGTTTTATTTAAAAAACTTAATTTCAAGAATATGATAATTATTTTAGGAAAAAGCCCGATTAAGAAGAGCTCGTGAAAAAGCAAAACAAAAAGCATTGTTAAAAAAACAGCAACAATTAGAAGAATTACCCGAAACTACAGCTTCAATGCAAGTACCTCTTTCTAATATTGCTATTGCAATCGACCCTACATATAATTCCAGAAGAACAGAATTACAACAAGATGTTCTATGTAAGTTTTTAAGTTATTATTATTATTGTTATTATTTTTTAACAATTTCGACTAAATTTGTCAATTTTTAAATTTATTTCAGATACATCTTCTCTCTCATCATCTTTAGACGATGTTCCTCCATACATGCCTATTCAAGGACAACGTCGCAATAATCAAACAGATAAAAAAAAAAAGTCTAAAGCAACTGATGGTGTTGCATCATTTTTTAAAGTGTTCAAATGATTTAAGTTTTTACGGTGAAAATACAAAATATGATATTTTCATAGCAATTTACTATTAATCAAAACTTCATATTCCACCAAATTATTAAACTGTTATTATTTTTTATAATGTACTTAATTATTAAAAAAAAAAAAAATTATTTTTCGTAAGTAAGATTGTTTCTTATTCTATTGTAGTGGGAAGTATTGAATTATTTTGAAAGTTTCTTTCAGACATAATTATGGTTTAATTTTTTTCAATAAGTGCAATAACGATATATACATTATAGTGTTGAATATATTTTAAGTTATTTACTAGGTACATTCATATTTTTGTTATGAATTTGTAATATTGGTTGATTCATTAAGTTTTATGTCTAGTACAATTTAAACGGAGGCTAGAGAAACAAGTGTAACTGACCTGGCTACCAAAAATATTTTATTATTTGTTTATTCCTCGAATCAATTTATTGGAATTCTTTTTTCATTAATAATATTATTTGGTTGTCAGTACTTCAAATTAAGAAGTATAACAAGTATACCTTTTAGGTTAAAATAACAACTAATGTAAATATTTGAAATATTTTGTATCTCAATCCAGTGGCATACCCAGGAATTTTCAATGGGATTGGATGCAGTAAATAAATTACATAATCATCTTCTATACCCAATTTGACTATGTGTAATAATTGTTAATTTAAAAGCCAATTTTGAAAAATCAGAAGCTTGTGAGACGAGAAGGAATTTCAACTGATAACAGTATGCAGGGGATAGGCGTCACCATAGACCAGTGGTTCTTAACCGGTGTTCCGTGGATTTGGTATAAGTGTTTCACTAAAATTTTAAAATATGTGAAAAAAAATTTTTAGTTCCATTGTCTTAACATTTTAACTTTTATGGACTTCCAAAACACAAAAGTATAAGACGTGTATAACAATAACTTTCTAGTGTATAGAATCATTTTAGGTTTTGTTGTTTTATTTTTGTACACTAAAACTTTATCGTTAACTTTCAAATTATTTGTGTCTGTATTTCTATAATATAGCTTATTATTATATACCAAATTTAAAAAAATTTCTGAAAAAGCAATTTCAATTTTATTACAATTTTCAACCTAATACTTGTGTGAGCTTGGATTTTCAACATTGACGAATATCAAAACAAAGAAACGAGAAAGGCTTACAAATATTGAAGAGGAAATGAGAGTAGCAATATCCTACATACGGCCAGATATTGAAAATATCTAAAAATCATCAGGCACAAATATCTCATACAAATTATTTTAAAGTTTTTTTAACTTTTTATATTATTTTTTAGTAACTAACACTAACATTTATGGCATGCAAACAATTATGCTATGCATTCATTGTTGATACATTAAAAAATGTATGTATTACTATTTTATTTTACGGTTGTGTTCCGCGTAAATCTTACAAAATGTTAAGTGTTCCATCATTCAAAAAAGGTTAAGAACCACTGCCATAGACCATAGGAATCCAGGATCAGAAGTCTAAAAATACAAAATATATTCAATTTTCAATTTTAATTACATAATAATATATAATTAATATTCATTTTAAAAATGTAAAAATATTAAAATGTTTTTTTATACCTATATATGATATTATATTTTTTAAAACAATGTTTATGCCAATCCTAAGTATAAAAACAAGCTGTCATCCAATCATCAAAAATCGTGACTATTTTTATGTACATATATTTTAAATGTTTTTTGACTATTAAAAAATTAGGGGCATCGCCTCCTCCCCTCCCACGCAATAACATGGGAGCAGATACGGCTAAAAAATCGGAGATATCTTTAGTAGTCGAACCACTATAAAGTGTAAATTTAAATGTGTAGATAACCATGCTACGAACAAATTTTTAACTTATCTTGACTCTTAAATGTTTTTTAACTAATTTCCAAAATTATAAGAAATCTCAAGTGGTCAATTTTGATTCATTTTTCTACTTCAGGAATATTACTTCTTGAACAGAAAGTAACAAGATAGAACTTATTAGTTTTAGTCAATTTTATCCATGAACTGAAATGTTTGAATTCTGATATCATCAATATGTGATAAAATAAATTAGAATAAATTAACAAAATGTATTACTATAGGTAGGTTAGGTATGTATTAAATTATCTAATTTAGTTTTATATTGTACAAAATAAAATTTGTAGACAAATAATCATTTGTTTCTCTTAATCTCTTATAGCTAGGTATAAATGATAGGTATATTAATTTATATATCTACATATTATGTACAATAATAATAAAATAAAATATGTATTAATGTTATTAGTAAAAAAAATATTACTAGTTATTGTGATATTATATATTATTCATAAATAAATAAATATTATTTTTAGAAAAATTTGAATAGGTAGATACTTAACCTATCCAATGTTTTAAAACAATAACATCTTAATACAAGTACCTATATAAGTTTTATAATAAAATAAATTATCATCATTAACTGATAAATTTTTACTATTTCTCACATTGAATATTGTCATATCAGAATTCACTTAAATATTATCCAAATTAAATCATTTACTTCAATTTTAGAAGATTTTTATGCTAGAGACTTTCTATATATTCTAGGTATTTTTGACAAATGAGTAGGAAAAATTGGAGGATGGCGCCTTCCATAAATGTACACTAATGAATCTATAGTACAAATTAAAATATATGTATATTGAAAACATTTTTAGCTTTGAGTTATCATTATAATTTATAGATTGTAAGGGCATATTTTGAAGTTTTACACTGTTTACAATACTGGGCATCTACGTCCCTGCTAGTATTTACAGTTTTTAATAATATTTCAAATATTATATATAGCTAATTATTATAATGTGAATATATTTCTTATTTATATTAAATAGGTAGTTTAATAGACGAACAATCTACGATCTCGTATCTCCCATTTGGAACGTTTTTGGCTAAAAGTACTAGCAAGTTTAAAACATCATATGTCATCGTGAATGTAAAATAAATGTAGAAAACAAGCAATTTAGATAGTCACTTGAAAGTTTGACATCCAAAACTATACTTGGAGTTCCTATACACAAAAAACCGGTAAATTAAAAAAAGCATACTTCACACGTGGGTGCAGCCACTGTTGTAGGTAGGAAGTTGGGAAGTTAGGCTACAGACGGAAATTTAATGTTTATCTGTAAGCAACGATAAACCATTACTAACAAAACAACGATTCTGTTGTAGTGATTCTTTGTCAACAATATATATGCCTGGTAAAATAATAAAATAGGCATTATTTATTTTCTTTAATAATATAAGTTTAATATTGTATCGATTTTACCGAGTTTCCCGTGTTTTTTCCCGGATTATCACATTTACTAAGAAAACGCTTAGGAAAATCGAAAAATGGCCTCTTTAAAGTACCTTCCCAATCAGATTTAATTTCAAAAAAAGTACTATCATTGTAAATTGGAGCAAATTTTCAGGTAGAAAAAATTGCATAACCAAATCGAGAGGTAGTTTTCGATTAAAATCGCCCGAGCGAGCGGTAGCTAAGTCTCTTGGTAAACTTAAAATGCTTTTATATTTTCCCTATTTATTAGATAATAGGGAAAAAAAGAACAATTTTCCTATCAAAATCCGGGTCTGAATCTACGCGATCCCTAGTATGACTATACGTAATCATGACCATTCGACTACAACAAATATATATTAAAGTAGACAATATAGAATTATTTAACGTAAACATGTAATATCTGAACTTCATTGTAAATCATTGTATTTGCTACATAATGCATACAAGTTTTCTTTATAATTTCTTATTATAATTATGTTGAACATAATTGTATTTAACAACTACAAACTCGAAGCTTTTAATGAGCACTTTCAGGTTGATGTTATATTCAGTTTCAAGTTGGGATTTGGTGTTAAGTTAGAAGATGACCATAAAATCTTTGAATTTATTCATTAACTGACTACTATTCTTTACAAAATGATCTCAATTCCATGGTTTCTTTGTTTGATTCTATTGGATTGCAATTCAATAATGATAAATGAAACTCTATGTTTTTTTCTAGTAGTAGGGTTTACTATCAGCTATACCTATGCCATTAATAACTCGACCCTTGAGTCGGTAAGCATAAAAAAAGATTTAGGTATCATTCTCAGCCAAAGCTGAATTATCACCCCCAAATTGAAGCAATGTGTTGCAAATCTTTAAAGACACTAGGTTTTATGTCACGCTTGACCAAGGGGTTTAAGTTATCTGCATCTCTCAAGTCTATGTACTGTTCCATTGTTAGATTCCTTCTAGAGTATACCTCGGTACTACTACTACGGCTGTGGATTCTTTACTTATTGAACGTGTCCAAAGAAGATTTTTAAACTCAGCAGCGTTTATTCTGAAATTTAACCATCCTCTCTACAATTACTAGCCAGTTATGCACAAACTCGGTCTTGTTTTATTAGCTGATAGGAGTTGAGGCTAACTTGCTCTTTAACATAAATTGATTGATGAATGTATTGACACTCCTTCCCTACTCTCTCGAGTTGATTTTAAAGTACCTTGCTGTCCCACTAGGTCATCTACTACCTTCGCTATTGCAGCTCATAGTACTAACTATGGCAGAAACCAACTAATTAATAGGATGATGTGACTTGGCAATGAGCATCCTCACTTGTTTGATATATATTAATAAAGTTGTTATTATTCTTATTATCTGTACCTTATTGTATTCTAAAGTTGGGTAAGTATAACACCTAATTAGTTAATCTAATGTAAATACAAATTTTTGTGAATTATATTGGGCCCACTACCCATAATAAATAAATAAAAAAAAAAATTTAATGTGCCCTAACTTTCAGTAAAATAAAAATAATTAAGTATTATTAAAAATTGAAAATGTTATTTAACTAATAACAAAAATACTAATTGGAATAGATTATTCTAGTTTATTATCGATGTTTATATTTCTCAAAACTAATTGAGTGGAATTTAAAAATCATTGAATAATCATTATAAATGTAGGTTAAAAGTAATGAATGTCAAAATTTATTGTTATAATAATTTATTATGTTCACACTTCCTCAAAACTGAGTAGAATTTAAAATATTTAAAATTGAGTCATCTCTAAATATGTATCCAGTACCTATCTAAATTAAATTATTCTTAGGTAAGAATAAACTTTTAATACAGATTTAAAATGATTCAACTATACATAACAAATTACCTAAGACATTGATCAGAACACAGTCCAATTTAGAATTCCATGTATTGTTTTTTTCATTTTCTGGTAAACATGTAATGTGTAACCATGTGTACAAGAGTCACACTGAACCATCTTATTGTCGTTATTAGCTTTACATTTATAATTTTCTTTAAAATTACCTTCACCCTGTCCAAAAATCAGGCAATTATTCTTGATACGTTTTGAATTTGTTTAAATCAATTCTTGTAGGTTAGGTTATTCTTTTATTATATATTTTAATTGGTATGCATAATACAACATAAATACACCACAATTGAATCTATAATTCTGATATGGTATCGAGATAAACAAATCATTCCATTAGTTAAAATTGCCTACTTTTTATTTTGGTTGCCATGTTTCTGGTACATTTTTCAAAACAGTGAGTACACTATGTTTCTAATTATTTGTCTTTTCAATATTTTTATGTAAATTTTCAATTGAATTAAAATAACTAAAATTCTTTTTTATAAAATCAACATATAATAAAGTCCAATGATCAAGTTTTATGACCAACCTACATTATTTAAAGTGGCAATTTCCTGCCAAATTATATTTATTGATTTATTTAAATTTTATTGAATATTTAGTACTAAAATGATGTTATTATATTATGAATTATAGAAATCTTGTACATTATAATATTCTAAAAGATCTGATACTGGGGATGGGAGCAGCTATTGTTGTAGGTGAGAAGTTGGAAAGGTAGGATACATAAGGTTGTTTCATTTATAACTGTAAGCAAAGATAAACCATTATTTGACAAAAGAAGATTCCGAGCGCAGTTCGGTAATACATAATTTGAAATGCTGTAATTTTTTTTCATGATTTTAAATTTGGTTTCTAAACACTTATTAAAAAAAAAAGTTGTCCGATAATTTTGGAAATTTGATCACATCTAGGTAAGTCCAATATAAGTAATATGACTAAATTTCAGGTCTCTATGTGTATTTATAACCAAATTACAGCAATAAAACTCAAAAAAGCTCTTTAAAAACTCAAAAGTGGCGACTATACCGTAAGAAATTAAATCAAAATGACAACAAAAAAGGTGTCTTATAATTTTTCAATTAAATCATTTTTTTCTGGTAGAAAACGTTATCCGTGTTTTTATAAAATAATGAAATCCACTATCAGAACAAGTTTATTAGGAAAAAACGTGTCCATAGACTAGAAAAAAGAAAAAAATTAAACATCTTAGTAAAACCAATAGCTCACTCGCTATGCTCAGAATCTACAATCATTTAAAATATATTTACTTTTAGTAAATTTAAAATTTAAAAAAATCTGCAATACAATCCATGGAACATTATCACTAATGCCACACTAATGTATTGTCAATTTAGTAACATCAACATCATTAATTTTAATAATTATTTAGAGAAAACATTTTTGTCCAGGATAATTGTTTACACTGTACTCAGTTAAATACTAAAGAATAATTAATAGAACTAATAAAGAAAGATCCATCATAATAAGTAAAATAAAACAAAATATAATTATTGGTTTTATATTTATAACTAATGCACAATAATAAGTACAATTACTAGAAAAGGATATTTTATAATAAAGTTTATTAATTCTACAAAAAACATTAATTACTATAATGAGTACTATATGAACTAAATGAAAAGTTGTAAAATATGAACCTAGCATATTCAGTTTATTACTATAATTGGATAAACAGATTAAAAAATTAGCATACTGAGTTTACATAAAAATATATCTTACAATTTTTTATTTAAAATTATAGTGTTACGGTTTTTTATACTTGCAAATGGGTTAACTCGTGGGCATCCATTTTCACGTTGAAGAACTTCAACCACACTATAATTTGGAAGCCAAGACTAAAACAATTATAATAAGTGATTAATAGGCAATATTAATTATCTTAAAAAAAATAAGTAAAATTCTTCATGAAAGTGAGAACTTATAAAAGTTACTTTTTTTAAATTTCCCTTATCTACACATAAACATATAATCTACTAATTGAATCGTAAATAACTAGTTATGTTAAACTTACAATATGTTAACTTTATTAGGTATAGTATAATAAATAAAAACTGAAATTTTAACAAATAACTAACTTATTTTCTAACATTCTATTTTTTTGTAAAAAAAAAAACTAGTTCAGTTAAAAGGTATCTAAAAAAGTAACAAAACTTTATAGCAAGTCCAGACAAAACTGTCCAGCTTTGCCAAAAATGTATAAATTAATTAATAAAGTAAAATGTAAAAGATAATTACTTTTTCCTTTAGAGCTACAGCTACAACATTCCTATGAGGCTCAGCATCATAAGCTACTGACTCACAACCAAAATGTTCACAGTACTCATGAACCAATTTTCGTTTTTCGTACTTCATCACTTCAAATGAATGACTTCGTGAATTTTGTTTGGACTAATCAAAAAAAAAAAAAAATAATAAACAATGATATATAATTTTATTTATTTATAGTTAATTTAATTATAATTACACACTTGTTTTGCATTAGTAACAAGTTCAGCAAGTTTTTCGTGCACATAATTACAAAATGGAGGGTCCTTTTTTGCAAATTCTTTCATAAAGTCAGAATATCGTGGAGTAACATTAGGTGATAAATCTGGGTTACGAATTTGTAATGCTAGGGCTATGCGTCTGTTTCTTTCAAGTTTAGCACATTCTGTTGTACATTCCAGACTAAAAATTAATAATAAACATAGATTTAATATTTTCTAATAATTATATTATCAAACCAGATTAACACTGGTTTGATTGATACAATACTATTTCAAATAAATATACAAGGAAGAATTTTTTAAAAGTATAGTTATCTAAACTAATATATAAACTTACATCTTATATGATTTTATGGTCGGCGGTGAGTCAATAATATTATCTAGGAGACTCATTGATTGTGTTTTAAGGTTTAGCCGATATTCAATTACTTTAGTGTCTGAACATAATCTTGCTTCTGTCAAATTCCCACAAATACAACTGACATTTACCTACAAAGAATAATCACACATTACACACACATATATATATATATATATTTTTATTGTGAAGCTAATGAGTTTTACCATTGTTTTACATGCTCTCTGAGGACATGGACCGTCATGACAAGGTTTGGAACATGGATGTCCGCAATCTGGTTTTAGCAATTCACATGGTAAGTTACACGGCCCTGTATTACAAGGCAGTGGATGGCATGGTTTTACACACGTATGGCGTTTACATGGTAGTGGATAGCCACACGGCATTCCACATGATACATTTTTTATGTGACATGGTATAGCAAAACGTAACTAAATATAATACAAATAACAAATTTACTAAAAACACTGTATAGTGTTTAATATGTGTTGCATTGAATTACCTCATGACCACCATAACATAATTTTTCAGTAAGATATATGCAAGGAGGGCATTCTTCTTCATCGTGACAAATATGAGTTGCTGGATGATCACATTCATGTTCACGTGAACAAGGTAATATACATAGTGGACGACGAGTACCACACCTGACTGGAGGAGCAATAGAACTGTTGCCACATCTACAATACAGATCTTCAAAACCTATTAAAATTAATTTAACCCATTAATTTTAAAAGAAAATAGTTTCTATAGAAATATGTTACATTTTTATAATTTATATACATGTTGACCAACATAAGTCATCAGAATAAATTAGTTAACAATAAATGTTAACATATAGCTTTGCATATGCATCACTTCAACAAAAACAGTTTAATTCACACATATCAATTATTATAAATACAATTTTGGAAAATGTATGTAAATTTTGGTTCACAAAGAAAAAAACACTACTTTCCAAATAGAACACTTGGGAGATAATTGTATTAAATTTATTTTTATTAAACCTTAATGTAATAAATTGTGATTTTATTATTATTAATTTTGAAATTTTCACTATTTCTAAAAAAGAATCACTTAAAAGAAAAATGTATTCACTAGAGCTCGGGATTTATTCCGCTTAAAAAAGTCAAAAAAGCACTTCAAAAAAATATTTTAAGAAAATATGGTCTAAGGAATTTAAGACCCTATAAAGGCCCCCCAAAAGTAAATTTATTTAAATAAAATTATACTTACTATAAAAAAAAATAACTTTAGTTAATAATTTATATAGTGTAAGGAAATTTACTAAGTAAAAATCGTTCGAGGAGGAACTTTTAAATCCTTCTACAGTTTTACTGCTTTTGCTTTTTTAATGTTTTTAAGTAGAATAATTCCTGAGCCCTAGTAATAACAATTTAAATAACTGAATCAAAATAATTATATTAATATAAGAGAAAATTATATCTAAAAATTAAGAAAAATATACCATGATAATCAGTAGTTTAAGATTTTATATTTTTATTGAAACAAATTATTTATAAACTATGTACTTATATAGTTGTACTTACTAGCTTCAACGCACACAGCGCAGCTACCTGGATGACAAATACGATCACAACGATGTTGACGGCAATTTAAGAGTCCATTACAAAATCTATTGCACTCATGACTTGGTGCATTACAACACATTACAATGCACCTATGTTTACCACAAGACATTGTCTACGAACCACAAATAAATATTGTTATAATCTACAACTCATAATATTTAATCTCAATATTTTACCTTGTTACATTTCCTTTTACATGTTAATTCATTAGTCACAGAATTACATTTTATTTCCTTTGATTTGTTTCCACATTTACACACATATTTTGTTTTTAATTCACAGCGAGCACACGGACCCTCATGACATTTTTTTTCACATATATGTGGACTTTCTGTTTAAAAAAACTCAATTAATAAACAACAAAATTAGAAATATATTAATAATAGTTAACAAACCAGGTGGACCGCATTCTAAAGGTTTTCCACATATTTCATCACATGTGGGAATTGGTAAAGTACATAATGTGCGGTTGGCAAGTTCATCCTGTGTCAATGTTCTTTTTCCACAAGGACAATATTTAATGTCTAATGCTATACAAGGTTCACATTCACCACTGTGACAGGATTTTTGACATGAATGATTTCCACAAACTAGTTTTTTGTTGCAAAGTTTTTCGCAGTTATAGTATACCACCAAGGCATTTTCTTGTGTACATCGTACCTGCCGTTGTGATTGACCACAATAACAAACTGTAAAATAAATATATTCTTATATTAACTGCTGAATTACAGAGAATCAATAATTATAAAAAGTTATTCAATTTACAATAATTCTAATATGAGTTTTTACTTTTTGATCAATATGTTTTTTTTTTTATAAACTATAGGTTTATTATTTAAAATAATAAAGTAAAAACAAAAATTATTAAAATGGTTAACAGTTAATTATTTTAACTTTAAACTACCTTTTTTAATAAGCATTATTTAAATATTTCAAATAAATTATGATCTACACCAGGATCCATTAATAAGACTTTTTTTTCTCTTCTAATACAGTCCACCAGATCAGGAGTGAGGTACTGTCTTATTAGTATAGCTTGCCCTGGTCTAGTCTACACTTTTAGGCACGTTATTAATAAAATCTATACAAATTTAATAAGCCCTGATATCTTAAAATATTATATTTATACTAATGTGTTTTAATCTAGAATATAAATCAATACACTGGGAATCTTCTACCAATTTTCTTAAATAAATCTTTGAGTTTATCGAAAATCAATTTCTTTTCTTTATATAAAATAAAATGTGTTAAGTATTTCATGTGAACCTTACTCACAATGTAAATTGAACTGAAATTATTGAATTTGAGCAGTCTAGCTGCCAGGAAACATACTAATGATTTGAAGTTATTAAATAAAATGGTTAATGATTTTATTAACTGCCTAAAGTTAATAAGTCATATACATTTTTATGTCCTTAATTTTAAACTAGACCTACAGAAACTTTTTGTATCTCATTTCTAAAAACAAATTATACTCTATAGCGTGTTCATTTGATTAAATAATGATTTCTAAACTGATTAATTTAATTTTCATTATATTGAGTCTCATAATTATCAAATATCACTACACTAATAACATTATCTACATTATACCAATTTTTAAGAGTGAAAAAACTGAATAAATATTAATATTATTACTAAAATCCAATTTGGAGGGAACATTTTTGTTTAAAATATCACACGTAATAATATAAAATGTTGATGACTTACATTTATTTTTCCCTTTATCCTATACAGTATATAGCAGTGGTTCTCAATCTTTTTAGAACCATAACCCAAATTTTTCTATGAAAATCTATCGTGATCCACATGGTTTTACTTTTCATAGTGGTTTATAAAAACAGCTAGGAAAATCAAAAAAATACCAACCTAATCAGATTTCCTTTCAGAAAAAGTGCTATGCTTTAAAATCGGAGCAAAATTGCTGGTAGAAACAGATAAAACAAATAATAATAATAAAAAAAACATTATTGTAAAACCAATACATTTTTTGGGGTCTATATAATTCAAAACAATTTTCACGACCCATTAAAAATTGACTAGGGAGTCATTAGTGGATCACGACCCACAGTTCGAGAAACACTGGTATATATAGCATTGGCTAAATATTTGTTTCATATTTCGTATGTTCAGAATAAATTAATTTTATTTTGCATTTTTAGCTAGAAACAAATTATTTCAAATTATCAGAGATTAATTATTAGATATAAATTATTAAAGATATTTATGACACAGGTAAGGTGCCTAAGGAAAAGCTTAATTATACCCATCCAAAAGAAAGAAAGAAAGAAAAAATATGAAGAATTCTATACCAATACCTAGCCTTATGTCTTAAAAATATTAACTAAGATAATATTCCAACATATTGATACCAAGATATAACAGTCACTGTTAAAAGATCAAATTGGGTTAAGAAGAACGTGGGATTGAGGAAAGTTATATTGGTATTAAGAAAAGGATTTGGAAAGATTTGCAAACATTAATGGTTTTTATTGATGTCAAAAAAGCATTATATAATGTTTACTTAACTGTAATGTTTAACATAATGAGTAGAGTGGGGATAAATCATGCAGATAGGAAACTTATGTACAACTTACATAAGTATGAATCAGCTATCATAAGAATACAAGATAATATAGAGAAAGCGAACATAAACAGAGGAGTCAGATAAGAATGCACACTATCCCCAATTATATTCAATGCATAAATCCATGAAGCAATAAATTAAGGAAGAGACTAATTTAGGCATAAGGATTACAGCCAAAAAATAAGTATGTTTTGCTTCGTCGATGACATAGTAACAATTACCTACTTGTATGTAGAAGATGAAATAAAGATATGAGGAAATCAAAGAATAAATTAGGCAGGTAGATGAATTTGTGTATCTAGGAAATACCATAAGTAATGATGAATAAGAGTGAAATAGTAAAATGTATTTGCCTAACGAAAATAGCCTTTAATAGTAAGAAAACGCTGCAAAAAAAATATTAGCCTTAAAAATTAGAATAAATCTATGGTAAATATACATATGAAGTATTTTACGGGTGTGACACCTGGACAATATCAGTGGAAGCATTAGAATGTGAAGTTATAGGAGGATGTAGAAAATTGGCTGGATGGACAGAAGATACTATGAAAAAGTATAGTACAAGAACGGAATCAATGGTTAGAGCATATAATTCGGTTTGAAGAATTACTGTTTGAAAGGAAAAAATCAGAGGAAGGCCAAGACTAGAGTGAGTACACCCAACAATTAATAATGGGCTAAAAATGCGATTCATATGTGCAAATTAAAAAAAAACGGATTGTAGAGAAGAGTGAAACGTGGTTGCGAACCAATCTTCGGGTTGAAACCATAAAGAAAGAGAGAGAGAGAGAAAGAGAGAATTATAAATATATTTGAGATTCAAAGCATAACAAGAGATCTAATAGTTTTACTATGATATGAGTTACTTATTTTCTATCTGTAAACAACTTATCGAACATTTTCCTTTATTTTAAGTCTTTATAACTTATGCTACCAGTATTGTTGTTCAATAGAGAAACAATAAAAGACCTTTTTTGTTCAATTTTTAATCTAGTTGGTGTGTAAAAAAGTAATTAATGATTCTGAACATAGCGAGGGAGCTATTGGTTTTACTAAGATGTTTATTTCTTTGTTCTAGTCTGTGGGCACGTTTTTACTAGTAAACTTGCTCCAATTTTTATGTGTAGCAACTCTTATGAATGCTCAAGTTGTCTAAATGATACTTTAGAGACGTCATTTTTTGATTTTCGACTCCGTTTTTTTAAATAGTAGCATCTGAGTGGGAAAAAATGTACAATTCACGATTTCATTATTTTATAAAAACATGGTTTTTTACCAGAAAAAATTATTTAATCGAAAAATCACAAGGTACATTTTTTGTTGCTTTTTTGATTTACTTTCGTACGGTATCATTGCCAAAACTTTTGAGTTTTAAGGAATTTTAATTTCTAGGAGTTCTTTTACTATAATTCAGTTAAAAATACACGTAAACTTGAAACTTAGTAATGGCAACCAACGGTAAAGAAATATTACGTTATATAAAATATTATGCATATATAACTTTTATTTATTGTAAAAATATCTAGAAAGGATATCACAAATTATCATTACTATTACTATTATTACTGAATAAATTATTTTTGATGAAATTAAAATTTATTTTATTTTATGATACAGGATATTATGTTGTTGAATGCAAAACTTGATTTAAACAAATATAGTAGAGGAAGACATTTCGGAGGGGGTTAGGTTGATTCCCCTCTGTGCACCACTGGTCTCAGTCTAATAAACGCACATTTGGAAATTAATTGTTTATTATTATTGTTATAATATAGACTGTGATTGTAGCTGTAGCGTTCTATGAAGAATTGTCTCTGTAACCATATTCTGTAGTGAGTTTAGAAAATAACTAATTTGGACATTATTTTGTATTTTAGATGTTGGAAATTAATTTAACTAGTCGAGCATAGCCCATTGAACATGTTAGTGGCTTAAGCGAGAAATGTTATTCACTGGATTCTATTCCAACTTGAAAAAGAAAACTGTTTATTATCATCAATACATATCCATAAATAAATTTGTTTAAAACTACATTATAAGTACAAGAATTGTTTTTCTATTAAATGTATTATTTTTTCAATATTCATTAAGTACTATATTTATTTCAACTAAATACATCAATTTTGGTATGTAATGTATAATGAATTTTAACATTCAATTATTTTGGTATAAAAATGAAAAAATATAACAACCAGTTATTAAATACAACTATTAGATTCCGAGAGTAGCGACGGAGCTATTGGTTTTACAATGCTGTTTATTTCTTCTTTGTCCTAGCTGTGGACACGTTTTCCTATTAACTTGCTCCGATTTTTAAGTGTATCAACTTATCTCACTTAAATGCTTTTATTTAAAAATGGCGTCAAAAATCAAAAAATTACCTCTCTAAGTTCAATCTAGACAACTTGAGCTTTCAAAAAAGGTGTTACACATAAAAAGCGAAGAAAGTTTACTAGGAAAAAATGTGTCTACAGACTAGAACAAAAAAAAAAAAAAATAAACAGCATTGTAAAACCAATAGCTCGCTTGCTACGCTCGGAATCTTAAATACAAAATGTATATATAAAAATAAAAAAATAAATGAATAAATGCATTTCCTGGAGTATTAAAATAAGTGTATTATACTGCCGGTTTCGAATTAAAAATTTATCATAAAGTATATCAGTCAAAAAAAAAAAAAACGTGTAAAATCAGTTTTGATAGAAGCTGAGCGATATAATCTATAATTTAATTTTCTAAATATACAAATTATATCTGGTTGAAGACAACCCTAGAATCTCTTAACAATGAGTCACTCAGACCAAAAAAAATGTTCTAGATCATTGAAACTAATGAACAACATATGAATATAGAATGATTCGTATGTTGGAGGTTTTATCACTAATTGCGTTACGATGTTATCATATATTTCAATTGGTCAACGGTGGCTTGAGGGCTGAACCGTGAGACAAAAAAGTGAGCATAATTCTGATTGGATGCAGCAATTAAATTAGTAGAGGCATTTTAATCTGATCCAACATTAAACTCAAGAGTTTAAGGTCCTCGTTCAATTCATTACAGAAACCACCAATGCCAAATACAAAGGTTTATCAGCTTGACAGCAAAATTTCCAAAGAAGAACAATAGTCGCAACTGGTAATAATATTTTTAAGTTTCATATAAATCAACAGATTACTTTTAGAAATAATTCTAAGCACAGAGACAACAGAATGAAATACATTCATGGCATTGTTTGAACTATGAAAGAGTCAATGGAATTATTAAGCAACATCATTAAATTATCACTCGCTTTTACTCCTAAAAAAATGGTTTCTTTGGAATGAAAGCAATGAACACAGACTTAGTGCACTTTTCAAGCTCAATTGCAAATATTTTAGAATTTCTACTCCCCATAATTAACAAGTAGTAGTAAATAAATTGACTTATTAGTTACCCTTTGAACAAATTAGATAAGCAAAACAAACTAATTTAAACAGCAACTGGATTATGCGACTGTAAACAGGAAAGAAACCACGGGACTGATAAAGATATAGGTTTTTATATTAGACTTTTAATAATTAGAGGACAGCAATTGAATGAATGTGACTGTAAATGGTAAGTAAACACCAGACTGATATCCTCATTAATAGCAAGACGGTAATGTCTACAGTTTTCTACAATTTCTTTCAATCAAAAAAAAAAAAAAAAAAAAAGTCTTAAATCTTCAGTTACATATTTAATTTAATTTTTATAAGAATCTATTAAGATTTTAGCATTTAATATGATTAAGGTCTGTATGGATTTTTTTTTTAAATTAGCTTTTCATTATGAATAAAAAAACTATACCTAAAATATAAAATAATAAAACATCAAAAACCATTATATTTTCTATTTATCATTTGTTTTATTCATTATAATTTAATTTAACTATTTATTTAATGCATAAATATTGTCTAGTAATATGATACGTTTTACTCAAACAATAATATTATTTTTCCATTGTTTACCAAAATATATATTGTACAGCATAATTATTTACTTAGTTAGCATTCATAATTTTTGCAATTCTAACTAATCAAAATAATAACTAAACTTAATGCACATCAGAGTAAAATATACATTATCAAACTTATTGTATTAACTGTTTAATGAAGTTTAAATAATATATTTTTTTAATTAGCTTAACACAGATATTTTACTAGAGTTATAATAATAGACATATATGTATTTATAATAAAAATAAGTATAATGAATATTGGCACTCTTTATACAATAAAATATTGTTTTTTATATCTATTATAAAAAAAAGTTGATTATATAATATTTTATTAACATTATATTTTAAAATAATTGGTAAACATTTTATTTTATTTGAAGTATTACTCAGAAGAATCACTGGTATCTAAGTCAACATTGGAATTATCCATACCATTGCTATTATGGGAACTACTAGTAGAATCTTCAGAATAAATATGACTTTGATGCGATTCATCACTTTGATTAAGTTCCAAATTCGTGCCCCAAGAATTATTGCTTGCTTCACTTTCCATTGGTGAGTCAATACCATTTACATTATCATTATCATCACTACTAATATCAATAGACAAATTAGGAGAACTAGGAATAGAACTAGAATTACTAATAGGACTAGATGAACTCGAAGTACTAGGAACACTATTATCACCATCATCTGCATCACTAACATCACTTTCATTGTCCATTAAAAATAATCCATTTCTTGAAATCGAAATTTGTGATCCACTCCCATCTCCTGATCCATTAGGTTCATCTGTATTTGAATTATTTGAATCAGAATTGTTTTCATTTGCTAAATTAGATCGAATTCCATTTACAGAAAACATTGTTGCAAAAGGGAATCTCGCAGTGGGCTGACCCCTCATATGAGATTCTCTCCAAAAGAACTCATCCATTTCTTCATTGATACCCTCAATTAAATTATCATCAATGTCATCTTCATCTTCATCATAATCATCATCAACATCATCATCATCATCATCATCATCATCATCATCATCATCGTCGTCATCGTCATCGTCATCGTCATCATTGTAATTATTTGCAGCTATTAACATTTCTTCACCTAAATCGAAATTTTCCTCATCTGTCCTATTGAGTAATTCTTCTGGGTTTAAGCCCAACATTCGTAATTCTTCCTCAGAAACAAGAGCTGAAGTTCTTAGAGATCGAAATGGTGGTGTTCTATTATTTAAAGGGCTTCTTCTAGCCAATTCCTCTATTAACTCTGATTGACTCATCCTAACTTCATCATCAGAATTATCTAAAACAACAATGTTAAATAATTATATATTAAATAAATGGTAATGTATTTAGGCGTTCTTTACGTATTCTTCATGTTTTTAAGTAATTACAAGACCTTAAATTTTAAGGCGTTTTTTACAATTTTTTTAAAAGTTAAAACTTTTGTTAAATAAAAAGTATTTATCCATAAATACACATGTTAAGTGCAAATTATCATGCACAATGTAAAAAAAAAAACAAACCAGTTTCAAGATTAATACTTAAGCTATAAATGAAGTTGATATTTTTTTTAAAAAACAGTTTTCAATGGTCAAGAAAATTACCGGTTTTATTTTTGTTACTAAAATGTAGAAATATATATTTCAAACGTAATGTTGATATAATACTAATAATAAAAAGAAGAAAATGCTAGTTGTATCCTTTTCTAATCCATACGCGTAAAAAAACAAATTTGATTCTAAAAAAAGACGAACATACTTCGCATAATGGGTAGGCCACTACTGTAGGAGAGACATTGAGAAGGTAGAAGAGAATTTAATGTATTTTTGTATGAATGATTCTAAGTGAAGTTTGGTTATTATACATGTTTTAAAAGGCCATAATATTTAAAATTTTCATCAAAACTTAATGTTACAACTCTTATATATATATATATATAAAAAAAAAATATATATATAACATTTAACTTATTGTTGGCCATTGAGTACAATTTATAATGAACTTCCTGTTTAAATTTGAAGCATTTCTATTAGGTCTAACAATTTTATCTACAGAGTACAGACTGAATAAATATTACATAAAAAACCAGTTATTAGAATGTCTATAAATAGCACAAAAATGGCTTAATAATGTTTTGAAAATTTGACTATGTCTCTAGAAAAGGCAAAAAATGTAAGTTTTCTGTCTATATTTCAAGTCTCTTTAAATATTTTTAACTGAATCAGAATAAAAGAACAAAATTTAAATAATAACCTGAAAATCGGGGCAAGATTTCTGGTAGAATTTTGTACATAGTATACAAAAAAAATAAACATTATTATATAACGAATACATTCATTGCTCAGAGTCTAAAATATGATCTGTATTCCAGATGAAACTTTGTGTAGAACCATAATGACTCAAATTGAACTAATAAATTAACTAAAAAATAATTTGTACTGTTATCATTTCACCTTATTTATGAATTTTCATTTACTTTTGTTAAATTGCCATTTGGGTGTTAAAAATATAAAATAGTTCAAACTTAACATATAACTTATGCTGGGTCGCATAATTGTTCTGTAAATTTTAATTAAACGATCCATTCAATTAAGGCTCTGTAAATTTTAAAAACTCGTTATATTATGATTCATTATTAATAATGATAGTGAAGATTAATTTAATTAATTTTCAATTCTTTTAGCATATTGTAACATAATATTAACATTTTTAATCACAGATCAAACAAATGATAAAAAAAAAAAAAAATGACGAAATTGAAAATATCCCTCTAAGCAAATAGATTCCAATATTAATAGTTATATTCATAACTCTGTCTCTGATAACAACTTTGATTTGATATGAACATGACAACAGCAGCTGCTGTACAAAATATACGCATTTTAAATATATATTATTATAAACATATTATGTTTATGCTCTTTGAAAAATTTGTAAAATGATTGTGTAACTAATTAGTAATTTTAATTATTAAATTATTATTATTTAATAATTACGGAATGATTATCATGCAGCCCGGCATTAGTATGAAAATCATCAATTCTAAGAATAAAACTTGATTTGAAATAAAAATATTATTATTAATTATATCTTTAATAAAATTTAATAATTACAATTGATTTTCTTAGTTACTATGTAAAAAACGCCTAAAATATCAATTTACAATGTACATTTATTTCTACCATTACTTACCATTAACATGGTAACACATGTTGACACTCAGCAAATTAGATGTTCAAAAACCAAATTTAATACGTAAAGAACAACACCTTTCATTGGTATAATTTTTGATTTAAGAATAATATTGAAAATAAAAATAATATACTGAATGAACAGTTAATATAATTAACTAAATTCAAAACATATTTAAAATTGTTATAAATAAAATTAAAGAATTTTTAATTCCTTTAAAATGCACTAAAAAACAAAACAATATCATAATTTCTTCTCAAACTTATTTCATTTAATGATATTTACATAAATGATGAGTTTTCTTTCAATTAACTATAGAATATTTTAATTTAGCAAAACTTAATAAATATCATCGTTTTATAATACATTATTTATATTTTTTGAAGTTGATTTAATTGCCTTATATCAATTCACTGATTAAAAATTGAAAATATTGCAACAGTATAAAAGCCTAAAGAAAATTATCTGCACAAAATGTATTTAATATTAGTAATTTTGTATAAATTAGAATTTACAAATGTAAGACATTTAAATAAATGGTTCTTTTCTGAATGAAAAATAAAAAACATTCATTAGGTTATTAAATTTCAGATTTGATTATTAACTGAATTACAAAAAAAAAAAACCTAACAGAAACCAATATTACATAATTTTTTTTTCTCATCTCAAAGACATAACTATCAGAAACACTCCCTAAAGTTGATGATTGGAAAAAAAAACACATTATAATAAAATCAAAATATTGCTCAATAGCCACAGAATCTAAAAATTATAAAATAATATGAGATTCATTTAGAGGTACTATTTTTATGTTGGGATTTTATAAAAGAAAACACATAAATTGTGCAAATCATTATAGTATTTTTGTTCAATACTTTGTTCAGACATTTCATTATGGAAAAACAGCTCGGCAGAGGCTACAAATTGTTTAGCTATATTATTAAAATCAGCATTCTTCAAGGAATGTGTCTTGTGTTATCGACTGCACGCACAATTCACTTTACCATCAAAAAATGTAAAACTCACATTATTGAACAATAAGGGACATAACTAAATTATGTAGAGAAATAAATACACAGTAGCAATAGTGTTCTCAATAGTATAGCTTGGCTTAACTAAAGAAGATCCACCGTTGTTGTCAAAAAAGTTGTTCAATGTTGAGGCCCATTTTTGACTTAATGACTACGTTAATAAGCAAAATCACCATATTTGGGCCAAAGAGCAACCAACCTGAAGAAGGTTTAAGAGCTACCACTACATTTCAAGACAAAACTACAATTTTGAGTGATTTATAGATGATCATCAGTCCATATTTATTAAAAAATGAGGCCAGTCTGAACATATGTGTAAATGGTGTTCATTACTGTGTCATGATAAGTGACTATTAGCTACCTGATATTGTGCTCTCAAAGAGATTTGGTTCCCACAAGACCACAAGCTTATGGCTATGGCACTACTTGTCTCACAGCCTGTGAAACCATGTTTTTATTATGAGAACAAATTAGTAAACAATTAATTTCGCGCTTTGGTCTATTGAATTGGCCGCCTAGATCATGTGATATCATGCCTCTAAACCTTTTCCTTTGGAACAGCAAATTTCTTCATGTCTATATGAATAAGCAAACTACGATAGATAAATTGAAAACAAATTGGAATACCACTCAAAATGCTAAAATGCATTATCAAAAATTGGAACTTCAGAATGAACCATATTAGCCGCAGTTACGGCCAACATTATCAATTATCTTTAAAAAATAAAGAATAGGACTTTTGTATGACAGTAAAAATTGTCAGATTAAATTTAATTACTTGATTTTTTTTTTTAATTTTTGTAAAAAGTATCTCTAAATGAATCAATGAATATATTGAACATGGCTTGTTACATTAATAAGTTAAAAATCAATGTCTTAAAAACGTATTGATTTTTAAATTATAGGTAATAAATAAATATATAAATATTAAACAATCAGTTCAAACCATTACCAATTAGAACTACTGTAGAGGAAACTCCATTCAAATATTTATAATTTTATATTTAATAATGAATTGATATAGATTTTTAATTTAATAGCATATTTTATAAAGATTAAATTTTAATAGTATTGTTAAGTTTTTTTTAAAAAAAAACTAGTACATTATTTTTTACTAATTAAAATTTGTCATAATATATTCTTCATTATCAAAGATACATACCTTGTTGACAGTGTTTATCGCATGGCCCACATTCATCACTATGACATTGTTTTTGGCACACATGATTGTTGCATTTTAATGTTTTAAAGCATTTATTTTTGCACAGAATTGGAGATGACTGTCCACATTGAGCATAAGATTGAGTTTTTCCACACCCACATTTTCTAAAAACATATAATTTGTATTAAAATTAAAATATAAAATATAATAAAATAACAACCTCAGAACTTGTACAACACATCTAGGACAGGGGCCAGGATGACATAACAATGTACACTTATGATGACAATCATCGTATTCTTCATAAGCATTTTTTTTTTGCAGTCCACATACTTGACCACAGGAATGTGGAGTATCCACATTGTTAGCAAAAGGATTTGGTAAAGAACCACAAAAACATAAATAATTTGGTTTTCCAAATACTTCATTTTGACATGCTGGACACCTCCAGGAAGCATCTAAAACAAAAAAGAATAAAGTAATTTAACTATACTTTAATAAGACTATAAAATTAAAAATATATTTATATCATTTGAATATATTGGTTAAATAAAGATAATATAAAAAACTAAAATTTGTATAAATAATTAGCTAATAGGTAAATTATAATTATATTAGTGCTGAGCCAAAATGACTCATTTAATATATTTTGTTATTGATATTTAAAAAAAAATATATAGATATTAAAAAAGGAAGTAAATATTAAAATTAATTAGTAAACAGAAAATCATTATTAAGACGCTTATTTAAGACACTAAATACATGGATTTTTTCCAGTCCCTAGTTCTTGTTAGTAATGTGACTTAAATCCGGATTTCAAATTTTGAAGTATAAAAATCCAGATTTTAGAATTCATGTTCTGAAAATTCTAATTTTAGAATTCAAAAATTGAGTTTTTTTTTTTTGAAATCTATTATACATATTTTAATATTTGATCCATCCTTAAGATCATAATCTAAAATATGTATTAAATGATTTTATAGAAAGAAAAAATGGCAATATATTTGCCACGGAAACTTTTCACCCATATTTTATCTTTTATTTGATAATTTTACTTAGTGTGATTATAACACATTACAATAAAATTATCAGATAATTCATATTATTTATTTATTTATTTAATTATTTAATACTCGAAAGGGGGAAGATTACTATAATTAAAGTTTAAATATTAATAACATAATATAACCATACACATTTTCATGAAGATAACATAAGCATTTTTAATTTTTTAAATTTATCCATTATTGAAATTGAAATTCTCCAAGTTATTATAATAAGGGTCTCTTATGTCCCGTATATTATACGGAATTGCCTTGTAAAATTGACACCGACAAGTGTCCTGATGTCCTGACCAAATATTCTAAATAACAATTTCTTTCCATATTTCTAATTCCCCATTCCATACGTCTTTTAATTCACCTTATTTCTTAAATTATATAATTCAAATTTGTTTTATCAATAATATCTATAGTTATGTCAAATAGTTGACAAATAATTGCAAAATATATTTTGATGAAATAAATTAAGATTGATTGTTATAATTACTAAGGAGATTAGAGCTTTACTTTTTTCAACTTGCAGTTAGCATGCCTAGGCCCCAACAGTAGACGCATGATATCATGAGATTGGGTAGTATGTATCACTGTAGAAGTGTAAACAAATTAAATTTATGAACAATGAACATTAAAATATTAATATGTCAGTTTTGATTTTAACATAATTTTTCGCACAAAAATTACCATAAAGGAAAACTTTCGATTTTGATCAGATAACTAATTTTGTGGGCTATGTTCTAACCATCCCACCTCTCCTCCCACCACATGGTTTGTTGGGATATAGGTAATTTTTAAGTAATTTAAAATGTTCTGTATTTATAATGAATAAATCCGGTATTCTTACATTACACGACTTGGACAAGCAAAATATTGAGTTGTTAATGTAATTCTTATTAGTTGAAGGAATATGAAACCAAATTTGAGGAAAAAAGGTAGGCCAGTTTATGTTACCATTTAGTAGTTTGTAATACAAAAGCTACATCAAAATGCTTGTTGTTTAGCTAAATTAACTAATCTAATATCAGGTAATCCAATTAAGTGGGTACACTCATGATCTTGAAAAGTAGTAACTGTTTTCAGAATTTGTTTTCTAAAATATTTAAGAAATAAGCAGCTCTACAATTTTATATTTATGTTATTTTTTGTCACCCTTATTTTTTGAGGTAAAACTACTACCTAATTTTGATTTGCAAATGGCAACCTATATTAAAAATACCATTAATAGATGGAGCATTAGTTAAATAAATGTAAGTGTTAAAATTTTGATTTTTGTCAGGCTGTTGATGAGATATTCCACTTTTAATTTTAGGTTGGAGAGTAGTGGTGCATTGTTAAGATGCTGCGCGCTGTACTGTCACACCAATGATGAAAATGTTGGAATTTGAAATTTGGAATGTTGCTATAATTATTAATTATTGATTGATAATGTAGTAGTTTTTAACATCATGAAATTGTTTATATTAGTCATTTGTGTGAGCATTGAATGTGGAGAAGGTGATATACATCACGGAAATTTGTATGGTTTCATATAGTTTATACAAGTACAGCTACTAAAGAGGAAAGGTTTATCAATTGATAATAAACAAACAGTATTTGATAGTATGATGTACGTATAAATTGGTATATTGAATATAAACTATTAACACTCCATGTAATAGAAAATATTTTAAAAAAGTGGTTTCAATAGACTAGCACATTAAATTTGGTTGTAAATGAAAGACTGTTTTAACAGAAAAAGCTAATTGATAGCATAATAAATTTGAACATTATGACTCTGATGGTAGTCTTAATCGATTTAGAAAAAGGCACATATTTGTCTACCTTACAATTTGTGATAAAGTTGAAGGTGTAGAAAATAACAGTATTGCATTGTGGAAAGATACAATTTTACCATATCTATTGAAAAACTAGTCATCTGAGGGCACGTACAAAGTCAATAAGTTTGGCTTATTTCTAAAAATTAATGCAAGACAAGTAGCTAATGTTGAAAGACGAAAAATTTCATGTCAATTATAATAAATAAGAACCTTAAACTGGTTTAGTTTTCTCAAATTGAACTGGAATGGACAATTTGAAACTGTTGATAATAGATAAATCGAAATCCCTTCAATGTTTTAAAATTATGAGCACTTTCCTATGTAAAAACCTTTAAGGGAATACCAGACAGGATACCCAAGAATAAAGAAGTTTCAAGATTGTATTAAGTGAGATACAGTTTATTATGCTTATTTTATAGTACCACGTATTTTATTTCAACAGAATTATTGTGGAATACCGTACCATGGATGAACAAATGAAAATTAATTTCTAAAATATGATTGATTAAATACCACCTGCCTGCCAACGATTCTCAATACTCCCAAACATAAAACCCTTAAAAATAGAAAAAAACTACCAGTAGACACAGATATTCACTGATCCTATTATAGAGGGAAGCAATATGTACTAGCAGATTTATTCTCTCAGAGAATGGTACAGTTACACATTTAATAATATTTAAAGTATATTTCATAATTTTTATTTTAGACATCACTGATTAATCAGTTTTATTACTTTACTTTAAGTTGTAATTTAAATTATTTAAGTGAAAAATAAACTACTTACGGCGGTGAGATTTGATGAACCACACCATCACACATTTTAAATGCATAATTTGAAAACAATTACGACAGTTCCAAATCGGTTCAACATTTTTAGTTAGCTCATAACATATTACACAGTCGACTTTAGAGGTATTTAAAAGGTTAATAAGTAAATCTCGTTGCCCTTTATTTGCGTTGGCATTTGGTAAAGAACAAATGCTTTTAGTAGCTTCAGAGTTATTATCATTCCTAAAACAAATAACATAATATATTAATGATGAAAAAAATTTTTAGTTAAAATTGTATGTAAATTATAACTGACCCACTACTATTAGGCTCACTGGAACATCCATCCAATGCCATTGGTTGAATTGCTGAATTGTCCCTTTGATTTGCAATATTATCATTATTGACTACAAAAATTTATAAAATTAAATTAATTGAAATGTTTAAATCAAACAATAGATAATACATTAGTAACTATGAGAACATTTAAATAATAGGTAACACGTTTCTAATTTATACTGTTTTATAGATACATTTTAGAGGAACTATGAAAATAATCAAAAGTTCTCATTTGAAATATTTATTTTTAGTTGAAATTTTAAGTCAATAGATAGGATTAGATTTATGTGATTTCAGCACCATATTGTACCAAGAGATTTTGGTAGTAAAATGTTATTAGTTAAACCTCAACAAATATTCTAATTAATTCAAAAATTGAATAAAGAATTTTAAGACTATATTATATCTAGATATATTTTAATTTTAATTATGAATGAAACTGGTAAAACAATTTTATAGACATTTATAGATTACTTAAAATAATAATTGAAAACAAATAGAACCTACCTTACTTTACAGTAGCTTTATTTTATTTATTTAATACAGGGTGATTTACTAAGCGTGCACACCACATTTTATTGGTTAAATATTGCATATATTTATATTATACATTTTTAAGTATAGTTAATTAAAGCCAATATTTTTGAATACTTAGATTTTTCACAACATTTAAGGAATTTCCTGTGGTGATATACCCACTTTGGTTTTTCAAATGAGAACCTATATACAAAAATCCATAAATAGACAGAGTATTAATTAAGATAAATTTTAGTATCAAAATTGTTCATATCCATCTACCCATTAATGAGATATTCCACTTTTAAATTTAGGTAGGGGGAGTAATGGAGCACTAATAAAATGCCATGTGCCGTGCTGACACACAAATAATAATCCACTACTCTCCTAACAGCTAAACTTAAAATTGGAATATCTCGTTAACAGGTAAACAAAAATAAATAATGTTGACACCAAAAAAAAATCTTAAATAATACTTTGTCTGTTTATGAATTTTTTAATATAGTTTCTCATTTAAAAACTTTAGTTGGTATTACCACAGGATATTCTTTAAATGATGTGAAAAATATAAGTATTCGAAAATATCGGCTTTAACTACAGTTAAAAATTCCAAAAATCATAATTTGAATATGTGAAAAATTGAACCAAAAGAATGGAGCACGCTTAAATCACCATGAATATTAAGATTTCCTAAATATTACAAAATTGAAAGGAAAAACAATGACAGAAATGCATTAAAATGGTAATTGTAATCATTTAGAATTTGTCAAAGGTACCAGTTAATAAGCCAAGATACAGAACACGTTTTATTATTGAAAATATTGTTTTGAAATTTTAATGTCAAAAATCTATTTTTTAAATAGGTATTAAAATAATCTACTTTAGGATTAGTATAGAAAATTTTACCTACATTTTTATCTAAATAAATACAAAAAACAAATGGACATACTTTGCACGATGGATGGGCCACTGTTGTAGGTGAGAAATTAAAGAGGTAGAGGGGACATTTAATGTATATTTCAATGTAAAGATTAATCATTGCCCAAAAACAAACGATTATGAGCGGAATTTGGTTATACATGTTTTAAAAGGTCGTAATACTTATGATTTAAAAATAATACATTTCATAAATTTTGCCGTTTTTCCCATTATAAAAAATTTTGGGAGAATCAAAAATTGACTTTCCTATAGTGTCATCCCGTCAAATTTTCTTTCAAAAAATGTGTTAGATACACTTGAAAAGCGGAGTAAAATTATTGTTAAAAAAGTTGTTCAGAGAAAAAAATAATAATAAATAAACACCACTGTAAAACAAATACAATCCTCGCTCTGCTCAGAATCTAAAATAGGTTATTTTAGTTAACCATATGAGAAAGAAGAATTCTTAAAAACATTGTTTTGAAAATATGATTTACATATCTTCAGCTATTTGTTCTATCACATGTATAATAGTTATAAACTAAGTAATATTGTAATGTTATTATTAAGTGTACCTATATTATGTTGACTTAGTGGAATGAACTCTGGAGCATTTGCTGATAAATTGGAATCAGTAGGCAATCTCAATGCAGTAGCAATAGCATTTCGATGGTTATTCCTTTTTCGACTACTTGTTCGAGGCATAATTTATTCAATGACTAAAAATGTCCAATCTAAAAAATAGATAAATCATTATAAAAAAACTATTACATATTGAATAGATAGTAAAAAAATATAAAACCAAGGAGTGCAGATACCGAGTACCAAATGCATTCAATTTTTTTTTAAACTGATAATTCACTATTATAAAACAACTTAATACCTACCCCAAATAACCTACCATTGTTTTTCAACTATTCCAATAAGTATTAACAGTTTTTTTTTTATTATTTTGAATCAAAATTTGAGTAATTTTTTTTTATAAAGTACTTGTTTCGTTTTTTTAAGATTCTGTACAGATACCAGTAATATTTGATTCATATTTTTGTCTCTAATTACACTAATACTGTTTTATTTGTTATTGGCCTTGTTATTGAAATTGGAGTTTTAACTCCTACCACTGTTTTGTTTCAATACTATCATTTGATTAGCAAACAGTACACAATTCAGTAGCATTATCCATTAAATTATATTATAATATTTTTATACAAAATGATAAGATAAAATTGATAGCCTGATCAAATCAAAACATATTTAAGATGTTTGGTATAATAAACTCTCAATTCAAAAAGTTAATTTTTTCAAGTACTACTAAATTGAATTACCTGATATCTAAATTTAAACTCTAAGCTATGTATCGTGATTTCCTAAAACTTTAAGTTTCAGCTATTGTAGACAATTTATTTAAGATGGATTCATCCAATGTATCTTCTACCAACTCCTTGGGATCAGAAATGTGAGACAGACTGTATGATCAAAAAAATGTATTATTATTAATATTCTATTTTACTAAATTCACTTTAATTTCCAATGAATCAATTGAAAATTTATCCTAAGATAATGATGTGCTTAAGTTTCTGGGCATACAAGTTAAACCAACTTATATTACTTGTTTGAGTTTTCGATCACTTACCTATAAAAGACATTTCTTAACATATTTTTATTAAGATATGTTAACAAATCAATAAAATAAAATTTTTAAAAATAAAATCTGTTAAATATAAAAATGTCATCTCAAAATTATTTAAAGTAACATCAGGGGTTCTAAAAGGGGACCACTTATCTCCAATACTATTCCTCCAGTTCATAAATGACATTAAGTTGATAATAAAACATTCAAAAATTATACACTTGAGACGCTTAAATAATTTTAAAAAAGAATAGACATACTTTGCATATGGTTGCAGCCACTGTTGTTGGTGGGAGGGAAATTGAGAAGGTAGGCTACAGACGAGAATTTAATATATAACTGTAAGCAACAATAAACCATTGCTAACAAAAAAAGATTCTGAGCAGAGTTCAGTTGATAATATTGCTTTTTCAACAATACAATATATGGTATTATGTCATATTATGGTAAAATGATTAAAATAATGTGTGTATTCATAACAACGATTGTTCAAAAAAGATTAAAATAATAAAAACTTAATAACAACAAAAAATAAATAAAATAGTTACCAATGACAACCTTACCTTATTTTTAATCTTTCAATCTTTTTAAACTTAAAGACTAAAGTTTTCCTCATTATCTCAAATATTAATAAGAAATTTAGAAAAATGATCTCTTTAAAGTAACAGAGAGTACATTTCCTTCCAAAAAAGGTGCTATACTTGATAATCGGTACACTTTCTTCCAGAAAGTGTTCACATAAAAAAAATATAATAATGAACATCATTGTAAAAACCAATACATTCCTCGTTCCACACAGAACCAAAATTAATAATGTAAATGATGTATATGTCTTAAAATCAGATATTAATAATTTCTTTGATTGGTGTGAAAAAAATGGGATGGAATTAAATGCCAATAAATGCAATTCTATTTCATTTTCATTAAAAAAAAACCGGTTGTAAAAACTAACATCAAATAAACAATTTTATTTAAACTCAAGGTTCAATTTAGGTAAAAATTTAGACATGACTCGATAGTAAATTAACATTTAATCATAACATAAATTATGCAAAAAATAAGCCACTAGCTAATTTAGGATTTATTAAACATTGCTGGAAAATTTTTAATGATTAATCAGCTCTATGTAGGTGCCTATATTTTTCTTTAGTTTGTTATAACTTAGAAAATGCGTTTGTCGTTTGGGAAACCAAAAAGTAGGTATATTTAATGATTTAGAAGTGATACAAAATAATTTCCTAAGATTAATTTCTTATAGCTGCCATATTAGCAGAATAAGACATTCATGATAAAATTTTTCGCTGAGTCTATACGCCCAACCATGGTCGATATCATAATATATATCTTATATATAAACAAATAATCTAACAGTGTAATAGAATATACAGAGCCATGTTAAGCCATTTGATACCTTAGGACAAAACATTGCAACCTCCCCCTGTTTAAGCATTAAACATTATATAATAGTCTATTACAGGGGTCAGCAACCTGCGGCTCGCGAGCCACATGTGGCTCTTCGGTCTAAAGTTGAGGCTCTCCAGCTACACACATAAAAATTAATATTTTAGTTCAAAAACAATATTTTATAATATAAAAAAAAAATATTATTTTTGTTACTTTTGGAAATATGAAATAATACATAACAAAAATAATTTGATAGTGCCCGCATGGAGTACAGTCTATCGTTGTAAAATGTTTATTATAGAGTCTAATATAATCGCGATGCCATCTACAACTAATTAGTCATACGCCGTCACGCCAAGACATGCAAAGCCAATGCTCCCATTGACGTATTTCCCTATTATTAAAAACTGTTTTTTTTTTTATTATAAATTTATTATATTATTATAATTAATTTTATTATTATTATATCTATTCAAATTTAAAAATAACATTATATTTAAAAACTTAAGAAAATTTTTAGTGGCTCTTTAAAATCTGGAAAATTGTGTATATTGTAACTTTTGGTTCTTCCGTCAAAAAAGGTTGCCGACCCCTGGTCTATTATATAGATATGCAATTTACTATATTATATCTACTAATTAATATTTGTACACTTTAACATGTTACCGAAATAGGATATGCAAATGTACCGATTGCCCCTCCTTAACAATATGTTTTATAATAATTATCAAATTTGATCAGTACCCAACAAATATATGTATTTTATCGTTTTGGTACAAAAATATAAACACTCCTTAATAGAAAGGTACTTAATTTTAACCTTAGCTGAATGTTTTTGTGCACAATTACATTATTTAAAAAGAATGCATTCGTTGACAAGTCAGTTGGCCGATGGAATGTTTTAGGACCATATTGTCGATTAATTAACTATAACAAGTGACATATTTATGATGGGGAGAGGGACTAGGGGTAGTGATATAATATAGTTGGACGATTAGGCAATTAGAATTTAAATACATATTTAATATTAAAACTCCTGAAAATGCACAAGTACGTAACTGTCATAAACCATGGATTCTCTCCAGAAAGTCATTTTTAGATGTAGGTAATCATCATTAAACGGTGAAAAAATTGTGTAAAACTCTTAAGATTCCAAATATTACTGAAATTGTATGATTATTAATTTCTGTCTATGTCCCCACTCTTCCCCAAAAAATATTCTAGATCCATCGTTTTTAACGACTACTACATTATCGCAAGCCGCTATAATCACGATAATCGAGTTGCAAAAATGCAATCGAAAAACACACGGTTAAAAACGACGAATAAAATATTAATTTAAATCGCAATAATACCCTAACTATAATACCTAAGGTATGGACATCACTTACCGAGAAACTCGTGCGCTCGAATAATGGCGCACAAAGCCTAGAGGTTTTGTGTCCAACCAACGGCGGAACAGTATCAAGATCAACAGACTAAAAGCGCACTTATGAACGTTACCGGACAGCTAAAATTCCGTGATCATTGATAAATAAAATGGATTCTCTGCAAAAATCCAACGCCGGATCGAAGTATACACGCATGAACACGTCGACGAACGTCCATCTACGCAAAGAAAGTCATAAAGCGTTTGCAAGTCCAAATACCGACATCGGCCATCTAAGTGAGGAGTGACGAGCGCGGAACGACGACAGAGGACAGACAAGAAACCGGCAAATGGCAGTGTTCCGAATTTATTATTTACTATACTCTTCACCATTCGTGTGTCGACTGTCGATGTACCTACGTATACGATTAGAATAGATCGTTTAGGTGGTTGCACTGTTTCGTTACACACTGCGAAATTCAGAGCAGCTGCTCTTCCCGTAACCCAATGATGACGGTAAACGACAGCAATGCAACATCAGCTGATTGAATTATTAAGGTTACCTACCAGCCTGCTGTGATCGAGATTCGGGAGTATGATCCTAAAATGTTTTCGTTAACTTTTTTTTTTTTATGTTTGAACCGTCAACAGTAAGGGATCCGTTTTACAATAGTTCCTCACTGTTAATTGAAAAATTGCAGCTAATATACATATTTAAAATCTTGTTTACCCGGGGGGGGGAAGGTTCATATATACTATGTACAGATAACTAACAAACTAGGTATAAAATGAAGTAAAAGTAATCCTAGGTCTACTAAGCTAACTTAACACTACTACACTTGCCTACGCTCCGTGTCTTTCCGGCCCAGTTCAAGAACCCGACAGCCTGTAGGCTCGTCCTGCTCTTCCTCGTCGTGAATCCGCCGGTCTGGAGTCTCGTTCTGAAACTTCTTCGAAGCACGAGAGCATGGACACCTAACCTTTGGTGTTGAGTTGGCCCTGGCCTCGGCCTCCCTGGTTCGTTAACCAGCAACCAGCTTGATATTACATATATTACCTTAGCAACGTAAGTCAAAAACGTCAGTATATTAGAGATGTACAAAACAGGTCATTTGATCAATTTGGTATCGATTCATTTAGTTCGGGTCCTTCAAAAGACCCGTTCATGGTTTATTTATGTTGTTTATTGCTATCGAAAAACGATTCTGAACGAAGTTCAGTTAACTATACATGTTTGAAATGACGAAATATTTAACATTTTCATAAAAATTTGATCTTAAAACGAGTATTAAACAAACAAATTACTAAATTTTGCTCAACTTCTATTTGTACCACTAAATACAATTTATTATAAATTCAGTATTAAATTTTGAATTTCGTTTTTAAATTGGAGAAATATTTGTCGTAGAAAACATAAAATGTAAATATTTAAAATAATGAAATCATAACGCCGTAAATTTGTTAGCATTAATTTACGTAATTTTCCCAATTATTACGAAAACCGCTTAGAAAATCAGAAAACCTACTCATTAACTAGATTAAAAAAGAAACAGAAAAGGTTTCCTGTAGTTTTTTTATTAAGATATCAAGATATATTGATGGTTCATACCTCCCCTCCCCCCTGAAAATTAATAGTTGTGTAATTTATTTATATAAATTTAATATTTTTTTATAAAACTTGATATATTAGTAATATTGATTATTATACATTTTTAATAAACCCCTCCCCAATTTTTTTTTTTTGGGTACGTGCCTGGATCCTTGGATACCTACATTATTTTTATACGTAACGATAAACTATTGCTAAAGAAATACGATTCTGAGCTAAATTAGATTGTATATGTTTTGAAATGCCGTAATTTTTACCCGTTATTTCCGTACACATTCCTGCTTTTGTTTTCTAACCAATTAGTAACTACACAGAAAATAAAAAGATCAACTAAATAAAATTTTTTTTTTAGAAAAGATATTACTATTAAAATTTGGAACTTGATTTTTGGAAGAAAACAAAAATAGAAAAAAATTTAAAATAAAGGAATCCGTAAATTTGTTCGTTTTTACACAATTATTATGAAAACCATTTTCAAAATCAAAAAAATAAATGGTAAATATAGGTACACTAACGATATCCAAAATCTAACAAAAAAGATCTAGTATCATTTTTAATTGGAGTAGGTACCTAAGATTTCTGATTGTAATGTTACTAACACACTGACAAAAAAAAAAAAACGGACATAATATTATATTATATTATAGCCATATAGGTACCTACTTCGCACGATGGGTGGACTACTTTTGTAGATGAGAAGTTGGGAAGGTAGAGGGAAAATTTAATGTTTATCTCTATGTAAAGATTAATCATTGCCAACGAAATTCGATTCTGAGCGGAGTTCTGTTATACATGTTTTTAGAGTCTGTGATATTTAAGATTTGAAAAAATAAACATATCATACATTTTCCCATTTTTATAAAAATCAAAAAATAACCTCCCTAAAAATTGTTCACAAAAAAAAAAATAATAAATAAACACCAATGTAAATCATAATTAAAAACAAGGTAACTAACTATGACTAACTATAACCAATACATTATTCGCTATGCACAGAATCTAAAAAAAGGAACAATATATTATTAAATAACACCTATTTAAAATAATAAATACTTATGTAAAAATTAAAATGTTAATCTCACTAATATAAATAATAAGTACAACTGTACAAGTACTTCTTCCCGTAACCTAATGAGTAATAACTAAAGAAATAATGAATCATGACTTATGAGCATTGTGCACGACTCATTTGATGACATGATAATTGATAGCAATGATGGTTATGACCACTTTCTATTATCTATTATCAATTGTCATGATTAATTCACCTCTAGGTCATAACAAAATAGATTTTATTTCACAGGTTTTTTTTTTTTATGACTGCGAACATGACAACAGTCAATAATCATAGACAGACAACAGATTGACGATTGACCGTCATTTCTTTCATGGTAAAATAGATTTTATTATTGTTTCTTCCATGCCCGGCCTCCAGACCATACTGTTTTTACGCACGCACACAAAAATTCATAACTTCATTGTATTATTGGTATGTCATATTGTCGTGTACTGCTGTGCGTTTGTGCCTGTGTGCAACACTATTATCGTGATATGTGCGTGTGTTCGTGCATGTATATCAGAGCTTGATTTCGATTTTTTTTTTTTTCTGACGTTTTCCGTCCGTGCTGTCTAGTCCACAGACGGAAAATATTAAAATAAATCCATTTGTACGTACAGTCTTAGACAAGTACGTACGTAAGTAATATATAATACAATTATTTTGCGCGTCAATCGATTTTCGTCCGCCTGTCGCCAACCACAGTGTCTTAGTCGCCGTAAACAATTATTACATTAGATAGCCGTACGAAAATTAAATCATGTCGATGAATACGTGTTAAGAGTATAACATACTTAGTTGTACCGTCCGTGGTTTTCAATCCGTTCTAACCGTTCACCTTCATAACACCAGCAACTACAACCCGGGAGATACTGAAATATGGGTCGCAAAAAGAAGAAGCAGTCTAAGCCATGGTGCTGGTATCCTTTTTTGTGTTTTAATCTAAAATCAACCTCTAGGAGTTTTCTATCGACTTTTCCCCGATATTTTTTCAAAAATTAAAAAACCTTCGTAAATAGTTATATGTTATTGATAATGATTTTCATCAAAATATTGATTAAATCCCTTTAGTCACATGCTAGCACATTTGTATGCATAAACTACTTTGAGTTATATGGTTTCCTGTGTGTTCAATTTATAATTATATAATTGTGTTAAATATGGTATAGTACATTTATAAAAATCACACACTGAATAAATATGGCAGTTATTTGTGATTAATGTCAAAATATTTTTTGTGGTGTTATTGCTAATAATAACTTATCACCTTGGAAATGATTCTACAAAAGTTATACATTTTTCTTACTTTTTCTCTAATTAAATTAGATTAGAAACATTGAGTCATTAATGTAAGAATATACACAACCAAAAAAGTACTTAAATAATATTTTAATTCTGTTCAATTTGTTTTTATAATCAAATTTTTATACTTTTGTGAAAGGTAAAATTGAGGTATATACAATATTATCACACAATTCTCATTCTCATTAATTATTTTGGTATGGTTTTATTTATTTGATTTTAAAACATGGTAGGTATTTAACTCAAAGGTAACATGGTTTTATAAAACATAAATTGTAACGTGTGATATGCCATATTGTTTAATGGCTGGTCCCCATTTCAAACTACACAGTTGATTGTGAACCTCATTTAAATTTCAAAAGAGTAAACCATTACAAAATGATGTACTCTAGATTGCAGATTTCCTATAGTCGTTTACCCCCTGAATTTGAACAGTGATATTTGTAATCGCTCAGAAGTTTTGATTTATTCTATACAACAATACAGTCTAAAAAGAGATAAGATGCATACAAAATCTACTCAATTGACAGATAACTTCAATATTAATATCATAATGTTATTTTCAATAAAAAAATTAATTGATATGATATATAACACATCACTGATCAATGTTTAATTTAAATTTGGAAATGTGTATAATACAATATTGTATTTAGACTAATAAATTTTGTTTTTTTTTTTTTCTAAATTAAAGTAATGTTAAAGAACTAAAAAATTAAATAACTATTACCCAAAATAGATTTATCCTTAACTGAATATTAAGGTATTGTAATCGTGAATTTGATGACGAAAAAATTTTAATCCAACATCAAAAAGCAAAACATTTTAAATGCCATATATGTCATAAGAAACTATACACAGGTCCAGGTTTATCAATTCATTGTATGCAGGTTAGTAATACAATTGTACTAATTATTTTAATATTTGTTAATTTATTATATATTACTACAAAATGTATTCGTATTTTTTTTCTTATATAAATTTAAATAGTAAAATAATAATACTTATTAATTGATGGAAAACAATTTTTAATAGTGGTTTTTTCTGATAATTTTAATTCTAACGATTTTGTTTTTAAATCCCATGTTTACTAAAGACAACAATTTTGTTTTTTCTAGAATACTCTTCAGGATTAAAATGTATTTCAATTTACATTAATAAAACTATGTAAAACTACTTAGTTTTATTTGCTTTATTTTATGTAAAATTATTTAGGTATTTTTTTTTTTTATTTCGTTAATATTCAATAGAAAATAAATCATAAACTAAGATATTTTTTGAGTTTTAAATTAAGTTAAATTTTCTAGTTTACTTATAGGTATCCAGGTGCACCCAACAAAATTGTATATCATATATATGATATCTTATTCAAAACTAAGCTTTATAGTTGAAGCCATTCTATTTGACACCACACTCTTCAATAAAACAAATTTGAAGTTTACATGTTATTTCAAAAAAAATATCCATGGGAAATAATACATTAAAAGTAGAGGGAACATTAAAATTGTGTTTACAATGAACCATTTTCCAATTTAGACTGTAGCATACCTACTGTTTTAATATTATCTATTAACCTATTAGTTGCTATTAGTAATTAATATTTGATTATAATTACTAATTAATTAATTATTGAATTGTGTTTATAGGTTCATAAAGAAACAATAGACAAAGTGCCTAATGCTCTTTCGCATCGCTCTAATATTGAAATTGAAATTTATGGTATGGAAGGAATTCCGGAAGAAGATATGAAAGAACACGAACGACAAAAATCTGGCGGTAAAGGTAATCCTATCACCTAACGATACAATTTTCAATTTTGTGTTTGGATCTCAATTGTGAACTTAATTTGAGATTTTCTATACCATTTTTTTTTTATGCTTTTATCAGAAGTTTTCCATAAATTGAAAAAAATTATAAATAATACATATCGGTATTTAAATTTGTCTTTAGTGTAATAATCGATAAATTGAAAATGTTTGGAATTTTTCTCAAATAGACTAATGATTTCTGATATTTTAAACAAATTCTTATCATACCTCTTGTTTTATAAAATATAATTATTATAATAATATTAACATTAATTATAATGTATTTAATATAATAAATTTAGGTACTCGATCTGATAGTGATGATGAAGCTGGCCCACCCACAAAAAAAAAACCCGATTATTCAAATCCAGCTGGCCCTTCAATGATGCCATCTTTCAATCCTATGATGAATCACATGCAAGCTATGGGCCCTCCTTATATGGGACCGGGGTAAATAAATACTTATAGTTCATTATTTGTGTTTTACTCTGTATAATAAATATGATCATAATTATATTATTTCAATTAGAATGTCGATGATGGGCCCCTCAGTTTCTTCTGGTCCCATGCCACCAGGTCAACCAACTGGAATGACAAATAAACCATTATTTCCTAGTGCAGCTGCAATTGTAAGTTCAGTGTTCCTATAACTAGGATTTATTTTAATTATAATTTATATCTGTTTTTAGGCTAATAATTCTGATGCTCGTTCCAGCAATGCTATGTTATCTGGAGGTTCTGTAGGTGGTTTGAATAAAACGTCATTTCCTGCCTATTCTGGGTAAAATATTTTGAATTAACTATATATTATTTTACTGAGTAATTTATTAACAAATATGTTCATTATTTTTGGTGAAATAAAATACACATCTTAAACAGTGAATGTTAATGGATAACTTGGTTTATATATCTTGAATTATTATAATGGTTATTATTGGTTTACTTTTTAAAACTTAGAAATGACAATGAATCAAAATCTAAATCACTTATTAGTGCTACTGGAACATCTAGTAAAATAATTCATCCTTCAGAAGACATTTCTTTGGTAAGTTTTTGTAAATTTATGTTATACTGAAACTTATCAACATTTAATTACAGGAAGAACATAAAGCTCGATTTTCCAAATATGCAATTCATATGGATTTACAAAATCCTATACCAATTAACATTGCTGAGCAACATCAACTAGGTGCACCACTCATGTCACCACATGGACAAGTTTCTCCTCAAACTCAACAATTGCAACAACAACAGCATCATCATCATCTTCATCAACAACAACAACAGCAGCAGCAGCAGCAGCAGCAACAGCAACAGCAACAACAACAGCAACAGCAACAACAACAACAACAGCAGCAGCAGCAGCAGCAACAGCATCAACACCATCAACATCAACAGCATCAACAAGCTATTCAAAATGAGGTAAGGTAGAAAATATTTAGACATTTGGCCCAACTTTAAATTCTTAATAGAAGTTACCAACCATTTTTTACTAATCAAGATCCATTATTTATCTTGTTGATGAATGAAACTGCTTAAAATCATGAGATAGATTTAATTGAGTGGACTGACTTATTGTGTAAGTACAAAAAATGTGAATTTAGAGGTTAATGTTTATGGGTGAATTTAGGTTTTGTTTATTTAGTTTATCATTTTTGTTTTACTGTATTGCTCATTTACTTCAGTCACGTGGTTAGATTGTTACAAAAGTACACATATTCTAAGTTACACAAGTTTTATCAGGTTGGGTGATTCAAAAGTGAGTATATTTTATGTATTTTTGGTTAATATTTTGATCTTCTCATGAAAATTATATTTTATTTTTGAACTATTTAATTATATATCATTATTATTATTATTATCGTCATTATTTAGTAATTTATATATTTTGGATAAATTGTTTGAATAGTTATTTCAATAATAGTAATTTTTGAATTTATTTTAGATGGAACGACAAGTAGCTGCTATGGCAGCAGTTATGCAACAACAGCAACAGCAGCAGCAACAACAACAACAGCGATTTGCTACACCAGTGATATCAATGCCTAACATGATGCCTCAGCCTCCTACTGTTTTTATGGCTCAGCAAATGCCAACTATTTTACGTCCTTTGGGTGGTTTACCACCACATGCTATGAGTATGCTGAGGCCTCAAATGCCTATTCATCCAGGTAATCTATTAAATGAAATATAATTTTCATGCATTGAATAAAAAACAATATATTTATGTTAGGTTTAATGGTTAATCCACCAATGGTCAATCCTTATGCTCCTGGTGGACCAATGGGCTTCCCAGGGGCTCAGATGTTAGCCCCCATGATGCATCCTCGCTTCAGATGATCAGGTTTGTTGGGGGGCGTATTACTCGTGTACAACAACACTCCCCCGTCACTTTTGTAAGTTGTTAATTTTTTTTTTTTTAATTTACAAAATGTTAATTTTATTTTTTTAAAAACAAAATTAAAATTAATTTCCTAATTCAGTTTAGGAATGTGTGAGGTTAAAGTTAGTGAATTTTTTTTTTGATTTTTCATAAAGTAAATTTTTGAAGATCATTTTATAAATTAAAATTGTTTACAGAAATTAGATTTATTATATTAATCATATTAATCACCCCCATTCATTTAATTGTTAACACTATAACAAATATCTATTCACATAGTTTTGTTTGCAGAAAAAGGAAAATATTGAATAATAACTGAAACGCAGTTTCAGTGAAAAATCAGTAAGTCCTTTTTTATTTTAAATGTCCTTTACCCCTCGTTTTTCTTTGGATTTTTTTCTTAATTTATTTGTATATTCCCAAAAATAGTTTGTTACTAAATGTCGTCACACGTACATTTTTTTTGTAGAACGTGTGTGGTAGTATTTATTAGTGTGACTTGAATTTCGTACAAACTTTACGCTCGGCATAAAATGCACAGCAATTTTTGTTTATATACAAAAAAAAAATATGTTGTTGAATGTGTTTTAATTATTTATATAGTGTTATGTTGTGAGAATGAGTAAGTACTAATCACTCACGTTTAAAAAAATAGTCGAATTTCATTGTTCATCTCTAAAAAGCGTGTTTTTAGGTATAGATATATAACGTGCCAACTGAATTCTCAGATGATGTGGCCCAGAATTCTAAAATATTTGGTATGTCATTTTGCATTTTTTAAATAAATTTAAGGTATAATGTATAGGGTTTTGATTACTAACATATTAGAGTTAAAATTATGATTGTAAAAATTAAAACTAGAAAACACACTTTTATTATTCTAAATCATCTAACAAAATTATTATCATTATATTATTATATATTAAGTACGTGTGTATGATGTATTTCAAGGTAAGACATATTTGTTTTATAGTACTAAATATTTGAAAATGCACAATTATCAGATTTTCTTTTCAAAGAAATTTGATTAATACTATGCATTTTCTTTTTTTTTTTTCAAATAAATGTAAGCACATATCTGAAAATTGGTTCAATTATTTCTATAAAGTGAATCCTCTAAAAATGGTGAGTACCTCATTTAATATTCATGAAAGTATATTAATCCGCCATTTTTTTTTTTATTATTATTATTTCTTCAGAGCAATAATTATTATATCATAATTAATTCTATTCTTGAAAAAGTGTTTAATTAATAGGGATATTCCTAGTCCTACTAACATATATGTAGTATTATTTAAACATTAATTTTTTATGAATAAAACAAAACTCCATCTGAAAATTAAAAAATTAAATCTTTAAAGATACAAAATATACTCATTATTATTACATAGGTAAATGATAAAATTTATTATTTAGTAAGAATTAATGAAAATCACCAAAACCAATTATTTTGAAATGTATTTCTAAAGCCACTCAATGTAATGGATGTTACAATACCTAAATGACAAATTCAATTTATATTTGTACACAGTGATTTTGCTAATAAAAATGATTCTAAAGTTTATTTAAACATGTTTTGATAAACTTAATTGAAAATTTGTAATGATTGTAACTATAAAATAAATTACAAATTTTCATGTTTTAGAAAATTTTGAGCATATTTATGTAGGCAATTAATTTAATAACAGAAAATAGTACCCAGAAAACATGATTTGTAAAATTGTCTACAAAATACAACTTTTAAATGTTAATAAAAACAAAAAACTTATAACTAGGTTTCGTAAAAAAAAATTATAATGCAATAAGAACAATCTTATCAAACTTGTTGATCATTTTTGTTGTGCTAAAACAATTTTATCCATATAAAATGTACGGACATTTGACAATTTAAAATAAGTTCAAATAACTCCAAAATATACAGAACATTTTGATAATTGTACCATGTTTAGAAAAGGCTAATATAAATATTTGTTATAAAATTTAATTTCATGATTATTTATAACTGAATTACTTAAACTATTGCGTATATTTTCCTGTTTTTTCCAATTAAAAAACTGCTCTGAAATATAATAATGACCCAATAGACCAACTAAACAAAATTTGCCACCACAGCAGAAACCGCCCCTAAAGTTGATCAGAGGAAGGTTTCTGATAGAAGAGTTATTGATTGACAGAAAAAAAAACCTGTGGAGCTATGTTGCTCATAGGGTGGTTTTTATTATTATTCATATTCACTTTTTCGATAACTTTAATGTAAATATTTTTTTGTTATAACCGTAACCATTTTTTAATTTGAATTGCGATATAATTACTTAAATATTATTTATCTGGCCGGCTTTAATATATTATTAGTGAATTGGATTATCAAAATAACTATTTATGTTTAAATGTATTATACAACTTTAAGGTACCTACCTAGTATACGGATCTTGTGAATCTTAATACAGTCATCACTACCAGGTACTTGTATCTGTCTACCAAGTCCTGTCATCTAATTATACTAGATTCGCCGATTGAGGTTGGTTGTTGTGGTCACAGTGAAGCTGTTGGACCCAAAATTGGGTCCCCTGATCAGAGCCCCAGGCGAGGCTATTCCTCACAGCTGACCTGTTGGACTTGTATTACCAAGTCCCCTGTTAACCACGACAGGCGACACGTTATATTATTACAAGTTAAATAATACTTATTTCTGATCTGTGTACAGATCGTTTTTAGTGTAGTTTTGCATGTCAAATGCGATATGGGAATAAGCCAAAAAGGTTGCGGTAATAAATGACTCAACAAATCATAATGGCTTTGCACAATATTTTGGGCGCTGATTAACACTTCTGTGACTGTTTTAAATTTCAATTCAAATATTATGCTGTGTTTTAGGTTGGGTGATTGATAAAGGAGACGTTATTCACAATTAGAAATATATTATATTTTTATTAATTTAATTTTATACAGAATTTTTTTAAAGTTTATAAATAAATACTATCATGAATGATGATAAAATATTTAGAGTACATTATTTATATTCAATCAATTTAAAACAAATTTACAGTAATTCCTAAAACATTTTTTAAAAAAATCCAAGGTTTTTGTTATTATATCTGGTTTTTTTTTGGTTAATTTTTGATAAATTATTCCACAATTGAATTTCAGCACTTATTAAAAATAATATAATATAAATTTAAGGTCTTATGAAGAAGTTAATTGAGGTTGAAAAAAAAATTTGAAATAGGGAAGCTTTTGTTAACTGATTTTTCATACAGTGTCTTAAATAATAATCCCTATTAACTACAATTTTAAAATGGCTGATATTTTTAGTTATTGCCCATTAATGTGCCCTTCAAAAATGTTTTTTTAATTCCTATGATTGTTCACGAATGCAGTAATAATACCATTATTTAGACTAGAAGCAATAATTACTAAAATTATTGCTACTGTCATTAGTGTATTCAATCAAAGAGCCACTATAACTCAATTTCATTAAACTGATATTTTTTAATTTTCTTCAATTTGTTTTCTATATTTAACCATGAAAGTTAAAGTAGTTGCTGGTCCAGAAAAGTATCAAATTAGGATCATAATGATGAATATATAGATTTAGGTGTTAAAATAGCAGAGATGAAAAAAAAATTGAAAATAAATAAATACAAATCTTTGCATATAATTATCATTATGTTCATAATATTCTAGAGATTTTAGGTTTTGGAAGCTAGTAAATCTGATCTACATTTTTGTATTATTATTAGTTGTAATAAGAGAAATCCATTGACATCCATAGATAATAAAAAATGGATAAATTCTGGAAAAACGAACAACATTTTTAAAACATATTTTTTTCATCCCCTCTTGTTGGATTTAAAAATTTTCATTTCAGGTCTATCTGTAACACAAGAACACTTTAACACTTTAGTGACTAACAGACTTAATTTGGTTTACTCAAATAATAGTATTCAAGTATGGTCTACTTAACATAGGTAATTTACAGTAATAAAATGTTATTTTACTTTATATTATACCACAATAGTTGTATTGTATTTAATATATAAAATGATGAAGATTGAAAGATATTATACCTTTTGCAACCACTCGTTATTTTGAAAAGTTTTAACTTCTTTGAAAATACTTTTCTTCGTATAATTTTTATAATTAAAAAAACATTTTTCAATAGAATATATTTTTATATTTCAATATTTTTAAATAATTTAAAATAATTATCATTTTTTTATAATTAATTTATATATATTAATAATGTAATACCTGTGTTCTGAGATGGGAAAGCTAGATAGACTATATTTTTTTCACAGATATATAAAACAGCTACATAGCTGACTTGGGTATTATTATTGTCACCAATAAAATGGTAGCTATCCTTATCCAAGGGTTAAATGTTTGATTTTTAGTATTGCTTGAAACTATATTGTGTTATTTAAATATTGTGTACATTGTAAAGTTCTATTTTCTATATTAATATTTACAGTTAAGTACGGTTTTTCATGTTTTACTGCATCATCATAAATTTAACTTAAACTTTAAAAACAATTATTATTTTGAACATTTTTGGACGTATGCAGTTGAGCTCCCAAGTGATTATTGAAAAGAAAATTTTCATAAATTTAGGTATTTCAACAAATTGAGAACAATGGTACAATTATAATTAATTGCTGGACAGGCCTATTTTACATAGTTACTCCCATCCAACACTACAACATAATAAGTAAGTATAATACCTTCTGGTTACATTAAAATGTCAGGGACAAAAACTCACACATTTTGAAAAAAAATTCCCAAAATTGCTTCGGAGCTAAACTGCCTTCGTTCTAATTTTTTTTTGGAGTTTGGCTTTTATGCATGAGAATTGTCTTAAATTTTGTCTGTGTTCTTGAAGATAAAATATGTCTGTCATACAATTTTTTATTGTAAAACAAATACCAGCACATCTAAGAATATAATTTATAATGAAATATAACAATTACGAAAAAATGACCAAGTACTTTATTAAGTTAAACAATAAATTTGCATTCCAACAATATTGAATATATTATAGCCCTCCAAAATATTATCTTATCACTTATCATATCAATTTAAATTATAAACCACAAATGTATACTGCAGCTATACCAAGTGTACACTCATTTCTGAAAGTATTAATGGAATTATTCGGAATTTTGAAAATTTAAAAAACAAGCAGCTCTCAAATTTAATATTTTTGGGAGTAAAACCGCTACCTATTTTTGATATTCAATTGACAACCTATATTAAAAAATCATAAATATATGGAATATCAGTTAAAATAAATTTTAGTGTTGAATTTTTTGATTTCCATTAATCCGTTGACGAGATATTCCAATTTTAAGTTTGGGTTGGAAGAGAGTAGTGGTCATTTGTGTAACGGTTCGGCATACAGTGTTTTAATAATACACCATTATTATCTCAAACCTAATTTAAAAGTTAAATACCTCGTCAGTGGCTTGACATAAATCAAAAATTTTAACTAATACTTCATCTATTTATGGAATTTTTAATGTAGGTTGTCATTTGAAAATTAAAAATAGATAGTGATTTTACCCCCAAAAAAAGCATAAATAAAAAATTGTAATTTTCCGAGGTACTGAGTGACCCACTTAAATAAATCACCCGGTTAGATAGTTTATAGTAAAATTCTATACGTATAAAATAAATAATGGCCCCAATCATAATCTAAGAAGTGACTATTTACAAATTAAACTGTTATGTTACGTGATAAGATACTATTTTGGAGGAGTATTATAAATGGGGCAAAGTTCTTCCTCGCAAGATAAGAATCTGAAAATTCCAAAAAAGAAAAAAACAGTGTACCCAGCTTAGCAAAAAATGTTTTTACTAATACTTCGAGTTTACAAATTAACCAATAAATAAAACTTCATAATGAATTAACTAAAACCTAACTAATTCATATCAGTGTTAACCCTTATCACACTATCAACTATCTTATTTGTATTTCCTCAAGGATATAGAAAATAATTTAGTGTATATCTGTACGCAATGATTGATTAATTACTAACGAAAAACAATTTTTAGAAATTTCGGTTATACATTTATTTATTTATATGTATTTACATATATATATATATATATATACACGGAACTAGCCAATTACAAATAATCATAAAAAATACTTAGCATGGTAAATTTGGAATTTAATGTATATCTGTAAGCAAAAATTAATTATTGCGAACGAAAAACGATTTTGAGCGGAGTTCAGTTGATAGTATAGTTACTTTATTTTGTTAGCAATACTATTTTTTTTTTTCAACAATATCAATCCCTTTGTCAACAAAATGTAGTACATAAAGTGTTTTAAGCCTAGAAACTTAAAATTCAAATATTACCTATTTACACATAAATTAAGTAAATTGGTATTTAAAAAAACAAAAATGCATAAATCATCAAAATATCATAATAATAATAATCAAAAAATCAACATCGATGTTGTTTATTATAACCTAACCTTAGACCATTCGCTATTGAAAGCGAAAGATTCGCTACCAGGTGGAATTTATTAGAACCGCTTTAACGGGGAAAATATACGTACTTTGATTACATTATATTTAGACATTGAGTACTGAGTACTGACTTCTGAATTTCTTTGTTAGAATTATAAAATATAGCTTTATTTGTTGATATTATGGATGGCCATAATTATTATTCTAGTAAATGGGTAAAAAAAATGCATAAATTAAATACAAATTTGTAATTAACTTCCATAATATATAATATACAATAAGTATAATGTTTGAAATGTACCTACTTACTTTGTGAGGTTTACCGTGAACTTCACTGAATTGCAAAGATAGCCTTGAAATAAATATATCATTTTAGAATCTACGTGGCTCGAAAAGCTTATGGTTTTACAAAAATGTTTATTTTTATTATTATTATTTTTTTATCTTTGTGCAATTTTTCTATCAGAAATATTTCTCTAATTTTTTAATGTAGCACCTTTTCTGAAAGAAAATCGATGTAGGGAGGTTCTTTAAGGAGGTTATTTTTCAATTATCTCGAGTTTTCTCATAAAATGTGAAAAATGGAGGAAACACAGGAATATTTACGAAATATATTACTAAAATATTACAATTGTTTTTTCTGTGCACAACTTTTCTACCAGCAATTTTGTTCCGATTTACAATAACAATTTACGTAGCACTTTTTCTAAAAAGAAATTTGACTAGTGGGGTACTTTAACGAGGTCATTTTTCGATTTTCCCTGGAGTGTTCCCAGTAAATGTGAAAAACCGGTATAACATTAAACAAATAGTATTAAAAAAAAAAATATAAAGCCTATTTAATTATTTTACTGTAATATGACATATATATTGTTGACAAAGTATCACTATCATCTAATCTCTGCTCACAATCCTTTTTTTGTTAACAATGGTTTTTCGTTGCTTACAGGTATACATTAAATTACCTATAACAGTGGCTGCACCCGTCCCTATTATCCTAGGATATCTTTTTTTTATCTAAAAACTATTCCAATAATATGGTTGCATTTAACTATTTCTGAACTTTCAACATAAGATCTTTTAAAATCACCAATATATTGAATAATTTCGGTGATTTCTATTACAGAATTAAACACCATGTTGTTTTATTACCACAAATTGTAAACGAATAAGTTTTAAAAAATTTAAGGAAAACTTGAAATATATGAATTATTTTAGCTAAATTACTATTATTCTAATGCTATTATAGCGCTCATTTCCCCGTTAGCCTTATCATTAGGGTCAACTAGAGCGCTACCTCTAGTTCCTTTCAGTCGCGAATAGCAGTTGACAGTTTAGTATTTTTATCTTAAATCATGTACTATGGATAGAGCTATTAAACTCGTACCACGAGTTTAAGACATCATTATTAACGAGTGCTAAGGGGACTGATGTTTATTGCGCATACATATCAGTACTCGTCGCATATTTATCGTATAATTAATTTAATCATTATAATACCTCCAGGCAGTGATGTTAGGTTCATCACACATAATTACGTGAATTAAATAAATTGCGTGTGATATAAATTTTGTCCCAACTACCCTTAGTTATGTTTGCTTCAAAGATTAAGTCAATAGCTCTATCCATAGTATATGATCTAAGATTTTTATATACCTGGTTTTCTCTTTCTAACATGTTTTTGAGGTTATGTTCGTGATAAAGAATACATTTTGGTTTGTGATTCGCTGATAAGTATAAACCATGTTTTATGATAACAATATTATAACATTAATTTATTAAATAATAAACATACAATACAGAACTACAAATTAAAAACACCATAGATAATAATTTTTAATATTAAAATATAGAAAAACAAAATGGTCTTTCTTTTTAGCACAATATTCTGAATTTCTGAATAGTGATTGGAAGCTTATCTATTCTTTATTATCTGTGATTTCCATTGTTTCTGGTTGAGGGGATTATGAGATTATGTTCAAACTTATATTGTTATTAAAATTTAATTTGTTTTGTATATTATACAAAAATGTAATTAGAGTAAGTTGTGTCTATTCTCTCGATATTTATTTATATTTATTGATTTACGGTTCCTGAAGAATACATATAACCATATTACACATCAATGTCAAAAAACAGTACACAAATTCTAATTTTCTTAATTATTTTTAAATGATGATAATAATTAATAAACAATAAGAGTTATAAAATATCTGATTTGCCTGTTACCATGGTTAAATATGTTGAACTGTAATATTATTTACGTTAAAGCCGAGTTTCCAATATACCGTATCCCTCGCATAAATCTACGTATTCTGATAGGCTGAATGGTTTGCTTGATATCATGTACTACCTAGTTCAGCCAACCAGAATACGTAGATTTATACACGGTGCAATGGAAACTCGGCTTAAAGTTATTTGTTCATTTGTTTATTGATACGATAACACAGGTTGTCGGACTGTTTTTACAAATTATTCATGAAACCCGGAATTAAACTATATATTTGATAAGTTTTTTCATACAATTTTCACTGAAAATTTTTGAGATATTGGTTCAACGTGAACTTGTGTACTACACCGATAAATTGTATCGTTATATATAGCCGTAAAATAACTACTCAACAAAAAATCGTGCAAACAATAAAGAGCCATTTGATAAGAAAAAACAAAAAATAATATCTCATACCAACCAAAAAAATGTAAATTATTCTAAATAATAATTTAATACCAGTTTGTGTGTCAGCCTGTATCATAAACAAAGATACACAGAACTGAAAAGAGCTAAAATGTTATTTTTCACCATAAATATTTGTAGTCTTTATCCCTGAAATTAATGTCAAAATTAGAATTTTAAAATTCCGTTCTTAAAAATATTAAGTTAATAACTTAATATCATTATTATTGTAGATAATAGATTAATGTAGACCTATCTGGATATCTATACAACCCGATTCTGAGAACTCTTGTCCAACAAAGTTATAAAAGTCTTATGTTCAGTTTATTTATAGTTTTTCTCGTCATTTTTTAAGTTCACCTATATTCACCAAAATGTATTATACATAAAAATGTTAGCATAAAATATAATTATCATTATGGTAATAGTCTAGGGATTTTAATAGTCTAATAAATTAAACAACCATACTATTTGTTAGGTTGGTACTGTTGTTTATTATCAACGTGAATTTATGTAGCTTTAACCACAGATATATAAAACAGAGAATAAAAAATATAAATGGCTAACAAAGATTTTTAGCAGAACAGTTAGACATACTCAATGAATGCTGCTACTATAGTTGTGACCTCAATTTAAGATACTATCTTAGGGTTATGTTAGGTAGCTATCTTAAATCGTGGTTGTGACTGGTGACTACTGTCAATTTGAAGAAATGTTAAAATATAATATATTATAATACTATTATGTCGACCTTCACATTAAAATCATTAAAACCTTTGAATATATTTTAAAACAGTTAGTCAACTCTAGTAAGTAAGGTAACTTTGTCGTTTATTCCAGGTAGGCAGGTACTGATAAGAATCGTTCATTTTATTAGTGATATTAACATAGATAATGAATATATGGATAAGACATCCTATACAGAAATTGGTAAAAAAGACCATGGAAAAAAATAATACAAATTTTAAATATATTAATTAATTATAAAAATTAAAAAATGTTTATTAAATATAATTATTAAAAATATTGAAATATAAAAAATACATCTCTTATAAAAAAATTTATTTTTTGAATTGTAAAAAATTAAGGGAAATTAGTATTTACAAAAAAGTTGAACTTTTTAAAATAGTGAGTGATTGCATTTTATCTTTCATTCCATTCATTCATTGAAATTACCTATGAAGACCTTTTCATACCTCCATGCTATTATTTGAGCGAACTAAATTTAGTTTGTCACAAGTCACTACAGTGTTAAAGTGTTTTAGTGTTCTAATATAAATTATATTGATATCGTTTTTTTTTTTTTTTTTGATAAGTAATGATTAATTATTTTATTCAAAATTTTAAAATGTTTGTTCTTTTTTTACGTGATTCTCTTATACTATACTACAAGCGTCTAGAGACAGAATCTACTTAATTGATACTTATTGGATAGCGAACTCCGCTTTTCGGGTGACGCCAGGTGGCTACGTACCATTTTTTCGGTGGTAAATATTGTAAATATTAAATTGAAACAAATGTATTTAGACGTGTTTAGAAATCAGTATTGTAATGTAAACACCTACAGCTATAGAATACTTGATTACTCAGAAATAATCAGGAACTTCTATAGTATGATAAAATAATAACAGATGGTTCTAAAATTATACAATTATTGATGAAATTAGAACAAAATATATCAAAATCTCAATCTATTTTCTTTCATTTTATTTGTTATCGAAGCCACACTTAGGTCACCTCTTATGTACTCATTGCTCTATTCTCGTCGCTCCACTCATCCATCTAAACCACAGATTCTCTATTTTATATTTTTGTCTATCACTCAACATCGAATCATACAACATTAAGTCTCATTGAAATTCACTTGTCACATAAAACACTTGACACTTCTCTCTATTTTATTCAACTACATAAAATCCTATGTTTTACTATCACATCTTCATCAAAGCCACCGTTATTTTGTACAAAATATCCTAGAGATTTAAAACTCCTAACCTCTCCTATTTTGTCATCGTTTATTGTCGATAGCTGTCTTGTTTTATCTCTCTAAATAGTCCAAACTCATACTCTGTTTTACTTCTATTTATCTCTAGTTCCTTCAAGTGCTATCTCCATTTCTCAAACCTATTATTTCAGATTTTCTCTTATCAAAGTTAGATCATCTACAAACATCATGCACTATACGTCCTTTCATTCATTGTCACCGTGCACACCCGAAATGGGACAATCTGCCAAAGTCTTGTTTAGAACTTCTCATACTATTTAACTAACAGAATATTACATCGGCTGTCCACCTAATACAACCCCATTTTGTTGTCTCTTATGACAGATAGAGGTACCGTGGGAGTATTTTGATTCCTTTCTACAGGGAGATCGGTATTGAATAATTTATTTTGCAATATTACTAGTTACGGGAAAGTAATTTAAGTGTTGATAATTAATCTAATAACAAATTACCGGTAATTTTACATGACTAATTAAAACCACAGACAATGTCATAGATATAGGTTCACGAATAGATAGTTTTAATAAGAACTTTGGTGATTGGACTTTTGATGACTCGTGTTTCATAAAATAACATAGAGGTGGCTGTGAGAACGAACATTGAGCAAAAATCGTCGACTTGAGCGTAAAAATACAATACAATATATTACTGTACATATATTAATTACTTTTTACCTATGAAATATTTGTTTTCTGTTTTACTTTTCTTATTTCTAGACCTATCACAGATAAAACAACTGAGCATAGTGCAGTATATTGTATATGCTAAGCTCAGTAATTCTTTTATAAAAGGATAGAAGTTATAAAATAATACAATAATGCAATAATTCAAAAATTAATTATTGTCGTTGATAGTTAACAATGTTTCTAGTTTATACTGCAATCTAGTGAAGAAACATTCGATGTGATTTAAATCACACCTTGAATAAAAATGTTTAATCATTGATACTGTCATAAATGTATAAATACATTTAATTATTAATAAATAATAACTAATAATATATTTATATCTTATAAATTAATAAAAGTGGGTAGGAAGAAAGTTTACAAATATAAATTTAAAATCGAGTATTAAGTACATGTAGAGTAGGACCTAAACCCTACAGAATAATGTGATAATTTGGTATGGTTTTAAATTTTGATAAAAACAGTTAAATAAACTTATTAACAGATAATATAATTTGTATAACAAGCCGCCTTTTGTACACAAATACCTACGTGCCGAATAAGTTTTAAATAAAAACATGCAATAACGTAGATGAAGATTTCATTTGTACATTGATACCGGTAGACGTTGTACCCTCTTCAATCACAAGAGTATATTTTGGTACAATTTTGATCGTGATAATTATCCAGGTTAGTTCAATGTATTATTTATTATTATTAAGTGAAGACTTGAAAATATAGTCCAAGACTCTCCAGAACTTCTTTCCAATGATTAAACAACTTGTTTACCGCAAGCACGCGAAAAAAAGTTAAAAATCCAAACGAAAAAAATTAAATTTTGACGATATTAGTTATTTGATAGATATTTTTAAAATAATAATTTTACCGGATTGAAACATTTACTGAATACTTATATGAGCATTTTGTAGATATTTTAAATAATTTTGAAACGATTTAATGAAATTTGTGCCTCGTATTGTATATCATTTGTACACTATCAAATCAGAAAATAAAGCCGGTTTTAAAAATTTGCATTTTTGCATTGATTACATGACATGCTTCCATGGTGTGTACAATAATGCTACGGTCTTAGAAGTTCTTCTAAGACCGTGAATAATATAGTGATTTCTGATTAGTTAAACGATAGTGGTATCTAGTAAGCTGGGAAAACTACCTACTTACGTAATCATTTTAATAGTGTCACAACGAAAATAATTGTTTTTTTTTTTTAAATTGGATGTTAATAGTCGATTCATGGTTTATACATTTCATATTTGTAAATCAAGGAACAATAAAATTAAAAATTATTATCAAAATTATGTTCAATAAAAATGAGAACTATACACCTACCAAATATTTTAAAAGGTAAGTATATAATTACTATAATTTCACTATTTGGATTGAACTTAAAAGACTCAGACATATTGGAAACAAACCCAACAAGGCGCATAAGATATTTTTAACTAGGAAGACAGGTGTCTTCAGTATTCTCATCAAAAAACATTTGTGCAGAAATGAAAGTAAATTTAGGGAGTTTTTAAGATTAAGTTGGGATGAATTCACGTACATCTTAAATATAATAGAGAACGATATTACAACTAGTCCAAGTATAAAATTTCCAAAGCCGATATCAGCAGCCGAAAAATTAGAAGTTACATTAAGGTAAGTCTACTACTATCTAATTTCATAATAAAATCATATATAACAAGCAAAATAAACTTATTTATGTGAATTTAAAAATCTTTTTCTTAATAAACAAACTAAACATAATATATATATTTACTTACAAATCAATGTGTGTTAACACAAATCAAAGTCAAAAATAACAATTTATTTTAAAATAAAATAAACCTTTTTTATAACAAATAAATAAAAAAATGTATAGAGTTCATTCATCATAATCTTCTCCATATAGCATCCAATATTCTCCCGATATTTGATAGTTGTTGGCTACTTCTGGTAAACCTACAGGAACTGGGTGATTATACATCGTAAATGCTGATTAAGATGACTATGTACTTGGGGATGATGAATATATTCTAGTTGTTGAATCATTATTTTCAAACTCCAAATTATTCACAATGTTAAAAATGTCCTATTTTACTTTAATTTTTAAGCTAGTAGAAAACGTTTCCACTGTTGATGCCATACTCTTGAAAAGTATCAATTGGGTCATCCTCTTCAACTTTATTGATAATTTCAAAAATTGTATTTCTCTTTTCACTCCCTTTTTTTAACAAAGAGATCCATTCTACGTTCTGTTTTTGGTTTTTGTGGGGCCATTTTTCAGTGTTATGTTTTCTTTTCTTGGGTATTGAATTAATATCTTCTATGGGATCCACATAGCCTTGTGATGTAGATGGAATTATTGATGGTGTATTACTCAATTCTTGAACCTCTGCATCTTCTAAAATAGAGTTACTTTCATTTTTACTAGCGTACTTATGGAGAAAACTTGCCAATTTGTGATGACCGTGGCATTTTTAAAAAATATGAAAAAATGTACATACAATATGCCAATATATGTGCACCAGAATATATATATATATGCATACACCGCCGCGCGCGTCAGCGATTTGACACCTTTCGGAACAGTCGCTAATCCAGTCAGACGCGACAGTGGCGCGTCGCAGCAATTGTCATAGGAATCGGTTATATCTACCAAGTAAATTAGTGCCACATGTCTGAAATTTGAATCTTGCCGCGCCGCGGCTCTACTGCAGACGCGTCTATAGGAATCACACCTTTAGGAGATAAAAAGAAAAATAGAGAATCAATATACTAGAGATGGAAATATTTAGGTGAATGAGAGGAGCGGCAGGGGAAAATAAGATAAGGGACAAGAACATAAAAAGTAGTTTAAACATTGTTTCAAAATTAGAAAAAATAGATAGATGATTTAGGTATGTCACAGGGAGAGAGGAATCTTAAGCAGTTAAATTTGTAATGAAAATAAATATATGAAGATAGAGATAAAGAAAAAGACCGAAAAAAGAGGTGGTTGGATGTTACTGAGAATGATATGATGACAGCTGGCATATGCAAAGTGGGAGATCCGGTTAATTAGAAGTTTAGAACGAGGGTTTTAAAATCCAAATAGTTGGGATTAAGGTGAAGGAGAAAAGAATTATACTGATCTGCGAGTATTAGGGATATTTAACTTTGGCCATTCCTTACCACAGATGATATGCTACACATTTTATGAGATAGACTATTATTTTTTTTGTATAATTTTGTTTTTGAATATTGGTACAGATTATGAACTAGGAAAATAGTAAGGATACAAAATATATGCTTAAATTATTTTATTGTAGTTTTAGTTGAAGGAAAATTAAAATGCTTAAGTTAAGTTTATAAAATAAAAGATATGTGATAACTTTGTACAGTCCTTTTGGCGCTAGGTAGATACTTAAAAATGTATAAGTACATATTATAAAAGTAAAAAATTATGAAATATTATTGCGAATAGTTATTTAAATATTTAGATTACCTACCTACATACCTTCATTGTTTGTACTCAAATAATAATACAAATGTACAATAAACCCCCCCCCCAAAAAAAAAAAAAATTAAAATAAAAAAATATCAAGGCTTTTCGCTATTGTCTCTTTTTGATATTTGTGTTTTGTTGATTACTGATAAATCATTCCATGATTGAACTTCAGCGCTTCCAAATATAATATAAATCAAATTTCCTAGGAAGAAGATACCAGCTGAGATTGCAAACACAACATTCCATTCTTCCTTGTTATTCTAGAATTTAAAAAAAATTTTAATAATGAATAATTTTTTTTTTTTATAATGATGTATCTTACAGTGTCTTTCACGATAAACCCTACTAATAAGGGTCCTAATATTGATGTTACATTTGAAAAACTATTTGTAATTCCCATTAATGTGCCTGCGAAATTTGGTGCTAAATCCATATGGTTAGACATAAAACCAGTAATAACACCACTATTCAGTCCTAGAGCAGTAGTTAATAAAATTATTGCCATTGTTGTTGATGTGTTTAAACATAGAGCCATCAATGCCAAAGCTCCACCCCAATGTGCTATGCTATTCCACATTTTTTTCTGGTGTGTATTTGACATCAAACCGTGTAAGTTGATGTAATCGCTGATCCAAGAAAATATTAAGATTAGAATCCACATGATCAAGTATGGCATTGCTGATAAAAATCCATTCTAAATAACAATTAAATACAAAACAATAATAGCAGAGTATGATGCAAATTTAAATTCTCCAAAATGTTTACCGATTTAATATTAAACTTCAATATATAATTAATGTAAGTTGGCATATTTGTTAATAAAATCCAGTATCCCCAATTTTGTGTCATATGGACAATAAGTAGCGTCCACATAGGCATGGACTTAATTATCTTGCTCCATGGAGTTTTTAAAAGCTACAAACAATATTTATAAATTAATTTTCTTTATAGGGAATTGTATTTATTTACCTTTGTTGATGTCGTACTACTTAGTGAGGCCATAATAAATTGTCTTTCTGTCTCACTTATACTCGGATGTTCTTCTGGACTGTTAGCTCCCAATAAACCATAGAATATTATCCATACTAATGCTACAACACCGCCTACATAAAATATAGCGGGCCATCCTCCTACACTATCAACCAAAAGTCCTGTGATGGGAAGCATAGCCAATGAACCAAATTGGGTGCCGCTAAATACAAATGAAATCAAACGACTTTTTTCAGGTGTTGGTGCCCATTTTGATAACAAAACATTTACTGTAGGAAATATAAAACCCTAAAACAAAGGTTTTTAACATTTTAAGAGTATAATTATTTATTATTGTTTATTATTGTTTGTTAACCTTCAGATAATATCTAATATTTTCTTATGGGTTTAACATTTTAAATATATATATTTTTTACACATTGTAATTCTTGTACATTTGGCTATGACGGCTAGTCAATTATGTTAACCTATGGGTCGATATCATATTTTTGTAATTAACTTGGGTTTCTTTTAACTCACTTGGGCCATTCCTTGAATCATTCGATTAACACACATTAGTGGTACACCACCATGTATTGCTGACCATGGAATCATTATTGTTAAAACACCGCTGACTCCTATAGCACCAACTAAGAAAAATTTACCTCCATATTTCTGGGCCATTTGTCCAGCATATATTTGAGTAATTAGATAGCCCCAAAAAAACGAACTTAATACTGTGCTTTTTGATGTTTCGTTCCATGCAAATGTCTAAAATGTTAATCAATTATTTCACAATAGATATATTATTACTCAAGCTCACTATTGTTAGAATATTATAGAGGTACATTAGTTACTTACAACAAAATTTTTGTTAGCACTTGAATTATTGGTCATGGCCACAATGCCAACAGACAAATTGACTCTCAATGCGTATGCAATGGCCATACATAAAAATAGAAGAAATATTTGAACTTGTCGTTGGCCCCATGAATGTATTTCTATAAAATAATTTAGTACAGATTATTATCTTATAGATTTCAATGATTTCACCTTGAAAAAGAGCTAATAAGTATTAAGTATTCATTTTGTCCATCTGCCAATAATACCTATGCACAAACTATATAAATGCTAATTAAGATACTAGAAGTACTTTTATTTGGGGTATTTAAAATCTATTTTTTTACCTATAAACTTAAACACTCAAAATTTGAACCGTATGGTCTCTATTTTTATAGGTTGTTGAATATATATATACAGTGAAATTATTATAATTTTAAAAATGTTTTCCTTAATTTCTCTAACTAAAAAATATCCTACATATACTCGTATTATGAATATAGCAATCGTTCGGTTTTAACCAAGCCTGCTTCTTCAAAATTAAGTTAAACATTAATTAATAAATAATTAATGAAAATACATCATTTAAAATCTAATAAACACCTATAGATTGTACAAAATAATGCAAAATAACAGCGTTTTAGCACGTTAATTTACAAATGGAGGTTCTGAACGTCTCTTAAATGTCGGTGTATATATTTTATGTATAGAGATATTTGAGGTAAGTATACTAAAATAATATGTTGAACATTTAGTATAATTTAAATGTATAAAAAAATGTTTATCACAGAAATACCTATTAAATAGTTTTATAACGAATTTGTGTGTGTATAATATATATAGATATAGACATACCGTTATATGCCTTTTATATTATTCGTGTTAGGTATCTATTTAGTTATTTTTGAACTTTAAATTTTGTTAAGTTATTTATTTTAAAATGTTTATTTTTAAATAGTTATTCGTGAAAAGAGAAAAACGGACCCGGACATTTTACCGATTAGAATGAAAAAAAGGTTAAATTATGTTAGGTAAAAATCATTCTATCATTAAAAGGTGCGGCTTTTTTGATTAATAGTACTTTATCTGAGACATTTTTCAAAACCCCCCCCCACTTTCTAAATTTCCTTTTTTAATCATCTAATCGAATACATCGATACATAAATCGATACATCGAAATTTAAATTGATTTATGCAACTCTACTTGGATGTATTACTCATTTATTTTGTGTTAATTTAAACGGTACCTATTTATTATAAAAATAATATTTGTTTTTCAGTTTGTGTAGATAATTGTACAAAGGGCACGTAATATAATATGCACTATACGTCTATATATCATAACTAGTATAAATGTGCTGGTCATGCAATAATATTTATCAAAAAGATAATAATATAAATGATATACTATTATGTAATACATTTTACATTTGGTATAAATCCAAAAATTATTATAATATTAGAATTTATTCGAATAGATTAGGTACATTACATATACATTTATATCCTATTTATACATCTCACACCAGGGGTGTCTAACCTGCGGACCACAGTAGATTTAAAATCTAGGCCTTAAAGGCCTTCACTTCAATTTCAAAATCATCAATATTAATATTACATGTAATTAATTTTTAGATTATAATACTAAAAAATATTAAAAATTAAATAAACTTTAAATCGTTTAATAGTATATAATATAGGTATATATTATGAAAGTTTTTTTTTTTATATTGGAATCCAATAGCAATAAGGAAACTAATGTAACTAAAACAATTGTGCAATTATTTTTAAATGTTTTTTTTCTTTTAATTATAAATAAAATAGCTTGTAAACATGTTTTTGCTCATTATTCCCCATGGTAAAACTATAAATAAAATGTATTATTATTAAAATATATGTGGCTAACAACAACATCTACTTACATGATGTGGCCCCAGTCTTCACGAAAGGTTGGACACTTCTGTCTTACACGATGTAAATAGTTTATATTATAGTTAAGTAGGCAACCTATTGTATATACGTATGAGTTTATAAAATTATATTAACTATATAATTTAAATTCTAAATAAGGTTCTATATATTCTAGATTCTTTAAAATATAAACATTATTATCTTTATAACAAATTTAATATAATTTTACCATTTTTTCCTTCGGATTTTGCAATTACCTCCATAATGAATTGATTTTATTTTAAAATTGTTATGATTTAATTACGAACAAATAACGATAATAATAACATTTATATAAAGAGAGGCACATACGACATAATAGACTGTTTATAAAATACAAACTAACTAGTCTATTCCATAAATCGTGCTGATACCACGGTCTATTACAATTTCCACCTCCATCGTTGCTTTCTTGGTAACATTACACGATGCATTTATAATAATCAATGTCCCACAGTCCATACAAATTAATTTGCTTTTATATTTTTTATAAAACAGGACCGGATTTAGAAAGGGAATCATTCGTAGCTCAGAAGTCTTATATTTTTTTATAGTATTTATTACGAAACTTAATAAAAATAAAACTATTGTAATTAATTGTATTTATATTTACCAGAGACTATAAACCACATTTATTTTTACAAATATTAAAAATAAAATTCTATTATTTGTTTTTATATAGGTACCTACTTAATTTTAATAATTATTATATTTTAATTACAAAGTTTGCTTAATGTTCCATTTCTCGTTTTGTAAGTTAAACTGATTTTAGATTTTAAGTAAAACTTTTAATTTTAGAGCGTAGCAAGGAATGTATTGGTTTTACAATGTTTATTTTTTTTTCTGTTATCAACTTTTGTACCAGAAATTTTGCTCTGAATTATTAAGTGTAGTACCTTTTCTGAAAGTAAATGTTACCTACTCGGTAGTTTAAAAAAGTCATTTTTCGATATTCCAAGCGTTTTTCATAATAATTGGAATACAATGGGAACAAATGTAGGAAAAACGGAAAATACACGTACATATTATATAAAACAAACTTCACTCCGAATCGATTTTTGTTAGCGACGGTTTGTGCAGAAATAAATTAAATTCTTTATATTCTATCTTCCTAACTTTTCACCTACAAGGCTACAACAGATTTTGATGGAAAAGGTGGTGAAATGTTTCCTTTTAAAACAATATTATTTTGTATTATGTTAAACCAGGGATGGCAATTATTTTTCGGATCAAGTGACAATCATAATGTTTTAAAACATGAAATATTCTCTCGGGCCAAAAAAAATGTCTATTTACTAATGATAAAAAATATAAGAAAAAATAGCATTCATTCAAATACATAATATTACATAGATCAGCGGTTCTTAAACTGTGGTCTGCGGCCCCCTGGGGTTTGCGATAATCATGTCGGGGGTCCGCAGTAGCCTTAATACATAACATACGAATGCTGCATACGAATTGCGTCCCAAAATAAAAAATCCGATAAGCGACTACACAAATTGTGTCCGTTCTCCCTGCAAATTATATATTTATAAATATATTATATTTTGCGGTTATATCCCAGTTTTATACAAATTATTATTTTAGTATGTGTGTCGTCTGTTTAGTCGTAGTTTACTCGTTTTGTTATAACGTTGTACTTGTACAATTTATATAGTATTCGATCTCGTTTGTGTAAGCGTTGGCGTGATTTAAAAATGTTATCAATAAAATGATATTCGGTGATTTTAAGTGAAAAAAAAAACTTTATTTTGTGTATATATTATGGATAAAAATTTCGTTACCATAAAACATTGAAGAATGGCATTAAACGTTGAAAATGTCTTAGTTGGAAACGTCTTAGTCGTATATTAAGAGCAATACGGTAAAAATGACGTTATAGAACGTGCATAATCATATTGAAGAGTCTGTTGAATTATTAAATAGAAAAAACCTAGTACTAATATAAAGCGAAATGATTTAAACGTTTAATTGCGTAACAACGACCAAAATCAATGTTTTTAACCTACCAAGAGCGTAATAAGTTGCTGTTGACAGTCTTAATAATAAGTCTATATACAATGGGATGGAAAATAATGTTTTTAAGCTGAGACACAATTCGAGGAGTGGTTAAATATTAACGGGATGCAATTCGTATAAAAAAGGGATCTTGAGACGCAATTCGTTTGCTACGATAATATACGTCAATACGTGATATGAGTGCATTATTACACTATTGTTGAATTGTTATTTTTATTATTTAAGAGATAGATCTATTTTATCTTATATAATGGTATAATAAATATATATATATATATTGATATAATGGAATTTACCTAATATTTTATTATTCATATTTATTTATCAATTTTTCTTGTTCATACGAAATATACAGGCATACAGCATTCATTTTTGGTTGCATGTTCTAAAAGATTATCCAGAATATCGAGTGAAGCTCTGAAAATTTTAATTTCATTTCCTACAACTTATTTGTGTAAAAAAGCCTTCTGTATTATTAAATTATTAAGGATAAGTTTCGGAATCGAACAGAAAACGTAGAATCTGAATTACGATTAAAGCTCTTCAGTATTGAGCCCAATATTCAAAAAATGTCTCAAATGCAACACCATCGATAGATGGTTGATCATGATTGATCATGAGAATCTTTGCATTTCGTATACTTATTATGTTGCGACTTAATTGGATTCAACTTTTTGACTCCATAAAAATACTTAAAAATTTGAGACAAAAAGAAAGTAAAATTGTCAGGAATATTTTTTATGTTTACAAATTATTATACCTAAGGTATTAACTCAATTTATGTTTATCAAAACATGTTCAACTTAATTTCGTTCAGTATTGTTTAGCAGTGATTTATTGTTGCGTAGGTACACTTATAAGTCAAATTTACCTGTAATATCCCATCTCCTTTACTTCGCACTCATAACAGTGCACGCTCATGGTGTAGTTATTTGTAGGTAAATATTTTTTAATTTTTTTTTTTTTTGCATATCATTCAAAAACCTATAGGTACCTATTGTTCTCTCTATCAATAAGTTCAATATTATATCACTGTATTTGATTATTAGTATTATAGTTATAATGAGTTATCATATTTATTAGTCGTTACTCATAACCTATTATATTACTGTTGCCTATAGTCATTTTAATCGTTTAACTGTGACTAGATGTCTAGGTCCCTAATTAAAATTCTAAATTAGTACCTATTCAATATTTAAAAACCTGTCATTTGGTTAACAATTGTCCACAGTTTGTTATTAGACATAATTAAATTTCTCTTTTTCAATTTAATTACGTATACAGGTATTTAATTACCTTAATAATTATACTTAATGATTTTAACATCAATCAGTTGTATTAAGATGTTCAGAAATAAACAGATTCTATAGTTTCAAGTTGATACTCCTTACAAAACAATTTTTTTTTTAATTTCTAACAGTGAAACAATAATAAGTAATAATGTTACGCAGAATTTTAAATTCTTATTATTGGCAGAGTTTAAGATTATAAATAATAAAAGTTAAGTATATACAAAAGATTATTTTTACAATCTCAAATCATGTTCATACGCTATAACAACCTACATAAAATACCTAATAAATAGTATATTCTCTGATTAAAAATAATTAATTTTGTAATCGTAAACAATGTGGTGGTGTCTGTATTAGTAAATTAAAATATAATTATTATATTACTATTCATCAATTAATTACGTAGCTTATTTGAAAAAAAAATATATGACTAATCTAATAATATAATTTGTTTTATTCAAAGTAGATAATATTATTTATATATTATAATACACAGATTATTATAAAAAAGTTCATCGTGTATGTTACTGTTAACCTTCATATCAAAAGTAATAGAATAACTCTACTAGAGTTCATGAAAATAAACAATGCTTGATAATATATAAATTCAAATCCGTGTGAATAAGTACACATTATTGCTAAATCATTCAGTATTTTCTAGAATATTTTATTTGACAAATTATAGTTTAAATTTGATAGTAAACATATAAATAATAATATTGTATAATGTGCATAATATTTTCCGGTATTGTATATATGTGTATAAAAAAAAAATTATAATTCGTTTTAATTTGCTAATTATTTGTGTTTTTTTTTTAAAAAAAATTTATAAAAGACCAACTAATTCAAAGTCTAAACTCGGAATCTTGGGGGTTCCAGACCCCCTGGACCTCACCTCTCCGTAAAACCACCACTGAATATATTTATAAAGCACCTAAATATATACACTAACAAGTATTTTATTAATAGATAACCTATCGAACTAAAACATTATAACACATTTAAAGATATTGTAGGTAAGTACTCAAACTGCCAAATATATATTTATTATTTACATTAAAATTATAATGTATGTGCCTGTGAGTAAAAAACTATCTTATTGTCTTACTGTAGGTATTGTGTATGTATCCGTGTCATGGATCATTGAAGGCAATGTCAAATTGCCTTGCTATCATATTTTCTTAAATTGCACGTTTAGAATACGTAAATGTATTAATCATCTAATATAGTTTGGCAATACTATGTATTTAATAATATACTTACTTAACTTATACTCGTATATTGTTTTCATTTTTCTATACAATGACTTTCTATAATTTTTTCAAAATATTTTAATTTGGATCTCCTTGGTATGCTTGGAACATCCAATTAAAGTACATGATTGAAATTCATTGTTTTATACTGACCTATTACATTTTAATGTCCAGCCTTCTTGAGGTTTTCAAATATTTAATACAAGATAATTTTTAATAACAAAAAATGTTTAGTCTTTAATTCAAACTATTATATGACAGACATGGTGAATTAATGATATTTTTATTATAGACACACAACTAATGTCCATTAAATTGTCTTTAATTTTTTTATGATTTCAAACTCAAAGAATGTATAAGAAAATTAATACATAGTACCTACAGGAATTTATACATTATATTTCAATGATAATGAATAATGTTTAAATCCATTTCGAATTCATATGTAGGTAGGTTAGGTATAGAGTTTTGCCATATTTGATCCCATCAATAACTATATAACCTATACATTCCTATTTTGATAACCATCTAGGTATTCAATATGTATGTATCTATGTAATATTCTTTCATAATATTTAATAAATTTCATTTTTTTTCACTTGTTGTAACAATATCAATAATTATTCTTTAGGTATGAACTGAAAGTTTCAACTCTAATAAAATATATCTGAACTGATCAATGGAATTGATACAACATATTTATGGTAAATAAATAGATAAATAAAAAATGTGTATATAGAAATAAAAAATTAATTAATTAATTAATTAATACGTCGCCTAGAGTATTATGATAAGTGTATTATTAAGTGTTATATTATTGGACCGGTTTCAAATTAAAAAATCATCATCAGGTAGATCACAGTCAAAATATAAAATGCACTGAATATAAAAAAATAAATGAAGGAATACATAGTAAAAAAAATATACAAATTGTTCATTTTACATAGAAATAATTTATTTTTGTCAGAGAGATTATTTAAAATGGGTTATTATTAAACATAGATATGTTACGAAATATAAATTATTTGATTATTATTTATTATCTAAAATGTATTGATATAAGATATTATTTTTAAAATCGTTTTGTACAATTAAAATATTATTAAAATTTTTTTTTCTTTATGTTATTGGGTATATGTAATTCTTCTAAAACTGAATTAATGTAAATATTATTTTGGGTATTTAATATAATTAATAGTCCTGTATTAATATCAAAGCTTATATTATGGATATTTTCTAAAACATGTTTAGCGGAATTTGAATTAGGGCAGTTATTTAAATTTAAATTATTTCTATAGGCTATATTATAGATAATAATGAGCTTGTGTTGATAATTATGTTTATTTCATGAAATACGTTCAAATCTATAAAATATTGAATTAAAAAATTATATTTTTTGAGAATAAGGGTGGTTAGAATCATGTGGTATTATAGCATCAGTTTGTGTAGGTTTCCTGTAAATATTAAAATCAAATTTATTGTATATTATAGAAACTGTAAGATCTAAGAAATTTAATTTATTATTTTTTTGTTTTTCGAGTATAAATTGAATTTTTTTGTTTATTTTGTTTAAGTAGTTAACTAAATTTTCTGCTTTTCTATTTGAACCTATAAATTAAATGAATGTGTTGTCAACATATCTATAATATGCTTTTACATATGAATATTTTATCAGGCTTATTATAGTAGGTTTTATTCGTGCTGTTTATTAAGTTACATCTTGTTTAATTTTGATTTTGAAATTGTATATAATTTATAACGGATTCACACTGTATTAATTGTTTTTAATTGATTGAAAGTTTAATGTTTGATATGTATTGAATTTATTACCTTTATTTAATAAGTTTTTTTGACTTAATTGAAAATTATGAAAGTTAAATTACTAACTTGTGGTTGAAAAGAATGCGGGTTATTAAGTTGTAATTTTTGTGTATTTTGTGCTACTAAAATATTTATTTTAATTTTATCATTTAACCCTACGCTATTTCTTATTTTTTTTAGGTAGTAATTTTTGTTGGATATGATTTTTAAAGTGTGAAATTTGTAAGTGGTTTAAATTATGAGATAAAATTGTTTTTAAATTATTAATCTTTTCTACTATTACGTGTTTTTTGTTGAATACAAATTTTTTTTCAGAGTTCAACTATATTGTCTCTGCTCTTTTTTTGGCTTTGATTGTAGCTTCAGAAGTACATTTGATATGCATATTGATGTATTTTGGAACAACTTTCAATTTCTTACAAGTTTAATTGAAGTAGATATTTATATTAGGATTCATTAATTTCATGTTTAAATATTCAATCCTGTTCATCAACTGAGTTGGAACATTGGCTTGGCCTGACATAATAAATAATAAAATAATAAAGTCAAAACAAAATTATTAAAATGGTTAATACTCGTAAATAAATATATAAATACAAAATGTATGTATAAAATTAAAAAGTAAACAAATGAATTATTGCATCGCCTGGAATATTATAAATAAATTGCTTCAATTGCTTCAAATTAAAAATTCATCATCAGGTCATATCACAGTCAAAATGTCACTTATCATAATACTCCAGGCGATGTATTAATTAATTAATTAATTAATGTATTATTTCTATATGTACATTTTTTATTTATATATTTATTACAAGTACTTACTATTTTAATAATTTTGTTTTTATTTTATTATTTTATTAAACAACATATTACTTATATAGTTTAAATATTATAAATTAATGCACAAACAAATCCAAATTATTTTTTTATTTTAATCAAATACAGAAAAAAAAAACTTTTAGAAATAGATGAATAGGATCTCAAGCGTATAATAACGTTGGATTTAGTCTGATTAGGTTCCAGATGATTTGATTTTCAATGATATTATTCGAAGACTTTTTATACCCAATGTTAGTGGTTTTGCAAATTACATACAATATATAAATCATATTCAATGACCTAATTCAATGTTTAAATGATCATTATCACAATTTGCAAATTGTATTTATTATAATCTAAGACTAGGTTTAGACAAATCTCAATTCTAAAATCAAATGGGCATACTTTGCACAATGGGTGGGCCACTATTGTAGAAGAGAAGTTGGAAAGGTAGAAGGGAAGTTTAATGTATATTTCTATGCAACAATAAATCATTGATAATGAAGTTAGCAGAGTTTGATTATACATGTTTTGAAAGGCCTTAATATTCACAATTTGAAAATAAATTTTACATATTTTTTCGTTTTTTCATTTATTGTGTAAGCACCTGAGAAAATTAGGGATTATCATATATATAGTTAAGGATATTAACATCCCTAAAAAGTACCATCCCAGGAAAATTTCCTTTCAGAAAAGGTGCTACACTTGAAAATCTGAGGAAAATTTCTGTTAGAAAAGCTGTTCAGAGAAAGGAAAAAAAATAATGTCTTTGTAAAACCAATAGGTACATTTCTTCTACCAATTAGAATTTAAAAGAACATATCAAACGAATTTGGGGTAGTATTACTCAAAACAGTTTCAACTTTTAACCTTAACCTTAATACATAGACATAATATATCTAAGCCTTGATACCTAGGTATTACAGTAAATACTTTTTGATGTCATTCAAATCCAGCTAATTGTATTTGTTTAGCAATTATTATTTAGTACACTACCGTGACAAATAGGTAGGTAAGTACCCATCTGTACCTATTTGTTTGACTTATTTACTCTCACTAATTAAATTATTGATGTTTAAATAAATACAAATATTTGTTTATTAAATAGGAATATATAGTATTTTATTTAATCAAATGATTATACATAATATAAGTTACCAATATAATGTATGATTAGCATATTATATGCATTTACTATAAAAGATAGTATAGGTAAATACCTATATTTTATTTTATGATTATAATTCAAAATGATAGTCAAGATTAAAATTTCTATAGAAAATAGTAAAACAATTAAGATAGGTATAACATTTATAATTTAATAATTTAATTAATAGTCATTAAGTGCTAAACAAAATAGTTATTCAAAAATAGTAATATAAATAATAAATATATAAATAATTTTAATAGGTTAGATAGTAGTATTATATATAGATTACAATTTTAAATAGTTTAAATTTACTTATATAAATACAATTTGGCACAAATGTAGAAATATAAATCTTATAATAATTTTATAATTAATTATGGGCGACACACAATCTAAATCTAATAATATGAGGGTTTATTTTTAATATGAATTTTAATTTGTACTACAGGTACTGTGTATAGATAATTTATATTTGAAATTAAATAATTAGATAGGTGGTTAATAATTAAATATACAGTTGAAATAGTTAAAATTTAATAAGTATGTTGATTATGACAAAAACAATGTTTATGTTTGGATTTATTATGTTTAGGTTATTATTAAAGTTATATGTTAATCGAATTTTCAGATATATGTATCAAATATAAAATTGTAGAGATTAAATTTATAGTATATTTAAAATAAGCATTTTGCTTATTTTATGAATGCAGAACTAAACAAAGCAATAATTAAATTTCTTTTAATTATAAATGTGTATGATTATATTATCCTTTGAAAAAATATTTGAACAGTTTACCTAACCTATAGGTGTAACTATACAATTTTTTAATATAAAATATGTCTATATACTTTTTAGTTTTACATTTTTTAATATTAATTAAATAACCTGAAGTTTTAATTATGTAAATTACTTTATTCAGCCTAATATATTGAGCATGAATAATTACTATTGAATGCATAATGAATAGTTGGATATCTGTATACTAATGCATATTAAATATTTTAGGTATATGAGATTTATTGATAAAATAATTTACATAATTAAACAAATAATTATTATTAAAATAAGTAAAACTATAGGTATGGTTTTTAAATTCATAATTTTAAATTGTATAGTATATTTAATGTAATAGGCAGACAAAGGCACTGTTTTTCAATAATATTTAGAATATATGTATTTATTTAATATATTATTATATAGTATGTTGTTATTATGTAGCAGGTAGGCATATTATTAATTTGATAATTTAAAATGTACAAAAAACAAAAAAAACCAAAAGTTAGGCATCTCAACTATAATTATATGAATTTAAGGAATTTAATATTTTAGAAATAAGAATGATACATTATTAAAAGTCAGTTAATAAAACAATTATTTACATTCTATCCAGAAGCATAATTTGAAAATGTACCTATGTATATCAACAGCATTTAGTAGTTAAATTTGTTAGAATTTTAGCAAACTATTCATTTGAATTTTCTACCAACAAAATAAATATTTAAATAATTGTTCACACAAATATTTTAAATTTCATATAATAAAATGTATTGTTATTTGTTTCATAGTAAATTATCAAACTGTGCACAAACATTATGTAAATTATATAGTGATTTGATTAAAAATTTGAGAAATTAACAAAATTGAATTGAATTTATATAATATTATAATAATTAAGAGATATCCAGCATAAAAATGATGTCATATATCTATGTTAAAAACTGATAATTTGAATTTTATTGTTCACAGTATCACCCATTATTTGAACTTGGATTAGTAGACACTAGACAAGTGTCATTTTTAAATCAAATTTTTCACGGATCTCGAGTTTAATAATATTTGTTAAAATGTCCACTGTATTATTTAAACAAATATTATACTAGGTAATCATTTTTAATTTTGAGCATAGGCGTGCGCAGATAGTATTTTAAAATTAAAAATTATAATGTACTCACATTGTTAAAGGTAACTTTAGATTATCATTGGTCCTTATAATAATATAGTTTTGTTTTTAAATTAATAGTAATAATAATTTGATAGTGATTGATATAATAATTTTGATATCGCTGTTTTCAAGTAAAATTAATTTAAATAACTCTCACAGTCTTTTGATATTAAAAATAATAAATCTGATTGTTTAATGTCAAAAGAATGTTATAATTATTAACTAAATGTAAAACCCAATTAATAGGCAATTGGAAGTAGTTGTTAAAATAAAATAATTATTGAGGCTAATGCGCACGCCTATGAACTTGGAGTTCTCTCGGATCAAGTTTTGTCGGAACCAACTAGATCGCTAGATCCAATAGAACTAATAGTCGAATTGGAACCATGGTGTGTGCCCGAACTCTGCATCGACATAGTTCTTTCAGTGGTTACAGTGCCAATTGTACTACTGATGCCCATCAGCCCATGATAATTGCCCATTCTCAAGGCCCTCTTCAATTTGTCGGGATCGACACAGGAGGGGTCTGCCTAGAACAATAACATCATGAGCACTCATTTACAAACATAAACATAGTTATTGTTTGTACGAGTATTGCCCATTAATTACAATTATATATTTTATCTAACTAAAATTTTTGCGCACCTGATAAGCTAATGACGTCATGATCACCTCGTACGGAACTATTTTTAAAGGTTCCACTTCGTTCATAAGTACGTTAGCTGGTATTTTGTGGTATTGAATGGATGACATGAAATTTTCTATGAATACTTCTTTCCAGTCGACATTTGAATTTGTATCACCATATTTCATTGTCCACATGAGTGCAGCCTTAAATTCAATATTAATGAAGTTAATAGTATTTTAAATTTGTATAGTTTTCAAACAAATTTAAGATAAAAATTGTTAAATACATGCAAGACAAATTATTTTATATTTTTTACTTTGTGTAAATTTGTCATACAATTCTTGCATAGTTTGATGTCTCTTTTTGATTAGCTATATTATTCATTAGGTACTTGATTCAAATATTCCTTTTCCAAACTTGTTACTTTTTCATTACACAGATTTTTAAAAATTCTTTAGAAATATGAAAGAGACTAATAATTTTTAAATTTGGAGCGCAAGGAAGGATTTATTGGCTTTACGATTATGTAGGTATATTTTTTATTTTTTTGTGTGTGTGATAAACTTTTCCACTAGAAATCATGCTACAAAATATCAAGTGTAACAGCTTTTCTGAAAGATAATTTTATTTAGTTGTATTGGGAAGGTCATTTTTTGATTTTTTAGGGGGTTTTCAAAATAATTGAGAAAAACCAGAAAGAAAATTATAGGTAAAACTGCGAGTATTACGGCGAGCCACGGCGTTACGGATTTCTGTTTTTAATTTTTGCAACTGTTTTCAACCAGAAATATTGCTTCAATCGAAAAATGATGAGAGTCTTTTTTTAGAGTTAAATTTATTTTAAAATATGTATATCCACCGATAAGGAAATCATTTTTCGAAAAATATAGTTTTTCAAATAATTAGGAAAAACCGGGAAAAAACGTAGGAAAGTGTATAGCATGTGTTTTTTGTTGTTATTCAGTTAAAAATTATTGTAGAGATCTGTAAATTTCACAGAATATTTTTATTGGCCTTTTGTAGACCTTTTGAACATTTAATATAAGGTACATTATAAGTTGTATTTAGTGATCAAACAAACAAGTTTGTGTTTAAAACATTAGTATTTTATTAATCAATTTGTAATCAAATTTTGACGAAAGTCGTAAAAATTACTGTATTTCAAATTTCAAAATGTGTCTTACCGAACTTCACTCTGAATCATTTTTCGTTAGTAATGGTTAACGTTACGAACAGATATAAAATAAATAACATTATGTATTCTACCTTCCCAACTTTCCAACTTAAACAATGGCTGCACTCGTACCCAGTATCAGCTCTTTAGAATTTCTGTTATTTATTAAATCAAAACTATGAAAATATGATAAATTGTTTCTACTCTAAATGATTGGATAATCGATTGAATTTTATTAAAATACCATTTTTTTTTTTTTTAAATTACTATAATAATGATAACAATATTTGTGTAATTGAAATATAAGAGTCAATATGCAAGGACGCTCGCAGAAATTTTCTTCGGGGGGTGGGGGGCGCAGAGTGTATATAATATATACATTTATACATATATGTATAGGCAACATTTAACAGTACTACTTCGCGCGCTCGAACTAAGACAAACCGACATGCAATTATGTGAATATGATACCATAGAAAATACTATATAGACCACAAAGTAGATCATGTGATATAAACTCTAGATTACCTATTAAATTTTGTACAGACATATTCCTCGAGACTCTTCTATTCATTAATGTTTTCGGACACAACAAACGCGAAATTTAGTAAACAATGATTTCTATCAGTGAAAAAAAAAAAGCTTTTACAATAATTATAAAAATATACCATAACTATCCAAAAAAAAACAAGGGGTATTCCCCCCTGTTGACACCCTTGTGATTCTGGGGACGGGTGCGGCCACCGTTGTAGGTGAGTAGTTGGGAAGGTGGGATTCAAAAAGTTATTTAATATATACCTGTAACCAATGATAAACCATTGATAACGAAAAACGATTCGGAGCGAAGTTCAGTTATATATGTTTTGAATGGCCGTAATATTTACGATTTTCGTCGAAATTTGTTATAAAAATTCTTTTACAAAAATATATATTTATACTATACCTAAAGCTCAAATTTTTTTATCCACAAAGTATGAAATTTAAGGAACCTCCTGTTAAATTTTTTTTACAGTAACTATAGAACACAAATTACGTACAAAACTCGTAAAATTAAAATGTCTATAATTAGCTCAAAAATAGATCAAATATTTTTAAAATTTTACTACGTCTAGAAAAAGAAAATTTTATTTTTTTGTATAAAAAAAACAAAATCGAAAATAACAAAATAATTGTTTTTGTACATTTTTTTTTGTTATTTCTGTATTTTTTTCGGTTTTGATTAGTTATGAAAAAAAACCACAAAGAAAATCAAAAACGACTTCCTTGGTCATCAACTAGTTTAAAAAATTCAATAAAAAAGATTATTTGATGTTTTTTATTTGGAGCAATATTTATGACAGAACACATAATCCATAAAAGTTTAAAATAATGAAATCGTTGTGCCGAACTTTGAAAAAAATCGTATATTTTGTCTTAACTATTTTGAAAACTACTTCAGATTTCAAAAAACGACTATCTCTGTCAGTTTTTGGATTGGAGTAATATTTCTAGTAGAAAACATCGAGTTAACATAATAAAAAACAATGAAAACGTTAATACCGTGGTGCGTCGTAAATATTTGCCGTTTTACCTATACTTTTATTTTATGTATTTTCCGATTATTTCAAAAACCTATAGAAAAATCGAAAAATGACTTCCTCATTGCACCAACTAGAAAAAAATACCTTTCAGAAAAGGTGCAACAATCTATACTTTAGAACAAGTTTTCTGGTAAAACAGTTGTTCACAGACAGAAAAAACAAATATTGAATACACACACATATCATAGTAAAACTATTAAATTCCTCGCTATGCTTTGAATCTAAAAAGAAAAACGAGAATTTGCCACTCATAATAAAACCAATCCCCCTAGGAACACGGGAGGAGGTTAAATTATTATAGACTCATAATTTGCCATATAGCTTTTATTTTAGGATATACAACAAAACTGGAGGAGTCATCATAGTTAATTTGTAAAGTAATAAAATAAGAACCAACCTAATAAATACATTACAATAATTGAGTAGGTTAGGGTTAAGGGATTTAGCTTAACAATGGTTGAGAAAAGTAGAACTAATCAATACTTAGCTATTATCTGATTAAACATGGGTAGGTACTTGAAATTTAGTGAATTCGTCTGCTTTTAGTTCATCTCTACTTAATATCAACCGGACTACGTGCAGTGGTAATAGAGCAAAAGATCCCAAGTTTAACACCTCGTTTCCGTGTTCATCAACAAATTCCAAGACCTATTATCGACATTAAATTGAATATTATATAAATAGGAAAAATACGCTAGATACAAGTTATAATTAAAAAATGTATACCTTCTGTACGAGACTTTTAGTGCATTTATACTGTATGTATCGTTCTGCTGATGATAAAAGTGCACAAACCGTGTCTACGTTTATACAACACTGTACAAATCCTGTGCACGCTTTTCGCAAATCTTCTAGACCATAATAATCCGCTGCATTTAGTACTCCTATATTATATGTGACCGAAATAAAAAATGAATACCTATATAGGTTATATTTTACATATATTATAATAATTTGATTATATAATACATTATATATGAGTATTACAGGTATACAATGTTTACTTGACTCACCCAACAAAGTTCTGGGTTGCAAAGTTACACAGCCGGTGTGTATATATTCAATGAGCTGACGAAACACATCTGGTTCGAATTCATCTACTACGACTGTCTGATGTTGATTGGATTGAGTCTATTAAATGAGATGCAAATATTAGGTACCTAAAACGTAAAGTTATATAATTTGTTCCTTGACGTTTAGGGTAATAATAATGATTTATTATTTTTTGAATGTGTGGTACAAATGATAAACAATCAAAGTTTAAAAGAAATGATATACCTAACAATATTACCAACTTATTTAAAATAAAATAAAGTGTATAACCCACGAGTATTACTAGGTATATAAATATATTTATATTATATATTTTTTTAATTTTACACGTTTCGGCCATAAGCCATCATCACTCGATACTCATGTAACGTTATTTGTTGTATTATTTTGTATTAATTAATTGATGGCCTATAGTAGAAACATGTTGTAAAATAAACAAATTCGTATAAGTATTAGATATTTTTTTTTTATCTTACTTGTGTATTGGCATTTTTTACATTGAGAAGTGGTTCACTGCTACGCTTCAAAAACGTAGGACGTCTGAGTTTTGTAGTTTCTTTAGGTACAACTTCCTTTTTTCTTTGAGGACTCGGTGGTTGATATAACATTTTATGGAACACTCTGAAAAAATATAAATTTATATACTTGTAGCTATGTATGTATGTTCAGATTTCAGGGTACACCTTCATGGATGTATTTATAATATGAAATTTATTTCGTCGTGGACTTTTGAATGTTTTTGTTTATAATACAAGCCAATAATTAATATGATAAGGCCAGAGGAAAAAATTATACGTTAGTTCTTAATTAAGTACCTCGCTAAAGTACTTTATCAGTTAAGTTTACTTTCAGAATAAGTGCTGTTATTGTAAATCGGAGTAAAATTGCTGGTAGAAAAGTTGTTCACAGGAAAAAAAGGTCGAAATATTTTTCAACCAATAGGTACCTACATTTCGTACATTTTCCGGTTTTCCGACATTTTATCCCGGTTTTCTCAGATATTATGAAAACCGCTTGAAAAATCAAATAGGACACTCCTTAAGTACAATCTGGACAATATTATCTTTCAGAAATGGTACCGCGCGTACATATCGGAGAAAGATTTCTGGTAGAAGTTTTGTACACAGGAAAAAAAACATATTTGTAAAACCAATACATTGTTCGCGCTACATTCAGAATCTAAAATATGGGAAATATCTCAGATTTATTTGGTAGCGTGGAGAGTACAAAGAGGAGTCATTAAGAGAAAGCTTGTAAGAATGGGATGGAACATAGTCTTCTGGGACCTAGGTATGATCTTGTCTAAAGCGAGAGAAAGTAGAAAACAAATAGTTTTCCTACTAAGATATAAATTATGAACCTACAAGGTTTAGATGATGGTATAGTAGGAGAAATGTTCTTATACCTGTAGGTAGTCAAATTAGGAGGCTGACTTGACCATTGTTTAAACCACATTTGATCAATGAAAGTAGGTATTTATAAAATATATTTTACCGACTTCTCGCTGCTAATACTGCTTTTACAGCGCAAACAGGTTCTCTTGTATCACCAACTAAAAAGGTCACATCACATAATTCAGGCATACTAGCCAAAAACGCCATATCGTCGGCTAGGCCGTTTTTGTTTTCGAACACGCTTTGGTCAAGCTCGTCTTCGGTCGGTTCCATGTCTCCTTGTAGTTTCATCATTTACCACATATCTAGAGAACATACAATAAATTGATTACAATACAAAGGCAGAAAACATGGGGACTTAGAGTTGAATAGTTTACTAGTCAGGGTATTGCTGCTGCTCGCAGCCGACTACTATTCTTATTTTGGAAAAAGTATAGTGGTGAATCCAAACCTTAATTTTAAGGAAGGGTGGGTAAAATCATTTACAATAATGTTAATTGGTATACCGTATACATATACCATAATACAAGAAATTATAGTATACTACGTTACGGTGTTTGGGGGAGGCAATAGGATCATTTGCCTACCCCTAGATTTGCCACTGAGTGCTGCCGTGTCGTGTCAATGATTGAAACGATATGGTTTATTAGCTAATCCTGAAACTAATCGTAATTACTAAACTTGTCCGGTTTTCCTATATTTTTCCCCAGGTTTTCAGAATTGTTATGAAAACCGCTTGGAAAATCAGAAAAATAACCTCCATAATGTATCAAGTAGATCTAAAATTTGATAAAAAGGTTTCTTGTGATTTTGAGATTGGCGTAACATCTATGGTAAAAAAATTGTTCCCAGATAGAAAAAGTAAAAATAAAAAAACACGCATAGTAAAATCAATACATTTTCTCTTTACTTTGAATTTAAAAAAAAATCACACCATAGTAACATTATATACTACGTACCTTCGATTATGAGTTGATTATTAGTGAATTATTACTAAACGCCGACGAAGATTTCAATAAAATGTTGTATATCTCTAAATAAAATTTTAAAGCCATTTTTGATTGTTTTATGTATGCACTATTATTTAATTTTTTTGTTATATATTCGAATGACAAAGACTGCAAATGCAACTGTGACTGATTCTTTCTGACAGTGATTTTATTTTTAAGGGACTATTGAGCTTAAAACTCTATCCCCTCGTTATCTAAGGCAAACTATAGTATTTCGTACAAAAATACTACCTACATTATAATTACGAACGAATTAATAAACTCAAAATCGCAGGATCTGTATGAATACGTGAACAATAGGTCCTATAGTGTTTAAAATGTACCTACCTACTTCGTGAGGTTTACAAACATAGCCTTAATATCTTAATAAATATATCATTTTAGATTCTAGTGGAGCGAAAAAGCTAATGGTTTTACAAAGATGTTTATTTGTATTATTATTATTTTTTATCTGTCCCCGCAATTTTCCTACCAAAATATTGCTCTGATTTTTCATGTAACACCTTTTATGAAAGAAAGTCGGTGTGGAAAAGTACTTTAAAGAGGTCATTTTTCGATTGTTTCAAGAGTTTTCTCATCAAATTTGAAAAACTGAAAAAAAACGGAAAATATACGAAATATATTACTAAAATATTACGATTTTTTTTTCTGAGCACAACTTTTCTACTAACAATTTTGCTCTGATTTACGATAGAACTTTTTCTAAAAAGAAATTTGACCTGGAGAGGTACATTAAAGAGGTCACTTTTCGATTTTCTTAAAAGTTTTCCTAATACATTTGAAAAATTGAGAAAAAACATAGGAAAACCGGAAAAACGTAGAAAAACCGAGAAAATCGGTACAACATTAAACAAATATTATTAAAGAAAATATTTAGAGGCTATTTAATTATTTTACTATAATATGGCATATATATAGTTGACAAAGCATTACTATCAACTGAACTCCGCACAGAATCGTTTTTTCGTAAGCAATGGTTTATCGTTACAGGTATACAGATATACATTAAACTATCTATAACAGTGGCTGCACCCATTATTATTATCTTAGTAAGTCTTTTTTTTTTCTTAAAACTATATTAATAATATGATTGCATTTAATTATTTCTGAACCTTCGAAAAAAGGTCTTTTAAAATTACCAATATACTGAATTATGTAGGTGATTATTATTACAAAATTAAACATTATGTATTTTTATTACTACAAATTGTAAACAAAATAAGTTTTAATAAGGAAATTTTAAACAACCAGTAATAAATGGATTATTTTGGATAAATTACTATTATTCTATTTAATGCTAAAATAGCATTAAATAGAAGACTCACCCTTCCTGTTAAGGGGAGTGTTCAATTCACCGTGTCGTTTCATTTCGTGTATTTTAAACACGACACGTTCTTTTTTAATTGCACGGAATAATTTGTATGTGTCGTTTTACCAACAACCAACATTATCACTATTAATTTACCATACACCAAAAATGCGCGGTAATTATTATCGCACATTTTTCTTAAAATATAATATAATTATTATATTATATTAATTATGAATATTTATTATTATTTTACCATCAATATTTCACAGTCTCTACACTGTCTTTAAGTTTTATTCATACTATTTTCTGTCAAAAAAGGCGATGTCATTAAATTATTACCTAAACAGTATCCACTTTATTAATATTGTTTATTTGTTTTATACGATTAACTAATAAAAATAATAAAACCGTCAAAATTATTTTACTTAACTTTAGTTAGTAAGATAATATTGCTATTTTTAATAGTTACGTTCTACTAATAGATATTGATTTTAAAATACCTACTTGTTATTGTATTTACTAGTACTAGTTTGTGATTTGAATACAACAAAATGTTTGCATAAAGTGCATATCTGTTCCTAAAAAATTATACATTTTACGTTTACATAACATTAGATATTATTTACCTTCACAAAGTTCATATTGAATTTAAACTAGTATTAAAATTGAATATCAAATCACATTTAATTTTAAATTAAATTATTAAAAAAAGAAAATTTTAATACTAATTAAATGTATTATTAAAACACGACATTTACGTTACCACTACTAACGTCTAAAAATTGAATTTCATCAACTCTGCGGTATTCGCGGTTCACACGGTAAACATGATCAAAATGTGTCTACCATGATAATAAAACCAATCAGAAAAGAGTATTTCACATGAAACGAAACTACACGGTAAGTTGAAGACTCACCTTTAGCCTTATCATATTAGTGTCGACTAGGGCTACCTATAGTTTCTTTCAATCGCGAATATATTAGGAAGCCTAGATAATAATTAGGATGAATAAGATTATTATCTAGGCTCTCTAGAATATACTGTAGGTAATAGAAACTTTAAATTTGTCCTCACGGTGTGCTAACAGTACTAGGATACCAGCTGATTCAGATAAATAGTTCCCAGGTCATATGAGAGTTCGATATGCAACTCGTATATTATCATAAATCGTGCCTTCCGGACACCGTTATCGTTTATCCTTATCATTTCGGAAATTTATCCCTTACCATTATTATCAATATATTATGTTATCAGCTATTCTTCGATAGTAATATTTTTTATTATTGTACGTAAATATGTTTTTTTAGTTGTTTTTCCGTTCGAAATTGTCCGCGTAAAATCTAATTAATCAAATTATTATTTTAGTTGTTCGTCGTCGTCGTTATTATGTCGGCTGACTGACCGTTTCGCGCGTGTGCGCCAATGACCGATTATTGGCGGTCAAGTGTATGAGGTGAAAAGCCATGGACAGTGCGTCTGGTGGTGGCGGCCGCGTCAATAAATTCGGCATGGGTTACTCGTCGAACAAACGCCGGCATGCTATATTTTCCAAGAGGAAAATTGTCATCATGAAGAAGGTTAGTGTAAAATTATCATGATAATTTAACACTAAATTTACACAGCTGTGTAGTCATTTTACCAAAAATGTGTACTTCTTGGTAATATAAAAATCAGAATAAATATACATTTTGATTAAGTAGGTACCTATGTATTAAATATAATTTGTTCTGTTATCTTACAAATGGCATTAAAAAATTACTAGTGAGAATATTTTGAGTGGGCTAGGCAGTTATAATTTAAATGGTTTTTTGTTTTTTTTAACTGTATTATTAGTTCACTATAAAACTATACCGTATTGCAAATAAAATAATATATTTAGTAGTATAAATGAATAGGTATAACCTATAATTTTACACAATATTATAACATATCAATAGGTAATTAAAAGTATCCCATATTATCTTTTCTCACACTTTCTGATACATCAAAATATGTTTTATATAATTCAAACCTATTGAACAGATAGTACATTTTTTTAAACAATCTATCAACATTATTTGTTAATTTTTCAAAATATTTATTTACCTACCAATGAATTTTGAAGAAAATGTTTTTAATTAACTAATACAATTTATATTTACTCACATAATAATATGCAAAATGACATTTTAACAAGATGTATTGTATAACTATTTTCAGACCTCCCTCTGGGTGAAATATTATGCTAAACAGACCCCTTAAAGTTGTTGGTTATACTTAAAAAAAAAAAAAGATCTTCTGTATTAAACAGTTAAAAATATTAAAACAGATGCCTTATAAATTAGTTGATACATTTTATATTCTGAGTGGAACTAAGAAGCGTGTGGTTTTACAAAGATGTTTATTTATATTGTTATTTTTTTAGCACCTTTTCTGAAAGAAAATCGGTGTGGGGAGGTACCTGATAGAAGTCGTTTTTCTATTTTACCCGGAGTTTTCTCAGCAAATGTGAAAAACGTAGGAAAACTAAGTAAATCGGTACAACGTTAAACAAATATTATTAAAGTAAATATACAATACATATTTAATTTGTTTACTATAACATGGCATATATATATATATTTACTCCGCACAGAATCGTTTTTTCGTAAGCAATTTTTTATCGTTGCTCACTGATATACATTAAATTACCTATAACAGTGGATGCACTCGGTCCCCATTATCCTAGGACGTCCTTTTTTTTTCTGTGGACAACATTTCTACTAGCAATTTTTCTAAAATGAAATTTCACTGGGGAGGTACTTTAGAGAATACTACTGGCCATCTCAATTCCGATATCTGATACCACAACTACCAGCCTTACTACCAATGAAGTTTTATTATCACAACCGAATGCCACAACAGTTGAGGGAAAGAAAAAGTAGCCAGGTAGGGGCACTATTAAAGATAGTATGGTTGCGTGACGATAAATGAAAGTAGTGACAGGCACTATCGAATGGTATATATCATCGATAGTTTTCGATAGTTTGGATGAATTATCGAATAGTTTTTACTTTTTAATTTTTCCCCGATATTAAAAAAATATTTTTGTTTAAAATAATACAATTCAAATTAGTGTTATGGTCGATAAGTAAATAATTATACAAAATACTACCTGCAGTTAATTATACAAACTACAAAAGATACATGGTTTGGTGACTTTTGTATATAAGCCAACACTCAGCTGTCCCTATTTACCTAAATATACGATTTTTTGGCCCACTTTTAGAAAAAGGTCGTCGCTCAATTCTGCATAATTTTTTTTTATTAATACTGCATATTTCATATCGTTTAATGCAGCACACATTTTGTCTTTTGTTAACCAGTTACTGGTTCGTCTCCGAATCGTTTATGTTTGGTAATGTGGGGTAAATATATTACAAAACTCAAAATATTACTATAAAGTAAATTATTAATTGTTTATTTATTAAATAGGTGATTTCACTTAATTTAAAAGTTGTATAAATAAAAAAATAAATTGTAAAATGTTTTACAAAAAAAATCGGTTAAATGTGTAGGAATATATTTTTAAAAAAATTCTAACATCCAAAGTCAAGTGCAATGTAGATTGTGTAAAACATTGGTAGGTATTCAAATAACACGTTAAATTAATATATTTAGGTATATTGGAACTGTTGAGTATCGGCTTATATACAGTCACCAAACCATTTGTCTTTTGTATAGCCAACTGTAGGTATAGTATTTCGTAGAACTATTAATATCGTGGAAAAATACCGAAATGAAAATTATTTGAATAATTTTTCCTGTGACCGAATAAAAACTATTCTAATAGATTTCTATTGCGCCCATAACTACTTAATAGACGACTACGGAAGTGCTTACGGTGAATATGATTGCAAAGTTTTGTTTTTCAGCGTAAGATTTAAGCGAACACTTTTTAAATTTACTTTTTGTTCTTTGATCGGAGTCTCTCGCTGCATTATTAAGACATGAATCAAAGACATGATCGTGGTCATAACCGAATAAATTTTTTTGTGAATTCGTTAACCACCAGAAATCGCAACCATGTAATCAGTTGATGGTAAACACTTTCATTGACAGGTCCGGATTAAGGGGGGTATGGCCCTAGGCCCGCTCCTGCATATCATAATATTGTGGACCCCTGGCTTTGGCGAGTAGTACGTTTCCTATAATATATTATGGATAATGGATATATTATTATAATTATTATTTTTGTTAACGAAATATCGTCTATCGCAGGATGATCTTGGTAAGGAAATGGGAATAGGTACCGTCGATTACAAATATATGACGATCTCTGAAATATATTTATTTGTGAGACATTAATATTTTGATTATGTTTATGGGCTTTTAAAATTGTGTGGCCCTAGGCCCAAAATCATCTTAATCCGGCTTGTTCATTGCCATATATTCTGCAGGTTGTCATACATCGTCACGCAATCATACTATCTTTAATTATGGATAGAGGTTATTCGGTTTTTCAATGAAGGGGTGGATACTTAGATGAAGAAATGGTGATGGATATGCTTTGCTATGGATTCAGAGAGAGTAATATTTTAAATGAGAACGAGAGGATCTCAAATCAAGGTGACATGAAAGCATAAGAGCAATGCATTTAGCTTTATAACAATTTAAAATATGTCCTTAACCAATAATAATTTTTATATAAAACTATTTTCTTTAATATATTGTAATTTTACCTTTCAGGCATACGAGCTGTCGACATTGGGGGGAACGCAAGTAATGCTGTTGATTGTATCTGAGACGGGCAACGTGTCTACTTTTGCCACACAAAAGTTACAGCCGATAATTACTTCAGAAGAGGGAAAAGCGCTCATACAGATGTGTCTAAACTCACCAGACTCTTGTCCGTCGTTGTCTGACAACTCCGGGGACCCGTTGTCAGCCACCGGATTTGAGGAGACCGACAACATCGATGTCTATCACGATTCCAAAGTAAGACAGTTTGTGTTATGCCTAATAGAGTCCACCATCCGCATTATAAACATCTTTCTTAACACATCATTGTCATGTCCCCGCCAACTCATCTCATACCTTCGTAATTTATAATGTTAAATAGATGTACCATTAAAACCTAAAATAAAAACTGAAGAGTGTGAAGAAAACGACTAACGAAGATCATAGTTATAAATTGTGATTTCCCTTTATTCCACCCCAGGTGAACTGGCGTTTGCGATTTAGCAGTCATGTGAGTATAGGGTAAGACCATCCGGAAAGTATCTATTTGTCTGGATCATATAATCCCGGCAAACATTCTAAAAGTCTTATTTCTCCGGACGAAAAGGATAATAACTGTACTAATCCGAATTGTATATTTTTATGAAATTCACCCATACAGTTGATACTAATTTAGGTAATTTAAAACATTATTAATTTGTTTATATTATTTATTTATTTTTTCAATTTTAAGTATGTTCACAAAATAATCAGCTTTACTATTTTTACTCAAAGTATAAATTTGAGTATTTGATTTTGGTAAAATTAAGTGAAACTATTTGAAATATTTTATTTAGTTATTGCAGGTCGACCATGATAAACGTTTCTTATAATTTTTCGATCAACTACCCTTCAACACAAAATAGATTGATTTTAAATTTTGTCTATGATATTTTACAGGTTGTTTTAAACTTTACATGAATTACTTATTTTTTTAATAAATGACTTATTTAAAACCTTTTTATAAGCATATATTCTACAACTTTATGGTGTCTTTACTTTTGGGAGTGAATCGTCTACCTATTTTTTGGTTTTAAAATAGTTACCGACAATACAAATGCCTTAAATAGCCGGAATATTAGTTTAATTTTAATTCGGTGTTGATATTTTTGATTTCTGTCAACCCTTTAACGAGATATTATACTTTAAAGTTTGGGTAAGAGGAGAGTAGTGAAGGATTATTCAAACGTTGTGAACTGTGCTACCATATAAACGATGTTTCACCATTTTCCCTTTATCCAAACCTAAAAGTGAACTATCTCATCAACGGGTTGACGGAAATCAAAAATGCTAAAACCAAAATGTAATTAAATTAATATTTTGTATATTTATTGAATTTATAATATAAGTTCCTATTTCAAAGTATAGGTTACCGTTTCAAATCAAAAAAAAATAAGGGTAACAAAAACAAGGGCAACGTAACACTTTAGAATATATAATTCCAAAAAGTTTTTATTTAAGACATCTTTTGTTACCTATAGTTAGTTGATAATAATATGTTCTATGTACAGTAAAATTTACTTTTTAAAAATGGTTACGTGGTCATACTGATTTCTTATAAATAAGTGATAATTTTAATTTTTTTTTACCACGACTGTGTTTTCATGTTTATCTAATCAAAATTACACACAATCATAACAATAACATTTCAATATTCAATCAATCTACAGACATTAGCTTTGTCTCTAAACTAAATTGAATGATCAATGAATCATATTTTGTTTAACTTATTAATCATTTTCTTTCCGGTTTTTTAAATGTTCATTTGCTATAAAATCAACAACTATAATATGTGATTTATTAAAACCTTTCTATTAATACCAGTATATATGTAATGTAAGTATGTGAATTATAATAATATTGGTTCTATTCTTTGGTAAATACTATATAGGTCAAAACTTAAAAATTTAGTAAGTTAGTTGTATGGTATATGATTTGTATATCTTTTTATTGTTACTAGGTATCTTATTTGTGTGAATAATGAATTGTTTTTTATAGTGATTGTTTATGATTTTTTTTAGATAACATGCTTCATAATATTGTTTGTGATAAAAGTACTAGACTCAATAATTTTCATCTGAAATTTGCATATTAAAAATTATAAATATTTATACAAATTTATTATGTTTTCTTTTACTTTAAATATCTGTTAGATAAAAATATTTAAAATTATCAATAATTTGATTGTCCAAAGAAATACTGTAGCTTTCAGTCATAAATATTATTTCCTTTAATTTGTTTTTTTTTTTATGTATGATTAGTTATTTAAAATAGGTAGTTCTTATTAATCATTTAGTTTTGTAGCCCATTGCATATGCAATTCCTATTTGTAATTATATTTATTGTTTAGTTTAGGTCAAATCATATACTACTGTGTTTTACATATTGTTTTAGTTATACATATTGTTTTAGCTTGTATCACTATTAATAATTGTTAATTTTACTATGTATCCAACCTTTTATAATGTGTCTTTGATTTGCCATTTGGCGTTAAATAAATAAATTAATAAATTAATGTACACTATTAGTACCTTAAATAGTATTTTCAGAAGAAATAAATGTTTTCTAAATATAAGTATATTTCTTGAGAATTATATTTGTACGCTAGTAACATTGTCAATAATATTTCCTTTAAAATGTCTATCAATTGCTCTTTGTACTTATAATTTCGAATGTTTCATTATTTTTAATTTTATAGGAGACTATAGCTGAACAAAATTAATAAAAATATGAAAACCAAAAAGATTTAATCTTTAAATGTGATAAGTAAACATACTTTTCAATTATAAAAATATTACTTATGATCATTTTTCTTATTACTATTATATTATGTACACTATCTTACTAAGTGCCCAATAAAATAATAATATACTCAAATATGGTCAACTGAGTAATTCCTATCAATAAATTATTAATACTTTAATACTATTTTATTTGTTTGTGTTTTTTGTACTATCACTTAATTTCATACTAATATAAAATGTAAATTTTCAATACAAATACCACCACTATACTATCTAGTTAATAATATACAAAATGCCATTTTCATTTAACCCATCAAATTAATTATTATGTTAACTATTAAAACAAATTTAAACATTATTTTGTTTTTACTTGTAATAGACTTAGAGAAAATGAAAATAAATTGCATAAACTCAAAATGATAATGATGTTTTTAAAAAAAAAATTCAAAATATTAGTTTGGTTTTCAAAAAATATACTGGAGTAGTGATTTATTAAAGTATACAATGGTAGTAAATGGTTTAATATATTTAATACCAATGTATTATTTCCACTTCTTGATTTTAAATTAACATAGTTTTCCAATTACCCTCAACCCTACAGACAAACCTAATCTACTTTGTAATTAATAAAATAACTAATAAGTGAATGAAAAATAGTTTTAACTAAATGTAATACAATTTTGTTTTATGAGTTAAGAACAACATACAGGTATATATATATATATATATATATATATATATATATTTTAAATTAATTATTTTTGATGAGTCAAATAATGTGATCGGTTGTATTTAACAAGTAGTAATTTCTATTTTTATTAAATTAATTACAATAATTATGTATTATTTTTACTTTTTCAGATATTACATAAAAGAAAAAAAAACATGGCTCAAGTTACTACAAACACAGTAGAAACTATCACCATTACCAGACCTTTAAAAGTAAGTAGTTGTCATTAATTATAGATGTTAATTTGGGGTTATTCAATTGTTGTTTTATTAATTGTAATAATCATTCCACCAGTGGTTCTCAAACTTTTTTGTGAAGATAAAAGACAATATGTATATTTGTAGAATTTTACTCTGTGATTACTAAGTAAATTTTGATATTCATCAAAACACCAAATTCAAAGCTAAATTGATAAATTAATTTCTTATCATAATTAATTATTAATTGGTTTGCACGTATTATATCGGTTGTTAAATTTTAGTAATTAACTAAATATGTAATTCATATTTGATCTTTCACGATATTGAATATTCGTCCATAATTAAAGTAATTAAAGTAAGTAGCCAGTTGTGTTGTTATTTTAGTCAATAAAAGTCCCTAATAATGAAATTGTTATATTTTAAAATAACGCAACATATTCATCCTTTTGTTTGTTATTTTACATATAAATTTTTATTTATATATTCATTTGCTATATTTGTCATATTGTATTTATTGTTTGATTGAATTATTGATGTGTAGATACTTATACAATTTTATCAATAATAATAATCATGCTTAACTTAAGTATAGTTAGGTATTATAAAATATGACAAATAATTATAAAAAAAGCTGTCCTAGGATAATGTAGACGGGTGCAGCCACTGTTGTAGGTGGAAAGTTGGTTAGGCAGTATAAAGACGGGAATTTAATGTATCTGTTAACAACGATTAACCATTACTTACGAAAAAACGATTCTCAGAATTCAGTTGATTGTGTCGCTCTGTCAACTATATATTTGTTATACATGGGTAAAATAATTTCATATGCATTAAACATGCATTTGTTTAAAATTATATCTATTTTCCCGGTCTCTTGGTTTTCCTAATTTATTGGGAAAATCAAACAAATACCTCCCCAGTCAGATTTTATTTCAGAAAAAATACTATCATTGTAATTCGGAGTAAAACTGTTGGTAGAAATATTGACTACAGAAAAAAAAATATTGTAAAACCATAAGCTTCTTCGTTCCACTCAGAATTTAAAACTATAAATAATTGATATATATAAATATTTTATGAATCTCTTTTTAGAATTAGGTAGAATATATAGGTTAATTTAATTTATATCTGTATACAACAATAAATCTTTGCAAATTAAAATTTTTATTATTGTGCTATTAAAAAGTAAATGACATTTGTCCCGGGTTTTCGGATCAAAATTGTTGAGAATTCTCATGGAACTAAAAAAGGTTTAATCAATATGAATCGAAAACAGTACTTGAAATACTAAGATGTTTACAAATTTGAATACAGATTTTGGATATTTGTACAGTATCTTATCAATTCAAGGTTAACCGTATCAAATGTTTGATAGTTTTCGAGAAGCCAAACAATTAAGAATTTATTCTAAAACAACAGAAAGTGATGTATTGTTGTGTCGATAATGTCGGCGTTATTTGCCGACTACCGACGAAAGTGTAAGGAAAGTAAAAAAAAAAAAAAAAAAAAAAAAAAAATTTTTTCCCCTATTTCCCCAACGCATCCACCACCGGACAAGATTCGCCACCGAGAAACCACCGGCGAAGAATACGATTCATTCTATTCGAAAAAAAATTAAACAAATCGAACGTCGCGTTTTTGGACGAGATGCGAGCAAAACGTGCATCGCGACGGGTGTGCCGTAAATACGGAGCTTTCGTTCGGCCGGCAGTTGATGTGATGCGACATCAGCTTCAGTGACAAACGCGTGCGTATTGCCGGGATTATATCGCCGACGCGCCTCGCCGCGTTACCTACTCGGGCCGAAACGACGGCGACAGAAAAACGGTGCCCGCAAGGCATTGGTTGCCGTCTCCGCGGCACGGGCTCTACTGACCGCGCGAAAAGCGACGGGAGACCGCGCGCTCGTGTATTTCGCGTGAAAATAATATCGCAATAATTATTGCCCCGCCGATTTTATACTGACTTTGGACTCGACGTCGTATTGCCGTAGTTGTTGCCCCGGCCGTTCGCGCTCTAGAAACCGTGTAACGATGTCTCCCCGTCGTCGTTTGCGGTGCACCGGCGTCGTCGGCTCTTCCGTAGGTCTGCGGCTCGTGACGCGTTTAACGCGCGACAATAGAAATTTCGAAATAATTAATAAAAACCCCAACGGAGAAAAACAAAAAAAAAAAAAAAACAACTCCCTTCGCGAAATTTGAGGACCCGTCTCCGCGAACTTTTCCAACGGAGTCTCGCGCCTGCACTGATGATAGGTGGGCCGACCCGGGCGTGCGTGGTGACCGATGGTACACAGGGTGTATCCGCGGAACGACGAGAGCGTTGCGCGCACGGAATACTTTGGACCCCGGGGGGTAAATACGTGTCGCCGTAACGTTCATCTCCGCTGGTGTACAGCGAATTATGTAGGGCACGACTGTCCGGCGGGGGCGGGTAAGGGGTGCGCGGGGCAACGCTACGCTTCCGTGTACCGGCGCGTTGCGGCGACGCGCAGGGACGACGTCCCATCGATCGCGGCGAAAATGGCTTCTCGCGACGCCGAGCTGCTGCGGGGCAGGAAGGGTGGACTTTTGGAGCATGCGCCCCGATCCGTAATCCAAGACGGCGGCGTGCGTGCGTGCGTGCGCGGTTGAGTTTTTGTGTTTATTCTCGCGAGTGTGTTTTATTGACCTTCCGGCGAGTTGGAAATTGCCAAAACCGTACCGAAATTTCCGTGTTCCTGTGCACGCGCGTACACCCAGCCGAATATCGTCGCCGTTTTCCAAATAACCATTCGTCATTTTTCGCGCGAAAACACGCGAGACAATCTGCACGCGCCGACAATCAATTGCGCAAAACCGCTCGTAAGGGCCCCGCACAAACGTCGTATCGTATTGCATAGTGCGTATCCACGTACCCGACTACCCGTATAGACCACGTAGGGCGATTCGCCCTGCAGAACAGCGACAAAGACGGGCGCGGGACACGGCTGCAAGGTGATCCAGTCGCGGACGACCGTGGATACTGCGTGGCACCGGCGCCAGGATCTGTCGCTACATCCGGCGACAGCGACGGCTGCTGAAACGGAGGACTGGCACGGCAGGTCAATGCAGTCTGACAAGGGGTCCAGTGCTCAGGTTAGGAACGACGGAACCTGGTGCGACCGCTGCTGCTTTAACTGTCCACCGCTGCTACTCCGAGGCGCATTATATGAATTTCGTTGCGGTTTAATTGCACCATAATATCCCATTACATCGTCCCAATAAAATTAATATTATTATTTTTTTTTTTTTCTGCCTTATGTAGCGTTAAAAATTTGTATACACATTACACGTATAATAGAGTTGCCCAAATTCGTGGAGTCTACTGCACACATTTGGCATTTCTTATTATGTAATGACAATCCAAATTGGCTTTTTTTTTCTTTTTTATGAAGTGTTTGTATCCGTAATTTTATTGATTTTCCCTGATGTAAACAAACACTATTTTAAGATATGGAACAGAGGAGAACCAATAGGCCTGGCGAAACTTTTAAGTATCTCGATAAATAATAAAATATTAAAGTAAAAACAAAATTATTAAATGGTTAATACTCGTAAATAAATAAATGAATGCGTCGCCTGGAGTATTATGATATTTGTATTGTTCGAATTAAAGAATTCATCGCCAAGTAAAATTACAAAGTCAAAATGTAAAACACGACAGAATATGAACAAATAATGAATTACTTGGTTATTATTTATTATCTGAAATGTATTGACATAAGATGTTATTTTACCTAATAAACGAGATAATAACCAAAGAATTTGTATTTCTTAACATATTTATGTCTAATATTAAACTCATTTTTTTATAATATCTCCTATTAAAATTAATTATTTCCATGTAAAACGACCAATTTGTATAATTGTTCTCTACGTATTCCTTCAATTATTTTTTCGTATTCAGTTGAGTTTTACTTTTTGACCTTGTGATTTTACCTGACAATGAATTTTTAATTCAAAACCGGTCGTACAATACACATATCATAATACTCCTGGCATTCATTTATCTTTTTATTTATATATCTACTCAATAAATACCTCAAATTTTTTTGTTTTAAAATTAGTGCCCCAGAATGGAGATTATAGCAAAAACATGTTAACTTGTTAGTACTTATGCTGTTTAAAGTATTTAATTTATTAAGATTTAAAATGACAAATTGTTAGAAATTACCTAGTATTCAATCAAATCAAATTTGAATAAAGTATATACATTTTCGGACATCAATATAAACCAATAGGATTCTATGTTACAAAAATTCTGTTACGCAATCATAACATTCTTGGTAGTATAAATTGAACCGTTTAAGAAAGACAATTATTAATATAAAGTATTTTTAATTTTAAATAGTTTTTAAAATGATGTTTTGTCATATTTATCAAACTAATGTAAACAATTTTTTTATTCTATTATGACTTATGAGTTAGGACATAACCATTATCATATTAATATTTAATTTGTATAGTTTAGAAACCAATAGTAGATTCATAAATTCATATTTCTGTATACTACCTAAACCCTACCACCAACAATAAATCATATTTTAGTATACAGAAGTAGGTATAATTGTCTAAAATGTCCAAAATAAAACAAAATCTGTAAACAAATAAACTTATTAATAAAAAAAATATATATTTTCTGATTTATCGCTATAGCGAGAGTATGTTTTGTTATTACTAAATTTTTCAAAATAGCACGGCTGTTTGATTTTTAATATTTATAATAAATATTATGGGTTTCAAAAGATTGATATTTGTAATAATGTGTTGTATTAGTCATTAAATTATTAAACACATAAATCATTTGTTTTGTTAGTTTTAGAAAGTAATATAATATTAATTATTATTAATTAATTATTATTATGTTACGTTTTGATAGGTGATTGCTTTGATATGTGGCCTGATTGTAATTGTATTAATGTTGATGACGTTGACATCCACTGATTGGCTATTGTCAGCTGGCTGGCGACAAGGTTTATTTTCACACTGCATTGCACTCCATGCACCCACACCATTGCCATTCAATGTACCCAATAACGGTCCAGATTGTTATCCTACCCGTGAAGTTGGTATGTTTCTGATTTTGATAATTTTGTTGAATCTATTATTTATAAAAACTAATTGTTCATGTTTACTTAGGATACATAAGAGTGGCTGCAGCATTATGTATAGTCACATTAGTTACAGACATTGTAGCTACTCTATTGACAGGTCTTGGCTTAAGAAGCAAAGATCAGCGAACCAAATACAAGTTCTATAGAGTAGCTGTTTACGTTATGCTACTTTCATGTATGTATTATAATTTAAAAAGGAATCTAATTGTTCTGTATTGTTATTATTAATTGTTGTTTTATTTGCAGTACTGTCTTTGTTGATAGCATTAATTGTATACCCAGTGTGTTTTGCTGCTGAATTAAATTTGGGTAAATATTATGCTGTACATATTTTAAAATAACTATTAACTTTCTTTTTATATATACATTTGTTGATTTTTTCAGGGAATCGCACAGTGTGGGAGTTTGGATGGGCGTATGGTGTAGGATGGGGTGCCGGAATATTTTTGTTCGGTGCTGTTGTTCTTCTGCTGTGTAACAAAGAATCCGAAGAGATCTACTATAAAGAGCGAAAAGTGACATCGTCCGCCTAGTGTGCGGCGCCCCTGCCCGACGTAGTACTTTAGTGACCTTCTGCCGTTGGTCAGGCGACGGGCAGGGTGTTCTTATTGTTTTAATAATAAGACAGTCGTTACTATAAATTTACTAACAAACACGTCAAATGTGTCAATAACAATGTACATCATATGATTATTGACAGAAATTAACTATTCTGGTGGGGGAATATTTGCTTAGTGCACACACTCAAAATAAAATATAAGATAATATTTTTTCGGTAATGATAAATCAAATTAGGATTAGATTTTTTACTATAGTTAAATTATACATATTTTTTCCATGTTTTAACCTTGGTAACTTGTGGTTTGTGTTTATCAAGGGACAGGTTAAGATAGAATTTTATAATAATTAATAATTATGGACATTTGTGATCATGTTAGTCGGTGTTGCTATTTATATTCTAAATGACCGAGTATCATTATTGTATAAAATATATTACATAAATTATTTTAATTAATTAAATAAGAAAAAAAAAATACTGCATTGTTTCAAATTAACAATAGCTAAAAACATTACAATATTCTTTGAAATTGATGTAATATGAAAATTTGTTCTTTTTGAATTTCATCATAATTATATTTGCGAATATACTATAAACAATATCAAATTATTTATATATATTAAACAAAACAATTTCTGTGAAGTACAAGTTCTTTTTTAAATGCAATTTCCGTTTAAATGGTGTAACATGTTCATATCTAATAATATTACCTATCTTATTGAAATAGGTAGTATAATTTAGGTATAGTAAATTTGAATGTATATATATATATAAAATTTTGTGTATCATGTATTATAATATTTGGGCTTGTGTTTTACACAAGTAGTAGCCAAAGAAATTTGTTGCCGCCAAAGAAAAACATAAATAATTTAAAACTTCTTGATGTAATATTATCATTCCTATATACATAATATGTTTTCTATATTTTGTTGATTGTATATAGTACGTTTTCACCTTATCCTTGTTAAAGACTATCCCGTTATATATATTTATCAGTGTTTATTTTTCAGTTGATTTTTTTATACAGAGCATTTTATTAATATATATTGTATTCTTGTTCTCCCATAGTATTAATTTAATAATTATTAATGACAAACTATATAGATTTTATATTAGTGTATGTACTACAATTATCGCATGTGTACGAGAAATGATATATTATAATATCTAATTATATTGATATAATATTATATTATTATTTTATTTTTATTTTTTACTATTTTTTAACTATATACATTAAGGACCTTTGTTAAAACTACATATCTTTGAAATGAGCTGTTTTTTTTATAGCGCTCCTAATTATTTATTTAACCCTACGATTAACAAATCAGCCGTCCATATTATTTCTTTATCTTTCAAAATGATTATATTTTTACGTTAATGCACAATTTGTTGAAATTAATTAGATTTAGTTTTGTTAATGAATAATAATGATTAAAGCATAATATTTGTTTTACTACTTCATTAAATTAGCTCTCTAATAATTTCTTTAATAATTATATCTTTGGAAATGTCTTTCTCTCGCTGTATACACACACTTACATTTTTTTCTTCCAATTAATTTTGTAAATAAATAATATATCATATATTATATTATATCAAACTACAAATTATTATTAACACTATTGTTTCTTTTTATACCTTTAATTGTTTTAGTATCTATTTCCTGTTGTTTTATTTATGTGTTATAAAATGATATAATATTATACTAATGTTCCCTTGTGAATAATATAATTTATAAATTATCATATTTGTATTTAACTGAATTTTTATTTTAATATTAATTTAAAGATGGTATCGGTAAGTTTAAAAAAGATAAACAAATCTATAAACTAATGTTTAACAGCTGAACCATTAAATGAATAGAACCAGTTAAATAAGTGGGTTTGAGTGAACCCAATATTATCAATAGTTTTATTATTAATTATTGTTTCACACAGCTATTTTATTTTTTTTCCTTTCGTGTTCTCTTAACACAGTGGTTTATGTATTGATTTCATTTATTTTATTTAAGCTTAAGATTCTAAAATGAAATTATAGTTATAGTCGCACAGATAAATATTTATCTGGTTTTTATACTTATTGATTTTTAAATTATTTAAAGGAAAAAATAATTTATAAATTAAAAAAAAGATTTTAAATCATTGGTATAATGCAGTGGTTTTCAAACTAGGTGCTTTGATTTTTTGAAATTTTTTCCATAAGTTATGACGGACCACCATTCATGGTCTGTATGTTGAATATGAAGTCTTATGATTATGACTCATTTGAGTATGATCCATCAATGTTGTTCTTAGTTCTAGTTTTATGTAAACAATTAAATAATGACCTAAAACAAAAAGTTACAGTGTACTGTGAAAATGTAAAGAGCAAAGTGTGCCGTGGTCAAAAACGTTTGAAAACCACTAGTTTAATAATAAGGTAGTAAATTAAAATTTACTTAGTAAATTATAATATTATTCATATAAGGACACCATTAAATACAAATGAATAAGCCATTTTTAAAAAAATAATATAGGTAGATTATAAATGATAGTATGTATTATATAATAATGTAATCAATTATTAATTTTGATAGAAAATTATTTACCTATTTAAATGTTTCATAAGTATTATTACTGATAAACATTACAAAAATTTGAATTTTTCTTCAGAGTTTAGGGTTCAAAGTTTGATCAATTATTTTTACTATTATCTAAGGCAATGTCAACACCTACAATAAAATATTCATAATTCTTTTGTTTTTTTTTAGATTGACAATATGACTGCGAACCCAATAACATATTTAAATATATTCAATATTATTATTGTCATTGAGTATACTACAAAGTCTGGAAGATATACATCAACTGTCATAGAGTCATTATTCAGATATGAAAAAAATATGATAGGTTATTGGCTAATATGGTTTTAAACTTGTATGATACCTAGTTAATTATATAGTTCATTTTTAACTACTGTATATCATTATTTCTTTATGTAAAAAAATCGTTGTGTTGTATCTAACATTTTATAGGTAATTATTATTATTCTGGAGAATATGTAATGTATAATTACACGTTATTATAACTATATTGGAAATTAGTACCTACCAATAGGTTGTTACATGTGTGAAGTGATGAAATGTCTCATAAAATAATGTAATAATAATTAATAATTATTAATACTAATAACAGGTTTTTAACTTCTAAACTGTGAACTTAGTCTTCATATCACTACAATTTTGAACTATGTAAAAATTATTGAAAATATGTCTATAAATTCAAAAAAAGATGTTCTAATATCTTTGCAGAGAGATGATGTCTTTACAATTATAGCATAATAAATTTTAATTAGAATTTCTAATTAGTTGAAACTAACTAGCAATTCTAGTTTAGTTTATCGACTTAATATTATTTTTTTCTCAAAATGTAGGTATGTTTTCATACGCACAAAAAAGAAAGTCATACAAACTCCAATTGGAATTTATGGAGGAAACTTAAATTAAAATGGTTAAAATTTAATTTTTAATTTTTATTTTTTAAAATGATTTTTAATGTTTAATCAATTGGTTAAATCAATAAAATCAAAACATACCTATCAAATTTACTTTAGTTATATTTTTTACACGTAAACCTTTAAAAATACATAAGTGATTGTTGATTATATTGTTGAACTAGTTATTTAATTATTATAGTACTTATTACCTACCTATTATTTCTATCATAATATCATATTTAGCAATATTTTCATTTGATATATTAGCTCCCTCCCCTCCCTTCCGTTGCTCAGAAAGTAAAAAAAAAAAAAAGAGGAATTTAATTGGTAACATCAAGCAGACAGCTAGGTACCTATAGTAGTTAATATTATCAAAATTTCATCATAAATATACCTGTCTAGATATAGGTATTGTTTTTTTTTTATTATTGTGTATACAAAAAAGTGTAAATAGAGACAATGTTTTTTTTTTTTTTTGACCCGATGACTTGACAACTGTTTGGCTCCTATGGTTATATCTATTAATATATCAATTAAATATAAATATAACGTTAAAATGTTTTAGAGACGGTCGTGGTTATCGGACTAACACTCTATTATATTTTGCGTCTTTATTTTATTTATTATAATAAGGTTAATCTAATTATCAATATTACTAATTTAAAACATTATATTGATTAATCAAAATGATGACTATTATGTTAATAATATTATCGTGTCCATTTAAAATTTAATTTTTTCTTAAACGATAATATATAAACTGAATAGTAAAAATTATAATATGTAATTAAATAATTATCGTTAGATTACGGAGTAAAGCTGTGAGCGTGAACCATCAAATATATTTAAAATTCAAATTTAATTTAGTAATTGATAAATTCTCGATTATCTTTTTTGATTAAGAATAATTTTTGAAAACTTAAGTACCTACTTATAACTCTAGTGTACCACGGTAAGAGACTTATTTTAGGTACTTAACTACCTTATGACTTGCCAAATTAAATGAAACATTTAACAGGAGTCTAATAGCTCATATTGCTAGTATCAACTGCTTTTACTATACTAAAATAATTGAGTAAATACCTATAGTTTTTGGTCGTCGGATAATTGCTATAAAACATTTTTAAAAAGTCCCGTCATACCCGCATGGCATTGCTGTCTCAGTCCAACTAAAATCTACCTTACACAGACTTCGTAAAAATCGTTTAATTTTGGTTTTGGAGTAAAATCGCCTATTATGAAATTAAAAGATGACGATATTCCGGGGGGGCAAGACGAAGCGTTTTTCTTATTATTCCGAATATAACGTTCAATACATCGTTTAGAAATAAAGACCATACCAGTTACATTTGATATTTAATAAAATCGATGAAACTTCACTTTACAACGTGGCTCGCCTCGAATCAGCTTTATAAATTCGAGGCTCCCAAAATTAAGGTTAGTGGCCACCCCTGCTATAGACAAAGTCCATCAAAGAGTTGTTGAGTTATTGAGAGTTATGAGGCTCTACAGATGTAATATACCAACCTAATAATGGGACATTTTTAGGTTTGATGGAAATGTAAGCAAAGTTTGATACTGTTATTAGTGAACACTTTAGACAAATCAAAAATGAGGAAACTCAGTTCATTGTCAGCAAGTCACTTCAAAACCCACAAACTAATTTGGAAACGTCTGCCGAGTCACTCAAAGCGCTTCAAGTTTTTTTCGACCGAGTATAGAGACAACGGATTTGAAAAAGCCGTAATAGAAGCAAACGATTCAGCAAAAAGCTTTAGAGGTGGAACCTGTTTTTAAAAAAACTCGACTACGAAAGAAAAAACGAATGTTTGAATATGGAAAGAGTCGATGGTGTTGTGCGAAATCCAGAAGATTTTAAAATGTCTTACTTTTTGATATTAGCCGACTGTGCTATATACCAAACGATTTGACCGAATAACGAGTTTTAATAATGTATTTGGATTTCGTTGAATACGTCCGCGACCCAAGTCCGCTCCGAATTGTTTTTCGCCGTCCCCGGGGTATCGGTTTTTCTTTTCTCTTCTCAATGCCTACGCAATCACCGCACCTAACCCGAACGCGTACAAACAGTCAGTTCCGGCGGGCGTGATAAATAACGCGCAAGTACGCAGAAATAAACGATCGACGGGCCATAACAACATCATGTCAATACGATAACCGTTATCATCGACGGCAAACCGGAACGTTATAGGTGGCGCGCCGTCGTTCGACTATTTGTGCGCTCTGTACGGCCGTAGCGGCCGCAGCGGCTAGGGATCAAGGTCGCGATAACGAACTATAATAACAACGGTAATTACCGGGTGCGTGTAATTACGTCGTAACGCGGCCGACTCGGCAGCTGTTCGTTTCACGGCCGTCGCTGATACCGCGCGGCGCTCGCCCGGCCACTTACCGGTCCGGCGACTCGGCGTGCGGTTGTCTCGACTGTCCGGCGCGGCGTATCTCCGTCGCGTTTGCAACGACTGCGGCTGTTGCGGTGCCCCGCGATTTTCGTCCCGAGTCCCCCGCGTAAAGGTAAATAATATTATTATTGTTATTATTATTACGTTTGTTTCGCTTAACGTTCCCAAATGGGCGACGAGTGCGGAGTGATGCTTCATAAGAATGTAATATTCACTAGAACTATCTACTTGAAACTGTCGCGGGATACGATTATCCTTCGACTCGAAGTTCGACGCGCCATTACCGTGGACCAACAGAAGCCGATACCCCGGGCTATTGGCGGTTAAGCCGCTCGCGCAACGAGGAACAGACAACCGAGGGTTATAACCCCGGACTAAAGCGCGGGCGTTTTGAAAAATAATTTTCTTTTAACAAACTCCGGGCCCATTGATTAGCCTGTGAACAACGGCAACACCTCCGAACGAACGTCTCGGTGCTAGTGGTTCTTGGCCAAGGGCCCTTTTAGCTAGAACGTCCGCACTCGCGTCCGCCTCGCACAATCTAAACGCCACCGTCCTCGGCGGTACACGGCGCTGCAGTTTATCCAGCTTTTACCGCCGTATTGTTTCGCCCGGGACGTTCCGGACCGGAAGTGTTATTAAATTAAACGTGCGCGCGCAATGATATTTTGTATCGTCTGTCCGTCGCACTCGTTCGTTGGCGAACTCGCCGAATATTTATCGCGGGAAACAACGGTTGGGCAACATGACGAAACTCGCGTGAAAGTTACCGGATTCTTATCGCTTTTTTTTTTTTCTATGTCTCCTCTTTGTTATTCAACTAAATAATCAACAGGTTTATACCTACGCGTAATGTACTTTGTTTGGATATTTTTTCGGGCCCGGGTTATTTACGCGAAAAATATTTATCATTTTTTTTTTTTTTTTACTATTACAACGCGCCATCCGCATGCTTATTATCGGCAAACCGTCCGGTTACCATTACAATGTTGCTGGCTAATAGGTCCGGTCGTTTTTTTTCAATAATCGATACAGCAGGTACGCGTCTGCATTACGTACATTTTTTTATTTTGTTTATTGCGCAAAATTCGCAGAAATATTTTCAGTTTGGATGTCCCAAGGTGCAGAATTGCGGGGCTAGTTATTTGTCGCATCGAGGAGGTCGTTTTTTTTTCCTTTCTCGCAGCTTTCAAAAAAAAATCTTAGGGGATGGGGAAACCTTACGGAAACAACGGTTTTTCTGTGATTCGGTTGTAAAAAACGTACGAGTACTTGTTTTGGCATTTGCGCGGTAAATATTTAAAAATATTCTGGACATTTTCGAGCTATTTATAGAGGCATTTGATATTTTCACGTTTTTATTCGGATAAAACCGTTTTGGCCGAGCAAAAATGTTTGAAAATTGTACGCGTCGTTCCAGAGACGTGGGAGGGGGGGGGGGTTGTTCGAGGGAGAAGCTAATTTTATTTTGAAAAAACACGTACTATGAAAAACAATACAATCGTTGCGTATGAGTGTTGTGTAGAAAAATAATAAAACACGACTCGGGCGTGGGGGAGGCGATCGCCCCGTCGCCACCTCTTTTATCCGCCAACGGCGAGGTTCGTGTTCAGTTGCGGTAGGAGGGCGGTCGAAAAAGTAAAATATCACCGTGTTATCGATAGTCCAGCGGAAAGTTCGATGAGAATCGGGAAAATCGCGGTTTTTCAAGTGTTTTCGGCCGTTCTTAAATTCGTATTTCGTTAGCGACGATTTTTCCATCATCGTTGTGCAACGATTTAAATTAAATAACCCTGCGCATTCTACTTTGCCAACTCCGCACTCGAAACAGCGGCCACGTCCACCGGCACTGTCGGCTCCGTTTTTTTTTTTTTTTTCTCTAAATAAATCTATATGTAACGGATGTTAGAAAAAAAAAAAAGAAAAAAAAAAAGGTTTTTTTATCGTACAAAACGGAACAATTGTCTTTGTTGTTTGAAAAATAAAACGAACGCCGTTCTCATTGTACATAATGTATTTTATCATCCCACAGTCATTTGCCAACAAATCGAGAATTCGCACGCGCGCACGTGGCTCGTATATTGGTATCGACCGCGCACCGACTTAATAATTTTATAAGAATACGAAACGTGCAGGCGATTTAGTAATCGCGTTCAACAAAAACGAACAAAACACTGTACGCGAACAACGGGCGTGTTTTTTTTTTTTTTTTTTTTTTTTTTTTTTTTATGTTTGCTTATTGTTCATTAAATGCATTTTGCATTAATTGTCAGCGTTGTTAATTATTCGAATGAATGTATTAAGGTATTTGAATACTTAACGAAGAAAAATATTCGAACGCGTCTTTGGAATACTTTACACGAGAAAAATAGGAGGAAACTGTACGGCCGTTTTAACAGACAATAACCTAGACCGCGGGAAAAGTTGTGAAAAAAAATCGAGTGTAATGTAGTAGATTTTGTTTTATTTGGTAAAGTAAATTACAATCTATAGACGTGTGTACATTCAGCAATTGGGATGAAAGAATATGAATAATGACATTGAGTATTTAGAATATGGAAAATTACCCAACGGTAACACCCAACAAAGAGCTTTGTAATAAAATGTTGACGAAAATATTACGCCCTTTCAAATAACAGAACTTCGTTACGAATCCTTTTGATTTTTTTTTTCTTAATTAGGGAAATTTTCATATCGAATTGAAATAATTATATTGTAACACTACGATCGAACTCTGAACAAATTACTATTACACTTAAGTGTAGTATGACCTTTTAATTCACACGATCAAATTGCATGACAAACATAGGTACAATTATTGGACATGATAAAATATTCCGTCAATTATAGATTAATGGTAGGTAATTGGAAAATATTTGATTAGGGTTTAAGAAATAACCAAATATCTTATTGGGATAATAGGTTTTTATTTTTATTATTTTTTTTCGAATCTAATCCCAACCTGCCTTGAATATAATATCTACGTGGTATCATTAAATAGTTTGACGTACAGCATGCGTACAAATCCATTGTAAATAAAATTTAAGTTTATTATTTTTTTATTAGGTATTTATACAATAGAGCCTTGCACGGATAGACAAAAGTGAATCCGATGCGACCTGATAGAAATTTAAAGTTGGTCATACCCGAGCCCATCTGACACGAAAATCTGATCCGTCCGGATTGTGTTTTTTTTAAAAAAGTCCGCAGATCAGCTCCGATATAAAATTATTTGAATTCAATCGAATTCCAAATCCAATTATCAACACCATTGCATTTTATATCTTCAGAACCACCCAAACAAACAGTGGTAGAACCTTTATTAACCTTTAAAATATTAAGACTAGGTAAATACAAGTTGTCGATAAAACTATAAAACCTCTTTCAACAGGGGCTTAGAAAAATAATTTGAGTTATTAAAAATAGTTGAGAATGATGAGATATCGCAAAACTACAAAATAAATATAATAATAATAATACCTATTCAATTATACATAGATAAGTAGATTTGTATAGGTACTTATCTGCTATTAATTTAATAAAACAATTTAATGATGGTGTAATTCAAAAATGTATCAACGAAAACTTATAAATTGTCACTTCTTATTTGAAATAATAATTAAATTTAACATGAAAGTTAATATTTTATCGTTTTGATGTCAATTATATTATAATGTACACTTCGTAAATCAATTAATAACTAATTATCCGAAATCAACATGCAAATGACCTTTTTAATTTTGATACGACACACAAATATTACGTATACATACTCGTATTATACGAATTATAGATACACTATGTATAATTATTATACGATCATTTATCATAACATCCCAATACAATACGATACGTAAGTAGGGTTTTGGGGTTCAAACGACCATCCCCTCGCAATTTGTTTGCGTTCTATTGGGAAAATAATCGCGTGGAAAAATAATTATGTCAGTCAGTAAAATTAGAATACCACATATTTTTAGGCTACAACACCTTATTCCCACCCAGATTTATTTTCAAGTTCGGGACTTGCTCTGCAATTGCTGACACTCAACTATCTAATGCCTTGCCACTGTCATATTCAATATGTAACTATACTGAACATTTTAAAAATGCTCCAATTAAAATATTTATTTATTTTTTCATTTTCAAATCTCGACAAATCTAGCAAAATTATTTATTTAAAAGTAAAAACTAAATTTAAAAATATGTATAATATTCGAAAATTATAATAATTATGATACTTCCCACTATAAACTGAAACAGTACCTATAATTATTCTGGTGATATAAGTGCAGTGTGAATTTCTGACAACAATTCCATCAATTGGTATACCTATTAAAGTTAGTTTACTATATACATTCAAATGATACAAATCGTACGTTTCTGCTGAAATCATTGTGCGTTTGTAGATAATTATAAGATTGTGTTTGCTATAATCGTAATATATTATTGTAATATTTCAGTTAATTGCTGTACATTAATTAATGAGACGGTCAACTTGAATAATGATTAGGTGCTTACTTATATTTTCAGAAATGGCCTGAAATGGAATTTGTTTTGGGTGCTATGGGCGCCAGTGGCGCTGTGTGCTTTACCAATCCATTGGAAGTAATCAAAACACGATTCCAGTTGCAAGGAGAACTGAAAAAAGTTGGTAATTATAAAGTTCACTACCGAAACTTTGCGCACGCAATATATGTGGTGGCAAAAAATGAAGGGCCACTGGCTCTCCAAAAAGGTCTGTTACCAGCCATGGGACACCAAGTGTTGTTGAATGGTACGAGATATGGCATATTCGATTTAGCGCAGAAAAACAAATGGATACTCAAAGAAAATGGTACCGTTTCGCTTATAAAGTCTGTGGCTGTTGGAGCCGGAGCTGGCATGTTGGGTGGATTTTTAGGTAGTCCACTGGGCATGGTGAGTGAAATACAAAATTCAAATTTTAGGTGTACCTGATTTTAGGAGCCTTCATATTTTTGTTATTATTCGTTAAGCAGTTATTACACGTGTTCAAATTGTCGTTTTTAGTTAAAAATTCACCTGCAGTCATATTCCGCTCAATCCATTGCCGTCGGCTATCAACGCAAAACTATCAGCACACTAAACGGTCTGCTAACCCTGTACCGCGATTATGGTGTGGTCCGAGGATTGTGGCGTGGAGCTGTGGGAGCAATGGTACGCATAGGAGTCGCATCTTCTGCACAGTTGAGCACCACGAGCATACTGAACGAAGCATTCATTGAACACGGACTGTTGACCAAGGACCAAAAATTCTTGAGTACTCTTATGAGTAGTATGGTAGGCGGTGTGCTTATGTCAATACTGATGGCGCCCTTTGATCTGGTCTCAACACGACTCTATAACCAAGGTAAACTTATTAACACACAGACGCTATATAAGTACACGCTCTGCATTTTTTTTTTTTTGAAATCACTGATCTATACTGACCTATCCTAACCTAACGACCATGTTTATTTCGGATTATTTGTCATAATCCTTATTTCCTCTTCTTTATGTGCTGTATTATACCCCTCATCTTCAAACCTGTTACTAACTTTCTTTGATTTTTCTCTTAAAAATCATCATATCATCATAATATATCAAGGTTAAAATAACTAATTTACTATACTTTACATACATAGGAGTGGATTCTAAAGGTCGTGGTCTACTTTACAAGTCGTACATGGAGTGTTTAATCAAGACGTTCAGACAAGAAGGAGTCCACGGGCTATACAAAGGTGTTATTCCGTGTTATCTTCGATTGGGACCCCACGTCGTTCTGAGCATGGTATTCTGGGAAAGATTGCGATTGCTTGAAAAAAACATATCCGACCACTTTAACAACCCGCAAACCCTTGTTTGAATTTTATGTTATCATTTTGTTATTTTTTTGTTTTTCGAATCCATTTTATGTATGTTAGATTATTTGTAAATTATAATTGTCTAATTTTGAAAATCTGTGGTATTCATATGAATACAGGCGCTGTGGTGGCGTGGGTAGGTACTGTTCCTGACTTTTGTAGTTTCAACAAATTATAATAAATATTACTTGTTGACATTTAGTATGTAATCAATTTCTCTTTAGATTTTTTATTTTTAAAACTTGTTTGATAATTGATTGGTTTCTAATATCATTTGAACATTTGTCAAATTTAAACATACCTATAGATATTGTTTGGTTTAAATACTATAAAAATAATTATAGATAGTATGATTACTATGATTTATTGTTGTAATTTTAAATTTAAAACATACAATATGAAATTAAGTTTTTCAGTCTATATCCACACTACATTAATATTATAATTCAGAGAGTTAATCGTTAACTATATTCTGACTAGTCATCAATTGAAAATACACACAAAAATTATATTTTTTGAATTACCATTAAAAAAAATATACTAGCAAAAGTCGTTTCATTTTTTGGATATTTATTTTCTTGATCAGATTTACAACACTCGTGTGATTAAATTTACACAATAACGCTACATATAGTGTTTAATGGCTAAAACTTCTTTTGTAATATGTGTAATAATATAAATATATCATTAGTTTTAAAGTCTGGTTTTGTTAAAAGTAAGTTTAATTTAATATAATAGGTTTTTCTAATAATTATTATATGATATTATATCATACATAGTAAATATCTACTAAAAATTATTTAAAATATGTTAATGAAATCGCTACAAAGTTTCCAATAATTTTTTAGTTTGTCAAACTATCTCACACATATTTACAAAATTGTCAAGTGAATCATAATTTGATATAAAAAAAAAAATTGTTTGATTATTTGTATGCATTCCTATTTTAAATACATTCGATTGGTTTTTTTTAATTGATTGTACCATAATATGCAACAGAAATCAAAAAAACACAATTAAACATAGTATACCTACTAGAGCTCTGCACGGATTGAATTGGCTTGACCCGACCCGAGTTATAGCTCGACTGACACAATTGTTCTCGTACAGAAAATAGTGTAAAATTATGACTTTTCGGATCAGATGAGGTCGGATTTTCATGTCAGATTGGATTGGGTCGGATCAATTAAGAATGTCCGTCTGGTCGGATCTGATTCACTGCAGACTCTAGTAATGAAGTCTTAATTGAACCAATGAACCGCCATTTCAATGTAGCTTCTGTAGAATTATTAATAGTAATAATTTATTTTAAATTTGCCTTTTGTAAACAGGTCATCAGTAGTAACACTAATATGACTATTTTACAGTTGTTGAAGTCAATTTATTTTTTACTGATTCTTTTATATTTATGGTTGTAGGTATTTTATTTCATTAGTTTTTCAACAAATACATTTTCTTTTAGAAAAGTCTTTATAAATAATGTCTCTCGAAATTGCATTTGTTCTACTGTACTAAATGGACGATTTCCCAAAATTAAACAAAAATTCAGTAATTATATTAATATGGTATTTAATACTTCTGAAAATATAATTTAAAATAAACTTTAAATATATATAAATATATAATATCTACATAGACATGTTACCTATAATGTATTAATTGGAAATCATTATTAATATTATTTAATGTTGTTATTGTAATAAATGTACTTAATTTCAAAAGCTTAAATGATTATTAAATGCCATATAAACCTATTGGCTAGTGGTTACTATACCTATTACCTATACATTCTTATGTTCTTTATTTTATTATGAAGATTAATTATTAAAAAATTGTTTAAAATAAAATAATTCTTCTACCAATCTTATGATGTTTAAATTATAAATATTTTTTATTTAAAATAACACGTCTTAAATTTGTATAAACATCAAGTTTAATAATTTTGATTGAATTAAATAGGTTAAATTACTTAAATTGAAAAATTAAAAAGGTAATAAAATAAAATACATATTCTAAGTATGATTAAACGCATGTACTAGTACTATGCACATTTATTATAGGTAGGTAGGCATAATATGTATTAAAGGATATATTTTGATATTGTATGTAGGTAAACCTACCTAGATTAATTGTTGGTTGTTGAAAAACACATTAAATGATGGATAGTGGTTTTTGTTTGTTATTCTTTGATTCATCTTCATCTACGTTTATAATTTTTTTTAGGGCTGTCTAATTTGCTGAACAGCTAAACTGGAGCTACGGACTACTTTAGCTCAATAGTAGCTTGTAGGTACTGTACTGTCTGTACTAGTACTCGAAATTAACATGTTACTCTTTTGTCGGTGGTAGGGTACTAAATATTCAGGTAAAAATATTGTAGACTGATAAGCGCTGTTTTTTTTTCTGTATTAAAACTGGAAATGTAACAATTAAAATGTCTTCTTGACATCGAATGTAATTGTTTTGTTTATAATAATTAAAGTTATAATTTGTACACACACACACACACATATATATATATATACAGTAAAATATTTATAACAATTAACAACCACCTTACACAAATCCTAGCTACGCCACTGGATAGCACACATACCTAATGGTTTATAAAAAACACATTGTCAGTTTTTTATAAAGTTCTATAAATCTATAATTTTAGATGAACATAAAATAAATAATCAATATTGGTATTGATTTGAAGTGCGTTTTCGAATCGAATGAGGCGTAGGTACGTTTCAATATGCGATGATTGAAAAAAAAAAGTCAATTTTGGAAATTATTGATTTTGTGCTTAATAATACGCCACCCGAACGGATTGCAAAGTCGATTTTAATTTTCAGTATAGGCGGGTTTTGCATTCCATCATAAAAAAACGTGCAATGACGCCATTGTTCTGGTGTAAAGCAGCCCGGTCCACACCGAGGCGACACACAACGACTTCTCAATGTTGACACGACAAAAGTCCCAATATATTTCCAGGGGTTACCGAACGTTTCGTCAATAATAATTCGTGGCCGAGCAACGGAAATTTCCCATTGTTTCGTGTTTCAATTGCCACACGAAGCTACGGGTTTATCAGCGTGGGAACAGTTTGGTACAGCCGCGTATCAATGTCGCTACGATTCCCACGTTGCAATTCGTTTTTCACGCGTTCCGGGACAATAGGCAATCGCAGACAACTCGCACGCCGTTCCGTGTCGCCAGCGTTAGGTTGCGAACCGGACTTTGGATCGCCGACGTCGCCGCGCGGTTATGCGGCTGCGCGGAACAGATTCGCGCGAGCCGCGCGCAAGAGTCGAGCGCGTGTCAAGCGCACGCGCGCGTTACGCCCCCGGCCCCGCTCTACCGAAATTTTCGTACTGTTTTCTCCGCCGATATTTCGTGTGCGACTCGTACGAATTTGTGTGCTCAATCCCGGAATCCGTACGACTTCCCTGTCCCCGGGGAAAATCGCGAAAAGGCGGAGGGGGAGCTGTGATCCGGGTTATAAAATGAACTTTTCGTAATTTTTCCTCCGGGGAAGGAGTAAAAATCACCAAATGATAATGAATTTTAAATTGATGCTCGATTAGGTAGTTGACAACAACATGTTGAAGTTTGTAAATTGCAAATTACGAACTATACTTACGTAATACCCATAGATAATAACTGTTATTGTTTATGACTGTATGCGGTAATAATTGACATTAGGTATTTTTGACCTATTCCCGCGAGGTACCTTATTATCTTTTTATTTATTATTAAATTAAGTTCTCCACCAGATTCAGATAGTGAAGTCCGTACGAGCATTAAGAATTTTATTTCTATTTATAAAAATGATGTCCGCCCTTCGTTTAAAAATGCAATTTTTCAATTTCAAACATTCTTAAATTTAAGTAAAATGTCATTCGATGCAAATAATACAATACATTTATTAAATTGATTTTACGAAAAATCATTGCAAGATTTATTCCCAAATATTTTAATTGCTCTTAGACTATATTTAACCATCCCGGTTGCCAATATTGTTCGGCTGAAAGAGTTTGACCTTTTCAGTAAGTACTAATCATAATAAATTAAAATTACTTTTAGTGTGACAGAAATGTATTTAATCCCCAGATACATTAGCAATACTAGGTGTACGTTCATTTTCCACGACCGTCTATTCAGCGTGTTGTCGTGGGCCCGAAAATTGAGAGGTGTTTGACGATTTAAATAAAAAAATCATCAACAATTATTCCATGCAAATTTGTAATATATACAGTTATGGGCGCAATGGTTTGTTGGGGGGGGGGTTATGCGATTTGGGAGTCCGTATTTTTTAACACTGTGCTCACTGAATGAATCGTTCATCAAACATGGAGTGCTGAGAGAGGACCAAAAATTCTTGAACGCTCCAATGAGCAATATCTACGGTAGGCGGTTCGCTCATGTCAATATTGATGTCACCCTTCGATCTGGTCTCAACACGACTATATAACCAAGTTATGCCTTTCATCATCTATCTATTAAGTCCGATTTACCAAATAAAAATGTGTGTGTGTTGCTAGTCATATATATAGGAGTTGACGTCAAAGGTCGCACTAAAGAATGGATAATAGTAGAGATAATATGATTTCATTTCAAATGCCTATAAATAGCTTTAAAATGGTTATTAGTTTTAAAATTTCATTACGTTTAGATAGGGTTTATATGAATATTCAATGAAAATGTCAGGTTTCTACAATAATTTTTAGTCAAATTTCACCAAAAATTAACTTATGTTTCTTGTTTTTTTTTTTAAAATTTGTATTATGTTTAAATTAATTTTCCTATTATGAAGTTAATATTGTAACCATAAGACAGTGTGTAAATTCACACATGATATATGAAAATAGATTGATTTAATTACCTACCATAATGAAGGTATCTTATCATATTTTAACTAGTAAGACTAGTAGGTAGATATACTTATTTCACTGTAATTCAAAATTCAGATGATTTTGATTTTTAAAAAGTTTCTGTTTTTATTTGACAAACATTTTGAGTTTTATCAGTAACAACATATAAATTAAATATAATACAATATAAATATATATAAAATCAACACATATTAAATAATTATTTATAAACATATTTTTACATTTTATTGAAAGATATACATTACAGTTTTTATGTTCATGTTATACTATAATTAAAAAATTACCCAGTGAATTAAAAACACGCACAAAAAAAAAAAAAAAAACAAAACAAAACAATTGTAAGTGATTAGTTTTATGAAAAATCAAGAAATACAATTTATGTTCATTGATTTTCTTATTTAGACGTAGGTATTTTGTATTTTTTGTTAAAGTGACATTACATTATACACAAGTTGAACAACAAAAATAGTTATTTGAGTAAAAAGAGTATTTTTTAAAATTAATACCATTTGCAATGTTAATTAGATAACTGTCATGTTCAAAATTGGATACAAAATATTTTTAAATTATCTCGGATAAACATCTTAAAATATTTAAACATTTTGATTAATCTGTATGTGTATTAGATTTAATAACTTGTACATATAAATGCAGTTATCACAAGTAACAAAAATGAATGGTCCAAAATATATATATTATATTAAGTAGACAAATATTATGACAACTGAAAATAATTTAGAAAACATCAATAAAATATATGCAATATTAGCAAAAACAAATATAAATTATTGTTATTTTACTATTAAAACTGCATTAAATTTCATTTACTATAGTTATTATAAATTAACTAATTGTATGTACATAAATCATAAAATCAAATTAAATCTATATTTACATCACAGTTAGGTGGTATTAAGTACTAAATGACAATTATTACATTTTATTTTCTAAAAAAGGTTTTAATGCGTATACAGTGTCCCACTATGTTCTATTGATTTTTATATTTCTGTTAATTTAAAATTTGTAGTATCACTCCTTAATCACTTGAAAAAAATAACTTTTTATTTGTTAACTTCTTAAAAATAGCCAATTTACAATAGATATTATTTTAAACAAATGTTTTTTTTTTTCTAAGTGATTAGTAGGTGAAAATAAAAATTTAATTTGGATAAAAATCCATAGAATATTATGGGACATATTCTGTAAACATAAATTACATAATGTGTTTATACATTTTTATTTAGATTTATTATATTACATTTAAAGAAAATATTTGATAACTATCAATGAGTACACACACTTAACACAATACTAAATAATATTTAACAATACAATATTAAAGTAATCTACCTATTTACTAAATCAATTACTACAGTTAAATTATAATTACACGTGTGTCCTATGGCTTTATAAACATTATAGTGACATATTACTGGTATTATTAAACAACACATTTAGGTTTTTTTTTTATACATTTTTTATTTATTTACGGGTGGACTGTTGAAATTATTAAACTTGTATTTTAATCTCCAAAAAAAAAAATTTATTACAAACGGTATACTTGCTTAATTAAGTATTGGCTAGGTACCAAAATTAATTCATATTATAAATTAAATAGGTAGTATTATTAAATATTTGTACATTAATACCAGACTATGGGAGTCTAATGATAAATTATATCACAAATTATTGGTTCAAAAACAATATTGAAACAAAAAATTCACCTAAATTATTTCCTTATTTATAAAAACTAACAAAAATGACTTATAGTTTCATCAGTATTCTTAAAAATTGAAAATTATACATACTTTCAGTATTTTATAATATGAAACACATATTTTTTTCTTCAAATTTTAAATACTAAGATATGCATTTGAATTTGAAATCCAACAAACACAATTAACAATAACATTATAAAATATAGTATAGAAAGTAATCTATGGTTATTAACATCAATTTATAGTAAGTTTATTTAATATTGCGGATTTATGACTGTTGAAAAATAAATATTAATTATAAATACCAAAACAACTTGATAAGTGTACAACCAGTCATTTACTTCACTTTACTGTATATCAGTATTGTAAAGTACATATTACAGATAGCAGAGACTAGAAATTTAGTAAATTGTACAACAATTATGTATATGATCTTTTAGAAAATCTATATATAAAGATAGTTCATCTGTTTTTATAAAAAAAACAACAAATTAATAATTCACCATTTGATAAATATATTTTTTCACAACACATGGGGGCAAAAAAAAAAAATAAAAAAAAACTTGTATTGATGCTTGAAAAAATGTGGGGTATTACCCTTATTATTTATTAAGTAATATGTTTTATACTAGTATAAATTCAATTTTTGCGCTTTAAGTCAGTTAAGTTAGTTAATATTTATCGAAATAAGTCAGAAAATTATTCAATTAGAATTTCAACAAGTTTTATTTGAATCAGATCATTGCCATAAATTATGATTATGTAAATTTCTACTTAGTACACTCCGGACGTCATCTGTAAACCGTAGTGCATCCAACATTGGCAAGAGGTTTAATAGTGCAGTATCGGAAGTATCAGAAAACCATGATTTTATTGGTATCGCATTGTCTGGAAAGAGTGTACACAAAAATGTATAATGTAATATACTTGAACACAAAATAAAATTGTACAATTACCAGGAAATGCTCGATATGCTGCTGGTGAATTATCCAGTATAAATACACTTGACAGGTCATTTGAAACAGATGTCAAATCTTTAGTATAAGAACCCATTTCAGGTGTACAATGTTGTCTATAAAATCGTCTTTTTAATATGCCTCTTCGATTATCCAATTTATCGGCAACTGCAGCACCATAAATTTGCATACTTGCAGTAAACACTACCAGTTCATACCATTTTGAAACCTATATTAAGTAACATGTAAGCATGAAAAAGGTACCATCATATAAAATAAGAATTAAGTGATAATTACTGAAAAGATAAGCTTGATAAGTACTGAAATAATTAGTTAAAATCTTTTTTATAAAAAGGTTATTAAATTTTCCAAAAGTTTATTAACTAATTAGTTATGTGGAATCATATTAAAACATCTGTAAGTTATTGTACAGTTTCCCAAAGTATGAAAAACAAGGTGCAAAAAAAGCTACCTCTTCAACTTTATTGTATACTATATATAATATAAATTTGTGTAGAAAGTATTGACGATTTTATAAACTTACAACATCCAAAAAGAAATCTACATGTGGCCTCTTATGAACGTAAAATCGTACAGGGTGTCGTTCAATGGTAACTTTTAAAATAAAATCTGGTGGCATTTCTGGTTTAGCCGGATGGCGTAGGACCCCTTCATGGTGAGAATGGATTAATGTCTCATCTAAATCTAGCACCAAAACTTTTCGCTTGACCATACCTAAGTTCATAGAGAAGGTATAATTATTTTATTTGATATAATGTGTTATTTCTATTATGAGTTACATACTTAATCTATGCCTGGATAATGGTAATAACGGGAATACTCCATATTTAACAGGTTGATATTGGCGGACCTGTAATTAAATATTTATAGTTTTTAACAGTAATAACAAAATATTTATTAGCAATATTCATCTTGATATTTGCATTTATTTATTATTATTATTTTTTTTTTTTATAGATTTTTAATTTGAATCTAAGTAAAAACAAATTTTAATATTTAACAAATATATTAATTTTATTGTTTATTGTTATTTAAGATTATTGACATTTAGATAAGATTTATGTCTATTGATTTGACCGGAATCAAGAACAAACAAAGGCAATCATTTTTATTTGCATACAAAACTAAATATTGAAAATTGCATTGCGATATGTTTTTATACAACTTTATTCTATTAAAATACAGCTATTAAAAAATGATTAAAATATTAAATGCATATTTAAATTAGTATGATACTCAATGCTATTGAGATAAATGTACACATTTTTGTATATAATCTAAGTGGCAGTTTATCCAAGTAAGTGTTGTAAATAGGCAATATAATTTTAAGATAAGAATAATTTTAATTTTTAGTCAATATATATGAATGTTTTTAAAATAATGCCTTAAATCTAACTTGTATATAGTATGTACATAATATTTTATTATTTCAAATGAATTAAAGTACATTTTAGGGAATACAGACAAAATAAAAGTTAAATAATAGTTGTTTAATTTTTGAGTAAATATTAGGTATGTTTAATACTCATTTTGACAATATTACATCTTAGGAAACATGTTCATATTTATTATAAATTAGTAGTTTGCCAAAAAAAAAAAACCACATAGTTACCAACAACTCATTAAAATAAGTGTATATTACTTTTAAGGGGAATACACGTGGTGATCAATCTGTTATAAAACAGTCATTATTTTAGAGAGGATTAACTTTTTCCGGCATTTATTTTCTAGAACATTAAAGAAACAAGCTGCTCAACAAATTTATATTTATGTTATTTTTTGGGGTAAAACCACTATTTACTTTTGATTTTCAAATGGCAAACTGTATTAAAATGTCCATAAAATGACGAAGTATTAGTTAAAATAAATTTCCGGTGTTGAAATTTTTGATTTCCGTCAGTCCATTGACGAGATATTCTACTTTTAAGTTTTGGTTAGAGTAGTGGAGTATCATTTGTGTGGTAGTATGGTGCATGGCGTGTTAATAATGCTCCACCACTTTCCCCCAACCTAAACTTAAAAGTCGAATACCTTGTCAACAGATTGACGGAAATCAAAAGTTTCAACACCGAGATGTCTTACAATAGATTGATCACCCAGTATAATATAGTGAAAGAAAAAATTTAATGTGACAAACGTAATAATATTACAAGTATACATATCATATTATATGAAATGAGTATATTATCCTCATTAAAAAATGCACTGAAAGCAAAAAACCATCGCTAAGTAGATATTAAAATATTAATTGAAATTTAAACTTTTTAATTTAATTTTAGAAAAATAAAAAAAAAAAAAATTATATTTAACGTATGGTTTTATGATTACATGCAATAATATATAGTATATATTAATGACAATAATAACTATTTAGGTACAGTTTGGTGATATTGAAAACTTACAGTTTTTATTTGCCGTTTTATTAGGAAGCATATGCAAGCCCATACCTTCGAGGCTAAAACCATGAAAGCTTGTATGCCCATCTGTATGACTTTCAACATTTGAAAGGTAATTTGTGTGACAATTATCTCATCAGGTACTATTAGAGAATTGGGATGATATACATTGTCTGTTTTTCAGATGATTTAAAATTATAACAACTGAAAACCAATTTAATTCAATTTTATTATACTTGTATAATCCTTTCAAAAAAAAAAATGAAAAAAAGAAATCAAAACAGGTATAAAAATGTATGAATGTCCTTCTGAATCTTAACAATGTATGTACATACTTTTTTCAACATTGCATTATCCAAGGCTGTGGAAGATTAATAATTCCAGTAAAAGTGGAAACTAATAAATTAAACAATGTTAATTTACATAAATTAAAAATTAATAACGAGATCAAATTGAAAACAGAAAAATAACTGTGAAATATTATTTTCCTACTTTCCATACACCTGTAATCAATTTTTTCCAAAACAACAACAAAGCTTGATAAGAACATCACGCCATGATGACCAAAGACGTTGCAAAATATGCATACAATAATATTCTTAATAAAACAAGTACGATAATTTAATATGCATAAATGTATTAGCTGATGCCTATTATGTTTTTTAAGGAACAGCGCGGAAAAAAAATTGTTTAAAAAAGATCGAATTTATATATTATTGATCCTAAAGATATTGTTGGAGACACCCAGGGGATTGCAACCCCAGTTTGAGAATGGCTGGTATGTATCATAAAATTCCCGATATGACTCAAAATAGTTTAATTAGTATTAAACTATTGAGTAATTTTACACAATAATAATATATCATTGTAATAATTTAGTTTAACTACATATAATATTATGTTGTCTACATTGTGGTAATTATAACCAATTATAACGTATTTTTTCAATTATTACGAATATTGCTTGAAAAATTAAAAAAAATTACCTCTTTGAAATACCAATTAGATAAAATTCTCTTTCAGAAAAAGTGCCACACTTGGTACATTGGAGCAAGATTTCTGGTACAATTTTTGTACAAAATATACAAAACAAAAATCAAATAAAAATAAACGTCATTGTAAAATTCCTCACTTCACTCAGAATCTAAAATGGAAAAATTTATGATTATATAATTTTTATTACTTTTAATTTTTTCATTTTATTTAGTTGATCAGAAATTATGTCTCAAGATTTCAAATCAATATCTGTTCTGGAAAAATGTGTAATTAAGTAGTACGGAACAATGTAGATTTTTCATTTTCTTTGTATAGTTTTCATAATAATTATAAAAAATTGTAGGAAAAATGAATAAGTTGTTAAAAATAACCGTAGAGTAGAGAACTGGAATTATTACAGAATACTTATACTTAAATAGCCTGTTCTTGACGTGGTAAAATTTTGATTTTTAAGCAATTTGTAAGCATTTTGAATTTTCAAGTTTTATATTATGAGTGGAGCGAGTAATGTATTGTTTTTACAATGATGTTTATTTTTTTTTTTGAGGATAACTTTTTTATCAGCAATTTTTTTCCGATTTACTGGTATTATTATAGCATTTCTTTTTGAAATGAAATCGGATTGAGGAGGAACTTTAATGGTCTAGAAAGATCTAATTTAAGTCTTAGTAGTATATTCGATAAAAATTTCAGACTTATATGATAACTTTAACCAAATAATAAAAAAAAAAAAATTGAAAACAACAGAAATTGTTAGTTTTCAAATTTTTTTGGATTTTTAAAATTATATTAAGAAGTATAGAAGGAAAATCGTAAAATGACCCAAATATACCAACTAGACAACATTTTTATGCCAGAAACTAGCCAGCTGTAATTGATGATCAGAGAAAGATTTCTGATTGAAAAATTATTTGGAGACAGAAGAAAGAAAATTGAAAAAAAAATACATACACCACAGCAAAAGTATTACATTTCACGCTACGCTCAGATACTGACAAAATATATGATATTATTTGTTTTGTTATATAGGGTTTTAAAAATAATTTTGCAGCCATTCGAAATGAATTTGTTCGGTGTTATTGATTTACTACAATAGGTATATTGTGTGTTCCAAATGGATACCGACGATACCTATAATCTACTGCAGGTTAATATTATTTATGTTAAACAATATCTATTATTTTAATATTAATTCGAAATTTGAATTACGTTTGTCATACTTGTACACATTACACACAGTTCAATCATAATATTCGTTTAGGTGGAGGTATGATTCGTTTGAAAATATGACACGTATAACAAACACTCATTTGTTACGCATTATACATAATATAGTTACCTGCTTTTGTAAGTGTATTTAAATTGTTAATTTGCATAATATTAAAGCCAGGTATATTATGTTTCTCTGGAGAGGTAGACTTAACGTCATAACCGAGTAGGTAGGCATGTATGAGAGTATGTAGTACGCCTACACAGTAATTTAAAAATAAAAAATGCTTCCAATTTTATTTGTCTTTTATGCGCAGGTAGGTACCGAGAAAACGTTAATAATAATATTATAATAATTCATATTGGGCACTTTGGTATTATACGTTACCTATATCTGATTATGTTTATAAATATGTGTATGTGTCTCGACTAGATTAGGTAATATCGAAACGAATTCTTTTATCCTCTACGAAATCGTTAGGTATGAAGGTATTAGGTATGATACAATATGCAATAAGCATATAAATATAGTCAGCAGTGTATTGGGAAATTGATTTTCGGGTGAACGCATTTTTGAATGATAATTTATGACAAAAACAATTTTTTTCGTTACGCCCTAAATATGAAAATATTGGACATTTTTACACCGCATTCCAAAATATGTACTTTTATCAACATTTTTCACTAAACCCCATTGTTTTATTTCAAATACCATAATAACTATTCTTCAAATACTCACCCAGTGAATAAAAATTGTATAACTTTATGTTTATACAATTAAATTACAAAACGTAAAATAGGTATTTTATAATTTATTATAATTGATGATTGATCAGGTAGATATATTTATTATCTATACGAATTGTATGTAGGTATTAAATTTGTTATCCGAAAAAAATTTTTTTTAAATAAATATGTTTTTGGCGACGGGGACAAAAATTATGAAAATATATTATAATACCTGCTGCAGGACGGAGGTAGAGAAATGAAAAAAAACCATATAAAGAAGTAAAATAGAAAATTTAAAATGTTTATAAATAGCTCGAAAATCACCAAAACCTTTTGAACATTTTACCACGTCCAGAAAGTACTTAAAAAAGTATTATGTGAACATTTCAGGTTTTTAAAATTATTATTTTAAAGTTTTCAAGCTCTTGTTAATAAAATCATCATCTGTATAATATGCATTCTCAATAGATTTATTTCACACAGAACTCCTCAATACCTGTTATTTTAGATAAATTATTATCTGTACATGGATGAATAAAAAAAAACTTTTCTTTTTTTTTCGTTTCGCGATGTTTAATGGGACCGATAAAATATGGTAAGTAGGTAACAGGTTGTAATATAAAGATAAGATTTTTTTTGTCCGCATTCAAATTTATCTAAAATTTGATTTAATTACTTTTGTTAAAATGGTTATAAAGAACTGAAGCTAGCTTTAGAATTATTGGAATCAACCGTTTCCTATGATACGTTTGAAAATCAACAATAACCGGGTCCACTTTCGTTTTGAACGTAACTACGCAAACTTTGCACTTTAAATAAGTTTATTTAACTGATCTGTATAATTTCGGATTTCTTTTAATAGTTTACCTGTACATTCTGTTAACACAATACCTAGTTATAATCAGTGTTTACACAAACTGATTGCTCTTTACAATCGTATTATATTGTTATATTATATTATTAAATCATGTTTTGCTGAGAAAGTGACTTACATAGAAAATTATTAATTAATTTTCATTCAACGTTTCACGTAATTTGTAAATTATACATTAGGTCAGGTTAGGTTACAAAATGCTGATTACCGATTATTGTCGTTACAACGACGGGTCATGACGGCCCCGCACTCCTTAGTTCCTGGTGGCCCTGAATACCGTGAACGCCTTTTTTCGGTGGGCCCTTTTCCGCGTAATCCATTCGGATTTTCAGTGTAGGTCTCATTCATTCAGACACGTTTTCGATTTTTTCATCATCTAATTATAATACAGTATAGTCTATTATTAGTCACGATCACGGTAATAATACCTAAATAATACGAAAAGGAAAATCTGTGTACAGATAAGCACGGGTTTTGATTTTCAGCACGTATTCAATATTAATCGACATGCATGAATTACGATTAACAATATTTAAACATTTTTAATTTGTTCACATTTCGTAATATTATTTATTTTTTGTGATTTTTGGAGACATAAAGGCTTACCTAATTTTATTTTAAAGTTAAACAGTCAACATATAATTACATTTAAATATTCAATATAACGCGAAATATTCATATATATATGTATAAGTATCTTATAACCAGTGTTCGGGATTTATAATATTTGTTTATTTTTTTTATTTGCTTGACATCAAATCTTGTGGATTGCTGTGAAAATGAATATTCTAAACAATGAGTTTAAATACGAAATTTGAAAGGGCTTTATTCGGTTTTTTTCGGTATAGTTAAAAAAAAAAAAAATGTTTTTTAAAATTTTTATCCGTATTATTAAAGTGACCCATAAATCAACAAAAATTATTAGAAATACTAAAAATGCCTAAAAACCGAATTGTAGGGAGGTCGATTTCAAAAGATTTAAACCTTCTGTGGACAACGTGGAACAACTCTCCAAAGTTTTATGACGATTGAATAAATGGTGTAGTAATATGCGTAAAGGACAAACGGACATACTCGTACGTTCGTTTATACATATAATAAATAGAAGAAGAATATGTTGGAATCTAACATAAGCCTAATTATAATATTTTAGTTTATCTTCTTTATCAGTGGTATTAGATTTATATTAAATTACCTTAAAATTTCCTTGAAAATATTTAGGAATTTTTGAATAACGTTATTGGAGTGTATATTATGTAGGTATACACGATTTTGTTTTATTTTTCTCCGCTTTCATGGCATACCTATATATTTACTTTTGAACCAGCAGACATGATGGTTACAACCGAAAGGTCACACAATAGCCAGGTGAAGTAAAATGATAATAAATCACACACTGGCCATAATCGACGGTCATTAGGCTAGGGTGGAAGAAACAGGAAAGCATCTTCACTGTCAAACAAACAAATGAAAAAAAAAAAAAATAATAAATAAAGATGAATAAAAATTTCAAAGGGAGAAACCGAGGGAGAAACATAATGCACCAGTATATAAATATATATATATATAAGAAAAAATAAACTATAATTTATTATTATTGTAAATCTTTATGAGTGGGTATAGAAAAATATATCCATTTATACTTTTTAACATTTAATTATTTATTCATATATTTATGTTTTTTCTTTT